ACTGACCAAACCACTTACATTTACAAAACTAAATAATTTATTTGGAGCTGAGAATGATGAAATAAATAATGCACTGCTGTTCATCTTTATTATCAAAGAAAACAAATTGAAAGAATTTAGATGGAAACTCATCCATATTTCGTGCAATTATGTCAAGATTTTCTGGACAAAAATTTCAAATCTGATGATAGAACTTCGTTTCGCTAACAAGAATGTTATACCATTGAAGTCGTTAATCATGGGGTATACGCTTTTCATTAACTATATACTGACATTAATTGGTTACAGTATACAGTTATGCTATTACATAAGTGAGCAAAAAACGAAACAAGTAGATGTGTTCAGGATTTTTAAAAACGAGACCATCTTTTAAGGGAAAACAAGAAAATGTGGGGTAAATTAAGATGAGAGAATGCATTGCATCAGACATTAAACAAACAAACAAAATAGAGCTTTCCTGCCAAGATGTTGAAGCATACTATGTCGTTTAATGTATTAACATAGTATTATATTAGTTTCTTTGTTTCATCTTTGGTGGAAGATGTCTCAATAACATATATCAATATGTATGTATGTATGTATGTATGTATGTATGTGTATTTATGTATGTATGTATGCAAGCATGTATATATGTAAGTACGTACGTATGTATTATGTATGTATGTATGTATGTATGTATGTATGTATGTATGTATGTATGTATGTATGTATGTATGTATGTATGTATGTATGTATGTATGTATGTATGTATGTATGTATGTATGTATGTATGTATGTTTGTATGTATGTATGTATGTATGTATGTATGTATGTATGTATGTATGTATGTATGTATGTATGTATGTATGTATGTATAAATGAATGAACAAACGAACGAATGATATATAAAGAAATGAATGTACAAACAAACAAATGAAATAAGAAGAATTGAATGCACAAACGAACGAATGAAATATAAAGAATGACGAATGAAAGCCCTCTTGTATGAGGACAAATATTTGTAAGGTTTACTGAACCCAGAGCCCCAACTTTGGCAGTTTGACAAGAGACAACATTATCACATGCTGTATTTATTGACTACGGAATTGAAATGCCTTGATATAATTTAGTCCTCCAAACGAAGTTTCTTCTTGCGGTTGCAGTTGTACACAAACATTGTAAGGAATATGCTTTTAACGCGGCTATAGTTGGGACAGGTAGAGGCGTTGGAGTGTTTATTGTTGCTCTGGTCATCGTGATAATTGTACCGGTTAAAGGACAACACGTAATGAGCCAACGAGCAATGACACAACGAGGTCTACCGCCAGGACAGCCACATCCTTGCCGAGTAATGGACAGGGACAACCGCCAGGTGTTGAACATGAATAACCTTTGATTTAATTCATACTATTATATTCCAACCTGTTATTAAAATAACGATCAGCAAGTAACAACAAAACTTTTATTTAAGACCTTATACAACTGCACTTTTGGAGCTCGGTCGTGTTCTCTACTTTAATAAACGGCCTTGGATATGTGACCGACCAAAGCTAATCTTTTACATATTGATTACACCCCAACAAAATAATGCGTGACTTTGCTTGTTTTTCGCATCCCTTTTTAACATAATCGGTGGTTTAAGATTGATAATACATTTAGATGAATAACCTTGTAATCGTGTATTTTTTGGCAGACTGTGGCTATAATGAAATAAATGTCAGGAAGAGAAAACAAAGCCTCGTGAAATTGTATCCAAACAATTATGAACACATTAATCATAGGGAAACGAAACGTTACACATATATGTAACCACGTGATGGAGTACATGTGGAAAATTTGAACGGAAACAAAGGACATAACACGAGACTACGAGATCGTATGGACAATGGAAGTATTAACGGAAATGTAGACGGGCATAGTAATCGGGAGCAATTATGTTTTGTTTCGCTTGTATTTATTAACCAAATGTGACGTGCATACATTTTGTAAAGTAATATATATATCAGAAAATAGAGTATGTCATAATTCTGTTACGGTAATACGTGGTTTACTGTATTCACAAATTACTAATACCTAAAGCTACTGTACAATGTATGCAGTATAAAGGGAAAGAAATTAAACGAACCATCTCCGTGAAGGAATGCAACGAAAACAATAATATTAAATGTATACATAGAAAAATGCCATTGAAGTTTATAAAACCTACAAAAAAATCAATGATACTTGGAACATTATAGAATAACGTTCTTCTCAGGGCATACAAAAGATGGATAATTTACAAGAGAAATGAATTACACACAAAACACAGATTGTGCAAACTTATTCCGTAATAAAGCATTGAAGTATGTTTAATTTTAACTACTAAGTAAGTTATGTCACAATTTTTAATATTTAAAAAGCTATCACTCCACTTATTCATTAAATATTTACTTAATGTTTACGTCAAATGGAGATAATCATTGTCAGATCGGTTTTCATGTTGAGTTTAAATATTGTAAGCCCATCGTCAGAATAGTACCGAGTTAAACGTATTGCTTCCTTGTTTAGGTTATGCCAATCCAGTGAGTAGACACGTTGAAGTGGTTCATGCATGAGTGACTCCATCATCTGTTTACCTCGTCTTCGTATAATCCAAACTGTTATTGTACTGATTTCTTGCCCGACCTGTACTTGGTTAATAACAATAAAAATTTGAAGACAAAGGTTTCCAAACATTTTCTTGATGATTGATGCATCTTGCATATCAAATATATTAATTAAACAATGATTTTACATTTATTGTTAATGTTCCCCTGAAAAGACCTACGAGTGGTTGCATTTCCTGAAAGTCTAGGTTATGTTTGTGACATTATAAACAAAGGAAATATTGACTTGTTAGTTTTAAAATAATAATGTTGCATATATTTCTCTTATCTTTTCAGGCCAACCTCAACTAATATGCGTGTTTTTGAATACATGGTCCACGATCAAATCATTCAAAGAGAGATGCTATTTGTGGTAGTGTAGGTCATACAGACTGATGTCATGTGTGGTGTTAGAAGTCATGCAGACTGATGTCATGTGTGGTGTTATAGGTCATGGAGACTGATGTCATGTGTGTGGTATTAGAAGTCCTACAGACTGATGTCATGTGTGGTGTTAGAAGTCATATAGACTGATGTCATGTGTGATATTAGAAGTCATACAGACTGATGTCATGTGTGGTGTTGAAAGTCAAGCATAGAAGAATTTTGTCTGTTGTGCAAAGTCATACAGGGAGATGTAGTGGACGTCATATAGAGCGTCAAGCATGGTTCTGTGTTTATTGGAAAATACCGAGAGATGTGTCATTTGTGTATTTTAGTCATACAAACCGGTGCAGTTCGTGGTATAGGAGGTTTCGCAGAAATACTATGACACATGGATAAGGTTTAATAAGCTTGTAATAATGTGTAATGTTTAAAACCAACTGTTTATAAACATATTTCATTTGTTTTTGGAGGCAGCTGTCTGCACCTATACATTTTATTACATTATTTGTGTTTTGTTAGACATTTATATAAACGTTTTTTCATCTAGCATGTTTGTAAACACTAGGGATACACATAATTTGTATAATTTGTATGATTTGCTTGTCTTGTATGTTAACTGTCTATAAGGTACTGTCATGAAATACATAGATCACAGTGTTCTGATGTATTTGAACACAAAATGCACTTTTCTCATCTTAAATAAGGAGGGTCATATACTATATATGTCACTTCAGTCGATTGTGCCAGACAAATATGGTTATTTGTTTACTAGTAATTTTAATTCTTGAGTTAAACGGTAGTGACACAGAAATCACCAGGCACCATAGTGATAACAAAACGTCTTTATTCACATTAAACAAAGATAAAAACAATCCAAATTGGATTGGATAATGATGGTATTATTAGCAAATGTTTGAGCTATTGAATATAGAGTTAGCCACTTCAATATTCAATACGCTCAAATTGATAGTGTTTTTACTTGCACGGTGATACTTTTCGATGACCAACACAAAATATAAGGGTGTGCTTAACCGGAAGTTACACATGTGTATACCCCGTGCTATTTTATAAGGCCAAAAGGGTAATGATTATTGACAAATCTATTTGTTTTTGAGGTTGAATTCGAAGCAGGAAATGGGGAAATACGAATTTTCTTCCCCTCAAGGTAATGACATATCATATTAATGTCTAAAATAAGTTTTGTGCAAGATATAAGTTGGCAAATGAATGTCTTTGCGAAGTGTCGCGAAAATCAATCTTTCTTGAGCATGGTGTGATTTAAAGTATGTCCGGGCCTTATTTGAAAACCTTGCTATATTAATCAATTGTTCACACTATTCAGTCCGGATCCTACATTTTCTATGTTTTGATACTTCTGCAAAAGTGTTCTACCGATGCAAAATATGAGATATGTTAGTTTTTCTTTTAAATGATTGTAGTACTAAAAATCAACATTTTCTATAATTTCTGTTTATAACGTCGGCGTATCACCTAGATACAATTATGTAGCTTCGCTGTTTACCATGTAATGCTCAGTGTGAAATCGACTGTTTATGTACTATAAAACAAGGTTAGTAAATGAACCTTTTAACCAATAACTTAACATGTGATGTCTTATACTAGTTAAGTCTGTTCAGCAATTTGCCTCGTTTTGGGTTTCGTATATCGGTTATACAACTAGGATAAGGTCAAGGGGACAACTGTATTAAGACAGGTTTTCCAACATACTTTTACTCCCATTGAAAGTTTTTAATAATATAATAATTAATAAACTTTCCTTGCTATCTAAACCCGTTGGTTGTTTATCTGAATGCATTTCATGTCTACGACATATATAGTCATTGCATGTGAAATTTAGCTGGACAAGTTTAGACATGTGAACGGGCAGCATAACTAGATTAAAAGTACTAAATACTGACAAAATCACAACAACAACCTTTTTGAATTTCCATGAAATTTTGTTGCACAAGTACAGCAGAACATGCACTTCCTTATCAGATACATGTGCGCTTGTGATAGAGCAGACACCTCCCGTTTTATACGGTACACAGTACATGTAGAATGGGGGTGTGTAGTATATGGCTGCTGATGGTTCTGTGTCTCCTATCAACTTTAAAGATTGTCACCGCATCAGGTATGAGTGGATGTATACTTTCTCTTTATCCTTCCTCCTTATGGTAAAACTATGGCACGTTTATTTGTAACTACATGTCATAGCATACGCCTGTAGTGTTTTACCATAGGAAATATTGCTTGTATACCAGATAGGGTGAATGTTTCATACTTCCGTTTTGAGTTGCTGTTACATACTGTAGTATCAAACGATGTGTATTTAATTCATGCAGAAACAGCACTAAAACAAAATGCTAGTAATGTTACAATTATTGCCTTACATTGGTGATTTGTCGCTATTGTTCTTTCTATTGTATTAACATTGGTAGGGCGATTGATATATTTTACAACACTTTTCGCAAGCCAATGGCAAGTAAAACATTAGGCTTATACATGTATAAGTGGTGTGATCCTAAATAAGGATCAAGAATAGGTGCATTTTGTGCTTGTGAAATGAAGGATAATTAACAGTAGTGGGAAAACATGCATGGAGAAAAAAGACATTGTACTCCTTTTATTTTTATTTATTTTTTATTCATTTTAATAATAATATATGCAGTGACTTTATTTACTGTCATTCAATATACAATTCATCACAAACTCTCACAAATGTTCTTGGAATATATTTGAATTTAATTTTTCAATGCGACTTTACCAACGTAAGAGTTATTTCCCTTACACCGGATTGGATAATATTTTGACACGGCGCGAATTCTTGTCAAACAGCAGCGGCAGTTGTGTCATGTTCTTAAATTGTTACATTTTCATAAATAAATACACCAGAAATAGCATGCTGTATTACAGAAATGTTTGATAAGCATACACAGTTCACATATCGTCACGTCTCAGAGCCACGTCCGTGGTAGCAACGATGGTTTATTACAGTTATCAACCTAAGCCTATTTGTCATATGACGTTCCCGTTTGAAACATCAAAATAGAGTTTATACTTCATCACTAATACGGTTTATCAGTATAAATATTTATTTCTTACTTGTTGTACTTACAAAATATAAAAAGCTCGACCGTACAGACAGCGTCAGTTCTCAAATCAGAGTCACGAAAACACTTGAATCTTCACGTGTGTGAAACAAATACTCCTCAGACCTTAATCTGGGTTGCTAAAACGCTCAAACCCAGTGTACGAATGAAACATTCCTATTTGTATTTAGTTTTCACCACCACAACACTCGTAGAATGCACCGGAGATAAACCTTTTGTTTTCAGCAATTATTTAAAGTATGGATTATTATTTGGAGAAGAGTATCATAAGACTTTATGTAACCCACAGGTGAGTGTCAGAGATTCTACTTTCTATTTACGATAACGAAACTATATAGCGGAAGAATGCAAGACTGAATTATGCGCACGCACCCCGAACGGAAGTGGGTCCGTCATTTGGTTCTCTGGACAGAATCAATAAGCCGCTCGGCTCTCGCCAAGAGCGGCTTAAAAATGAATTGTTGAATACATAACAAACAAAATCTGCTGCTATATGTAACCAGTATGTCACAATTAAGCTCTAGCAGGTCCCACTTGACGAACACTTTTTTCAGTTAAGGTAACCTTACTGGTTCCCTTATTATTTATCTGTTGTTTGTCATCTTCTTATCATATCAGGATCGCTTGCTCACTCTGTGCCCTATACTTGACCCATTGAGACGAAGTATGTGGGGTCTCTGCAGAGATTACCCATATAACGCTGTACTCAAATGTCCTGTTCAATCGTTTAAATGCTCAACTCTCGAAATGATTTTTGCTTAATATGAAGTGGTTTATCCTGTCATCTTTTTTACATATTCCAATTTATTTAAATTGAGGAAACTGGTTTGTTTTGTCGAGGACAGTGTCTCTGACGTTTAGGGCGAGTGTTTTGTGGAGTTGTTTTGTCGGTACAAGTTTCTAGCGGTGTTCCCAATTTTTTTTCAAGTTTTTCATTTACCACTCAAATCCCCGATAATAATAGTTACTTACAACCACTATACTAGTGTTGTGTAATCAGTTAACGTCATATTATGTAATATTTTCCATATTTGACCTCTGTTTACTACTTTGTCGATTGAGAGTGATCCCGTCCACCATTTTGACATTGATTTATTCACATTTTTTCTATTAATTTACTCTCACTCACGTCTTCATGATGGATTTGTACAACAATAAGCCTTCGGTTACAGTATAAACGAAATTATATGCGATGACAGCAGCATATTTCATAAGTGATGACTGTTTTTTATTTATGCATTTTATGTTTTAGCATTGTGTCGTAACAATTTTATTTCATTTTTTGATGTTGTGATATACAAATGATTATCTTGAAAATTTGGCAAATTATTTTGTCTGCAGCCTCGTTATTGCTTCCTTACTTATACCTACATGTATATACGCTCAGGAAACGCAACTCCCATTTTATGTCCACAATTTTATAATATTGATAAACTAATGTTTGCCGTGTTAAATAGCATGGTATGATACATATTCACCATCAATGCACGGTTGATTGAACTATATCACGCTACGTGTTCTCGTGTCCGCGAGACTTCGATACATAGCCCGATTAGCACGTGCACCGATACACGTGGCCGCATTACATGCGTCCCATACCTGTTTATCATTATTTAGGTATCAAGTAAGAATAGTCTGGTAAAAGAAATTCGTTTGTGATTACGTCAAAATGCCTAGATTAGCTTAAAATACACGCAACAGGGCAGTGTAGTTACTATCCACAAAAGAACAATATGCCATCTTTACAGCCGTCTTAGACTAACTGGTACAACTGCCAACCGCCCTCGAACTGGCCGACCGAAGGTTACGACGCCTCGTCAGGATCGGTTCATTCTTGCAGCACTTGCGTAGCCGCCTCCGTTCCTACGGCATTAAGCCGCGACGCGTTGCAGCGGGAATGCCCCTAAAACGTCCTCGACGTGACGTCTGCCTCATATTGGTCCAGCGACTCCGTCTTAACGTGTAACCTATGCAAGGATGGCGCCGTCTACTGTTGTGACTCAGATGGGCGTCAGCGTGTTTTTTCGACGTCGTGATAAACGTTATGCCGATAACTGCATGGTGGAACGCAACAGGTTACATGTAAGTTGTGGCAACGTTATGGTGTTGGTTGTGATTTGTAGTCGTCATCGAAGGCAATTTGACAGCTCAACGATACATTGATGTTATTCTTCAACCTGTCGACGTGCAGTTTGTCCGCCAGCATAACGTAAATTTTCAACAAGACAATGATCGGTGCCGTGTGGTGAGACGTGCAATGACTATCTTCGCCAAAACAATGCCGACACTTTACCTTAGCTCCTATACAGTACCGATCTCTCGCCAATAGATCACGTGTGGAACATGTTGGATCGACGCATTCGAACGAGCCCAAAATCCATCAGAGAAATTACCTGCTCTGCGCCAGGCGCTTCTGGAAGAGTGGCAGAACATCCCCATGGCACAAATAAACCGTCTTATTTTCTCTTTATATAGCAGAATTAAAGCCGCAACAAATATTAATAATAATAAATAATAATAAATAATAATAATAATAATAATAATAATAATATAATAATAATAATAATAATAATAATAATAATAAATTCTTTTATTTAGACAGGGTAACATATTTAGATTTTCATCTAGTTTACAATATGGCCCTGTAAAACACATTATATATACATATATAAAACAACAGCACATCACGCATACAGAGACATATGACATACAATAAAATAGAAAAAGCAGTTAAATAGTACAATACATTATTAAGACAACCTATTATATTGTATCTCTAAATATTACAGAATTGCATTTAGAACATTAGAAAATATCACAGTGTATTACAAGTCAATACATACATATATTTATCACAGGGTAATATAAGGATTATCTCTGGAAATTATATTAAACAGAACCATAGGGATAATTTCAAATATTGTACTTTAAAATATACATATAGTATATACCATATAGTACCTGGTTTCCCAGTGATTGGGAATCCCCTACCTACTTGGTCCGCCGGTAACACATGGTATTCATGATCTAGTAATTTTAAAATAATTGGCCAGATATGCCTTTTTAAAAGCCAGAACATTTGTTGTGGTTCGTATGGTTTCTTCCAAAGTATTCCATAAAAGAGTACAAGTGTATCTAAAAGAATTTTTGTAAAAACTTGTTCTACACTTGGGGATATAGAGCTGGTTCTTCGCAGAAGATCTTGTGGTTCTTGTGGAAATCTGGGTTACATAGGTAAATAAATTTTGTTTTAAAAATCCTGGAGCCTGGTCGTTAAGGATTTTATAAGTTAGAACACATTTTCTAAAAGTATAAAAATCGTGAATAGGCATCCAGTTTAAAGTCTTTAAAAGTAACGAAGTTGGTGTACGAATTTCTCTTATATTTAGAATTACTCTTGCTGCTCTTTTTTGAAGTTTAAATATTCTTTCCTTAAGCGACACATTTGTAGGATTGCTCCATACTGAAGAACAGTACATAAAATGAGGTAAAACAATAGTCGTATACACCATTTTGGACATTTCTTGGGACATGAATTTTCTGATTCGTTTTAACACTCCAATTTTCTTTGATAATTTCTTACATACATATTCAATATGTACATTCCATGACAAACAGCTGTCAATAAAAACTCCCAGTAGTTTGGCATTGTGTACAGTTTCAATAATTATATCACCCACTTTGACACGCATCTGTCTGTGTTTTGATAATTTTTGTGATGAGCCAATAAGCATGCATTGGGTTTTTGTTAGATTTAGACTCATTTTATTATTGGTCATCCACTCACTTGCTAATTCAAGGTCAACTATTAACTTTTCTTCGACATCATCAACTGCATCACCTTTTACACCCTGTGATGTGTCGTCAGCGTACATTACAACTGATGAATGTTTCAAACATGTTGGATAGTCATTCATATGCAAGATAAAAAAAAGTGGCCCAAGTATCGAACCCTGGGGCAATATTAACGGGGTCATACTCATAATTGAAATGAGGAAATTCCAATGGCAAACCAATCTTCAGTCTTGACTTTTGTCCTGCCAAAGTGATTATCGCTAGCGATAAATTAACTGAATTATCCGTAGAATAGATGTGTATCTTTAATTGGCTTGTTATTTAAAAATATTACCGAACATTGGAGGTTGCGTTTCGTTTGCATGTCAGTATATATAGTATTTGTCACAATTTTTACCCTTGTTTCTATATTTTTTGGGGGCTGGACTTGTAGAGGAAACCGAAAAAACACAAGCACTGAAAAATATATATGAATAAATGACAATACACGAGTTGCTCCCCTTCGACTATTTTGTCCTAGAAAAGTTAATGAAGAAGTTAAACACAAAAATGAAACAAAAAGAAAACACCAAACGCGTCTCCCAAGAATTTCATCATAACCGTTTTGCGTATACATGGAAACGACAGCTGTTTTTTAAAGTTTCAACCTGTAAACCCGGTCTATTTATCAACCTCAAGATTGATAGCAAGTACCAAATTAAAGCGTTATTGATTTCAAAAGCTAGAGAACGAACAAGCCCGACATTATTTTTATTTGATAATTTTAGTTTAATTTCATTTAAAAACAATTGTGATCAACAATTAAACATTCCATATTTGCCAAAACAGACATAAGATCTAATCCTATTATATCAATAGAAATTAAAGTTTCAGTATCATATTTGTATAACCCTCAATGGTTTATGTTATATGAAGATTTTGTCAATAATTTAAATGATGCTTATAAGGTACATTGACATTTGATCCTGATAATATCAACGAAGAAATCGGTACTTTTATTTATCTTAATGGTTATTTATAAGATTATCATAAAAGAAAAAAATCAGCAGTCACAATTCACATAAACGTCTAACAAAAGATAAAAAAGGAAATAGTTACTATTTAAACAAAGTCTTGATTTTTTATAATTATTATGTCGGTAAATTTGTACATCTTTTACAGTTATAAATATCCGTTCTCCTAGAACTTCCGCACTTCATTTCAATCTTATAAAACTGGATTTAACCATCAACACAATCAAATATCGATTATCTTGAAAAGACAGAAATTGGGACAAAAAATACTTCTATATCAGTAACTTATACATTTACCTTTTATTTTACAGTTAACACATGTCGTTATCCTAATGTCAAAATCACCACTCAAAGTTCAAACCACAGTGATAACTATCCTAGTCGTAAGGCGGTAGATGGCTGTACAAAACAGACATTCGACGAGCCATATTGTTGCTCACATACAGCACCAGGTCTACAGCAGGCATGGTGGCAAGTTGATCTAGAGGGACCGATCGTTATGGAATACGTCCGAATATACTACAGAAGTGAGTAATCAAATATCTTGATTTATCAACAATAAAAAAAATCTGGTGAGCTTTACGTGACAAGGATATTTTGCTTTTTTTATGAAATGTAGACGGCACTGTGGTGTCTGACTGTATGTCGCGAAAGGCGTCTAATGTGACACAACCCCCATCCGAGCCTCGTTTAATGTTATTGTCTCTTGGTGGATGCTTCTAATTACTACCATGATTAATTTGCTGCCCCCTTACGTAAACGTGGTACTTCTGTCTTTCAGGCGGTGTCTCCTAGATATCCGTGTTTATGTGACACTGGATATAGATACAGTGTATAAATATAAGCTCTAGTGGACAATCTTGTTTATTTAAATAGATGAAACAGAAGAGCAAAAGAAACGATTTGGTGGCTACCAAATATACCAGTCGAACACGTCGGATTGGCGGGTCGGTCACCGTTGCCGTATAGACAGAACATCTACGTCGAAAGAGTTATCATTTACCCAAAAGATCCGATGTCCAGGAATCGCTCAGTTCCTGACTATTTACAGCGACAGACGGTCGCCTGATCGATCGTGGTACTCAAAGAAGGCTATTCTGGAGCTTTGCGAGGTAGAAGTATATGGTACGTAAATAATGTATTAAACATTGAAACCTTTATTTTTTTCTATTTTTGTGCTTGTGGTCACACCAATATATTATACTGACTTTAAAAATGGTTGAATGGATAATTGAATTCTCAAAACTCGTATTTAAGGGCTAGATAAATATCCATGAATGTCCCTATTTAAGATAAAGAGATCACTATATTAACATCGTTGCATTTTGTTTACAGTATCAGTTTAAATGTATCAGTTTTGATCAACTACGTGTTTGGTGTATTCCATTTCAATACTCATCTTTGCCATTTGTTAAATTTTATATGTCTACGAGTCAGTGAATTAAAACACATTGTGGTAATTCAAAAGTTTGGAGAAGATCTTACGTATGGAGTAATTTGTACATCCCAGAGAAATGGCCAATGCTACAACAGTGAGTTTACATAAATCTGTCTTAGTGTTTTTTTAAATGTATCATTTGCTCGTACACTTATGATCGTATATTTCAGGTTGTCCATTGGGGAAATATGGTAAAGGCACTTGTGAATCAGATTGTGCTGCAGGATGTGCCAATAGCCTGTGTGATCCAGTGACTGGAGAATGCAAATGTAATTATAAGTATCTTATGATATATCCAGTACAGTCTTTGTCTTTTCACGATGACATTATAATATTTTCTGATGTGCTACATCTCAAATATATGAACATACGGTAAGCAGTCTTCAATATACATTTCTTCTAATCAAATTAATCCCCGAACACAATTTAAAAATCATTGTAAACAATGCGTCTGATAAATATATCTATGTTTCATTCTATTTTAGACTGTGCTGATGGATACTATAAGGATGGATCTTTATGTATAGAATGCCCTTCAAATTGTAACGATGACGTATGCGATGTAGAATCCGGTGTTTGTTCTGGTAAGTAATTCGGTGTACTTCAGTTTAAATCACCATTCATATGAAAACAAATATTTTTTACATTTTGCGTTAATTCAGAGTTTGTTATAAAATATATTGCATTCGTTGTGGGGACATACATTCATTTTAATTTTATAATGATGCCACTGCTGAGGTATTTGTTGCAGATATATATTCATATACTTAATGCTATTGTGTTTTAATTACAGCACTTTTATCTTAAGTTTATATGATTCGGTAACATTAAACTGGTTTTGTTTTTCGTTTTGTTATAATGGTGTTTTTTTTTAAATGAATATTTTTATCTATCTGGTTCACACAAAGCCAGAACAACATATTACATAATCATATATATCACTGGAATAGTAATTGCTAAACGATACTGTTTCTTTCGACTATTACTTATTTTATTGTTTCAGGTAATTGCGTATTAGTTAAATAACTGTTGTAATGGGCGCCATTTTTCAGTTAATTCATGAACTGTTTTTGATATTTTAAAAATATTAAGACACCTTCTATTGACGGTAGACTTTCATTTGCAGATGTATATGTACCGTCTTAAAAAAGCAATTTACTTATTACTAAATTTTCCTAAACTTATAGCAAGTTCTATATTACATTTTACATATAGTTAGTCTGAGAAAGTTCTCCAAACGGTGTTCACAATACAATGTCACATACGATGATACATATCTTCATCTTCATAGTTACAGAAAGAAACAATTTTATCATCTTTTACACCAAATCTAAACAGAAGCGTATTTTTGCATAGTACTCTCTGATAGATTTTATAAATGAAATTTTAGTTAAATGACATCATGAGTGCAACTCATTTGTATCGAGTAAATACATTTCCGGTTAATATCTAAATGTTAATGTCTTGAGACCATTTTTCCATTGCTTTTAGGTTTGAAGTTGGAATTGTAGAAACTAATTTTGAATGACATATCTTCGTGGGTTTTGTCAATGTTCTTATAAGCGATATATTGTCTTTATCTCTAGTACTATTACTGCCCCGATTACGAATTAGCATTTTCCACGTACCTGGGATGGCTGCAATTAGACCATAAAAACGAATTATGTTCATGTTTGGAAAATTTAAGTTTTTCTTGGAATTTCCGAAAGGTCATTATGTTGCCATCGTTTTCAAATAAATCTGCTACCTTATTTATACCCCGCTCTTACCATGTTTGGAGACATACTGTTTTATCATCTATGTTTATATTGTGATTAAACCAAATTGACTGCGACAAGTTGTCTTCTGCATTTTCATGTCCGAGCTAAAAACACATCTCTTCAGAAGCCACTGAAGTTTTTCGCGATTTTTGTCATATCTTTTTTTAACACAAGAGATAATTTGTATTTCCCTATTTTCTAATTGAACAACAGAAATAGTTTTCAGTGAGATTTATTTTTAGGATCGAGTAATTTCTTTATCCAAGTAAATTTTAAAGCTTTAATAAAACTTTCCATATCCATCAGTTTCATGCCATTGTTTTCGGAACTATGTTTTAACATAGATCTCTTAACTTTGCCTTTTATATTATTCCATATAAATTAAAACAAATATGTAATTTTGTTTCGAACAGTATGGCAATGTGGATTTGGTAAAACTAAATAATTGCAAGAGAATAGGGATAGCAAGTGACTTAACAGCGGGGATTTTTCAAGTTATTGTTTTAGATTCCGAGTAACTTCCGCTATTTTATCATCATAGTTTACGAAAGTTGTATCTGACTAAGGTCATACTTGATACCAAGGCGTTTAAACCTTCCAGTAAAGTTCCATTTTTAATCCTCTTTCGGAACATAGTTTTTCGTGCATACCCCTTTTCCTACCGAGCCATACGGTTTCATAAAAGTTTGCTCTAAGACCGGAACATTTGCCAAATGAGTCTATAATATCTAAATTTGATTTTAATGAAATATCATCATCTTCAAGTTTAATAATGCAATCGTCCACATAATGGTTTGCAATAATTTCTGTTCCACCTAATTTAATACAATTAATATCTGGCGAAAATTTTGGTGTAGCACTTAGTATTTCTACTTCCATGATAAACAAATACATGATGTACTGTGAAACGCCCTCATCCCACTGTGATCCATTTTCATTTAAGTTACGATCAGTTAAACACCGTGTGAGAAATACGTACAATTATTCCACGTGTAATTGTAGCTTCGACGTTAGCGTTTACACGGTTGAAATAATACATCTTAACTGTACCTTAAGTGCACTTGGCACGAAAACGTTCCACAGTACTTTGCCTAAAATATGTCTTTTACCCTATTCATATAGTATACCGACCGACAAAGGCAGCTTCATCGATATTATAACAAGCATAAAAAACAAAATTGGTTGTGTAAGTTATCAGGGTGTAACTGCTTTTGGCGTTGAGTGGGTTAACACAGTTACATGACACGATGCATCATTATATGATCATATAACACAATTTACATTAACGATCGTTTTTTTGCGAGAAATATTTTGAGAACATTATATATCATGTATTTTTAAAAGTAGTTTGTATACACTGACAGAGAGCCATGAGCACGTGCACTTCGTATATCGCCGCCTTACCTGTACACAGGTATACTGAGCACTCGAGTCACACAAGAGAAGGTTGCTCGTAGGGTAATATCATTTGAGCATACTACGAAATAGATACACGTAATGTGAAACACATTTTCCCTCTGTTATCTTATTTTCGCCATGAACACGCTCCACTTCAGTACCGTGAATTTCCAACCACTGAAACGCGTGTTTAGTGTAATGAAAAGTAACCGATATATTAGTTTCGCATCAAATGCAGAGGCATGATTGTATATAGTACTTAGCGACCGAAATTTGACAATCGGAATGCAGACTAAGATAACTGTAATATACGGTGCTCACAAAGAAATAGTAGAGGTTAATTTCATCCATTTTGCCACACAAAATTTGTTCACAAATTAAGTCCATACACATTTTTTGGTCCCAAAATCTACCTCTTTTTAACCAGCTTCAGAAATAGCGCTTCTTTTGTGTAGAAAAGTTTTTATTTTGACCGTTCCTCTTTTCTTATTTGCCTCCGTTCTCCAAGAAATTCGTATCGTAGTTTGGCCAGAGAATGTGGACCATCTGGAACGACAGCAAAGCCTGACTTGGGCTCAAGTAATGACAATGCTTGGTCGAGGACGATGTCTCGGTCCATAAGTGACAGTTATCGAACAATAATGTTCCGCTTGCCTACGGGGCCTTTAAGTTACATGTGTACCGATTGAAACAGCGTATGTGTGAAGACGTCTTAGTGTATATTTTTAGGGAATTCTTAAAGAATTTCCGAATAGCTACTAGAGAGTCAATGGGCTGCTACTTAACTCCACCCTTTATTCCTTTTATCAATAGGTTCCATGTTCTGCCCCAAACCTCAAGCGCTAACCTTTCATCTGATTCTTTCTTTTATCTTCTCTTTTATGTTTTGTATTGACCCTCTTGAAGAGTTTTAATCACTTCATGGATATGTTTTAAGGATAATTCCAGAGATTCAATTGTATCTTCTGCCTTGTCTACTCTTTCCTTTATACAAGACATGTCAGCATCGAGCTTTTCAAAATTTTGTTACTTTTTAGCGTCCAGCTTCTCAAAACACTTACTTATGCTCTGGATTTGTATATATGGCGTTCACCGTCCCAGGGTGTGAAAGATAATGAAACACTAGTGATATAAATTAGTCGGTTCAAATATGCACTTTGACATTAATTGTATACAACAATTAAAGGTCACAGCATTGGTGAAACACTCACTGTTGACTCATGTTCAAGTATTCAAGGTATTTGAGGATACGGTTATGTATCTATTACTTAAAAATAACACCGGAGTCGTTCCCGTGCGTCCTGACCCTGTACCTGCCATACCGGAAGACTGTTATAATGTTGCTGTTTTGCGATATATTACAATTTCAGTGACCATCAATGACCTTAAACTAAGATGAAGAAAATGTAGATTCTTATCGTTTTCTTCGGATTCTGATTTGTTCTTTGTGATTTTCCATGACAGCGTGTACTCCCGGGTATTACGGCAGACATTGTTATCAGACTTGTCTATTCAACTGTAAAGATAACCGATGTATACAAAGCAATGGAAAGTGTAAAGGTATGTAATGGTGAAAAGTATGAAAAGTATGTAGAGAAAAAGAAGTGTTATATAAGGATAAGTTAGGAGAATTTTTATTATTGATATATACTATATACTCTTTCTCATATTTACATAGATGAGTCAAATCAATTTTCCATAAAAATAACTACACGTTACTGACACAGATCCGAATTTTTGTAACATCTAGTAAATGAAGATATAAATGATATGCAAATTTTACCAATGATGTAGAATTTGCAGCTCTACACCTGCGGCAAAATCCATGTAGCTCAAATCTACAAAGCTATTGGCTCTGTACTAAGGTTTTCGGTAAAATCAACACAATTACTGAATTATAAAGATAATTAATCAAGAACATAACCTATGTAGAACGAGCATACAGCAGGAAAATAGTATGGCATAAAAACATATTCCGGTAGTAGTACGCAAAAAGCTTAACAGCATATGTTTTTTAATATCAGGACCGATTTTGATTTGGCGATGGATGTATTTCCCGATCATCAAAATGAAAATCAATTACATAAAATTGATGAAACATTACGTTGCAGAACAAGAGGATACTTAATGAATATTTGACATGTATAAAAAACATAGTTGTTCAGTATGTGATATGTTTGTTTTGTATATTAATTTGTTGGTGAAATGTCAAAATGAAACTAAATAAAGTTCGTTTTCATTTTTCATATGTATCAGATTGTGAGAATGAATTCTTTGGATCGTCTTGTGATGAATGCTCTAGTGGTTGTACCGATCGTGTCTGTGACAAAATATCCGGAAACTGTAGTCGTAAGTATTTCAAAAAGAGCAGCTGATCTACTCACCGATTACCTATATTTCGATATATTTCATAATCTATTTTTCTGAGTTCAAATGGGTGATTAAATAGTCAATGAAATCATTTCGTCAGTATACGGTTGTTTATTTTCATCATTCATCATTTGTTTAAAATGCAATAAAGAAAAACGTTCAGAGAGCTATACTATAGAAAGAATTGGCATTGTTACCAAATTGTTGTTAATTAAAAAAAAATCAAGCGACATATGTAAAATGCATAATTAAAGTTTAAAATCCATTGATGAACTACAGTGCATCAACGCTTATTTAGACATCCTCTATACTATCAAACCTCAATATTGATGTTCATGCAGAACAACTATTGGTAAGATTAATAACGGTAGGTTGCTTCTGTTTGTTTGCGTTGTGAATGATTATTACATAAATGTCTAAAAACACCTAACAAAGGTGAAAATACCACACATAACCTCTTTAAATGTCCAAAAATATAAAGTAGAAATAGACGTACTCAGTTCCATGTCTTCTTTTATGCTCTCCTTCTTCCAAACCTTGGTTAGGGATGACTCTCTAACTTTGAATGTTTGAATGTTATATTGGCAATATATTAAGGGAAGGGGGACATATCCTGAAATCCTTTAAATAGAAATGCAGTATGAAATCTTTTCTCATGAATGTTCTCGTTTGACGTTTCTTTTATGTGTACACTGCATATATGTGCATTATGCTCTATAATCCCATGGAATTTTGAGATAAGTATATATAGAATATATATTGTTTATGGAAACGGCTAGCCATAATAGGTACGTAGAAATAGATGACCTGAATTATCCAAATGCATGTCGTAAGATGTGTCTAATGTGGAGCCCTATGGTGTGCTCTACTTCTCCTTGAACGGGCGTCTTTATATGAACCAGAACGGAAAGACGTTTGCATGGAATGACGAAGGTCTATGTAGTTAGTGTTCTTTTTATGATCCAAGACTGCTTAGAGCGCAATTCATGGATATTTAAAGGTTTACAAACGTATTTTATTCAAATTTAACAGATGATTGGTTATAATTATTTCCTAGCTTTCATGTGAATTTGCATTCAATACTGGTGTTTTATCTTTCCTACAATATTACCAAGATAAAGGACAAAAAATGGAAGATGTTAATAACTTAGCTAGAAAATATCTGTTCACATGATCCGCTTTGCTTCCAATTATGCTGTTCATATCCGCTCTAAATCCTTATTCACACCTGTCGGTCTCCCTATCCCTGCTTCCCCACACCAGAAAAGTTCATTCATAACGCTTAGGTAAAATCTTTTCAATATTGTCTTATTTAATATTTCTCACATGGAAATTTATAACGACAGAAATTAAAAACAAAAGTGTAAGCTTCACATATTTGTATTGTTTCTCATATGACTGCTGATGTTATTATTTAAGCATGCAAACCTGGATATTTTGGTGATACCTGCAACACAAGCTGCCCGTCCAACTGTAAAGGGGATATATGTAATCAGAACAGTGGACTATGTACAGGTATGGTGATATGTAAGGGTACAGATGAAAATACAGTAGTCAAATTATATAATCATATGTTTTCCCGTTCATTAGTTTAAATCGTTATATGGTCCGTTATATCACAAAACTATCTAAATCTTAAAATGTTAGCTCTTTTTTCTCTTTTGCAAGGGTAACTGTTGCATCGAAGTTTTTTCTGCATCAAGTATACGTTTTGATTATATGTACGAATAGTACGATTGGAACGTTTTCATTTGCAAGTAAGATAAAAAAAGCTGAGAGGATCTTCTCGGTTAATTTAGAGAAAGGTTCATAAATCTTCGTACATTTAATGCTGATAATAATGCTACACAATCATAACAAAACTGTGTACCGTTTTTAAGGTAAAAGCATCACCGACATCTCAGTAGCGTTGTTAGTCCTTTAAACCTGAGTTTTATTTGACCAGATGAGTTCTATCTGAACCGGTTGCAATGTGTTCAGAAAGGTATCAATATAATCGTTCGTATATATTCGTACATAGATATAATGTTGTATGAAATGCTATCGTCCTTAATCGACGAATAGATGTTGATCCAGTGATACAGTACATTCCCTGGAACTATAAAAAAGGCACATTCCCTGGAACTATAAAACCGGCTATGTACAGAACCAGTCATAATGAACGAATCAAAACATAACGCTGACAGAGCAAATTAGGTGGGAGCTGGGTGTTACTAGTATTCGACATTAATCTTTCAGTTTATTTATCGTCGAGACATGACTGCATGCGATAGTAATTTGCAACGTGGAATATTACGTTTTTGAAACGCAGATTTCGTTTCGGCATAGTAAAACAGGTAGAGTAAATGATTTGAGGTATAACAAAACTTTGTCCAAGTTTATCGGAAACTTGATATTATACGCCAAGAGAATAGTTTAAATGTACATTATTAACACATATATTGCATAAATCAAATACATGAGTGTAGCAAAAAAGATGTATTGTATTACACAGCCTACTGCAAGGCATATATTATTGCTTAAATACAAATGTTACATAAATATTGCTGCAATGGGACATCAAAGCATGTATTTGCTTCATGGTGTTTTACAATGTGGACCCTGGTTTGATGGCATTGAGTGTAAGCAGACTTGTCCGGCACATTGTCGTGACTCGCTATGTGCCAGAAGTAGCGAAGATTGTTCAGGTAGGACGATCCTCACAAACAGAGTCAGTTTGTCTTCCTATTTACCGATCATTTGACTTTGTTGGTAATAGACTAGGGTTTGTTTAGTACGTTTTATGTGTTAACAATTTCCTTTTCTCAAAGTAGTTGAATTATTTATACAATTTCATGTTTGACTAGATTTTAAAAATAAAAATATTTGAAGATACTACTTTTATCCCAAGAGAGATACGTGTAAAATGTTATTTATGGTAATGTAAAGTGAACGATGTATGCATTGTTTCTCAAATGACTGCTGATGTTATGATTTAAGCATGCAAACCTGGATATTTTGGTGATACCTGCAACACAAGTTGCCCGTCCAACTGTAAAGGGGATATATGTAATCAGACCAGTGGACTTTGTACAGGTATGGTGATATATAAGGGTACAGATGAAAATACAGTAGTCAAATCATAAATCATATAAACATATGTTTTCCCATTCATTAGTTTAAATCGTTAAATGCTCTATTATACCACAAAACTATCTAAATCTTAAAATGTTAGCTCTTTTTTCTCTATCGCAAGGGTTACTGTTACATCGTTTTTTCTGCATCAAGTATACGTTTTGATTATATGTACGAATAGTCCATTGGAACGTTTTCATTTGCAAATAAGATAAAAAAAAAAAAAAAAGCCAAGGAAAGCTACGAGGATCTTCTCGGTTAATTTAGAGAAAGGTTCATGACTCTTCATACATTTAATGCTAATGATAATGCTACATAATTATAACAAAACGTGACTCGCTATGTGCCAGAAGTAGCGGAAATTGTTTAGGTAGGACGATGTTCACAAACAAAGTCAGTTTGTTTTCCTATTTGCCGATCATTTGACTTTGTTTGTAATATTCTAGGGTTTGTTTAGTACGTTTTATTTTCATTTTCCGATCAGTTATCAAAAATCGTTGCCGTGTCTTATAATTGATCGACATTTTTATGGGTGTAGGCCAAGGAGATGCCAATGGTCCCTCACTATATCTAATATTGCCACATATTAGTATATCATCAGTGACAACAGGGTCCGTTTAGGGGACGGCTTCTGTTTTGGTCCCCAAAACAATTCAAACAGTTAAATATTACTATATTTAACATTTCGTGTTCATCTAAAGGCAAACCAATCTTAATAAATCATTCATATTTCTAGAATTAAAAGTTGGATTTAAAGGGAACAACTTGATATATTAATTGTTTTGATCAATGACCGGAAATGCAATCAACCGCATTTAAACTGTAAAAATAAGTTAACTTAATTTCAATTTGAACATGTAACGTTACTCAATTTTATTGGACATTAGGTGTAATTTTCAAAAGGAGACGAACGTGTAAAACATGAATTATTTGTATTGTAGCATGTGAACCTGGTTTCTTTGGACACAATTGTAATATGTCATGTTTTGGTCATTGTAACAACGATGAATGCCAACAGAACAACGGGACGTGCATAGGTACAGTTAACATATAATTATCTAACAGAAAAATTGGTCAAACTATCTATGGCTGAACTGTTTATTTTTTAACTGATATAGTGTTTGGAAATATGTAAAGAAAAAATAGTTTAATGTGTACGATTGAAATGTAGGTATTATTACTATAAAAAGACAATGAATATTTTACATTTCGTCTTTGTATAAATACAGTATCTTAATTGGCTCCTTCAAAGTGCTTTAGCTGAAGAATCTTTATCATTTAATAGTTTACGGTAACTTCATAAGATAAATGATAAAAGCCAAACAAACGATGTTTTAATCCATTTCAATAAAGATGTGTTTTTTTATAATTACATGTGATGCCCAAACTCAATATTTTTATGCAACAACAAATTTGTGTGTATTATTAGCTTGTATGAATGGATATTTTGGACTTGACTGTGAAGAGGAATGTGGACAGTGCAGTGATGTATCCTGTAGTAGGTCCGACGGGCTATGCTTATGTAGCAACATGACACACGGGACATGTGGGTGTAAAAATGGCTGGGGAGGAACGCATTGCACTACAAGTATTTTGTTTTATTTTTGTTTCATTTTCAAAAGAAAATAACTGATCTGAAATTTTACTCAATTTATGCAGATTTTGTGAAAAAAAAATACATACTATGAGAATAACGAAACCTGGATAGTATTTGTCATACCCTATTTCATAAACACTGAAAGAAAAGGAGTTGTCACTGCATCAGCACACCTGTGTTTGTTTCAGAGAATGAGATTTCAATCTCAGACGACCAAACCGAAACGCATGCTGGGGTTGGTGTCGGTATTGCTGTTGGAGTGGTGATTGCGATTGGTCTCGTAATAGCAATTGTCGTTATCCGTAGAAGGTATGCATTCATGTAAATTGTATTGTACATTTTGGCCGATTAAAGATTTATATTTATTGATCGTTTACAATTAGATTATTGTATATCTGTGTCTTTAGGAAACGATTACCAAAACACAAAGACAATCAACGTGAAAGCAGCAGCAGCAGCAACAGCAGCAAGACGATGGGAAATGTAGAGTCTTTACCAATCCCGCTTGGAACACCAAACCAGCAAAGAAATAATGGAGGTAAATGTTGAACATATAAGTGATAACGTATACATGTCATAGTTAAGTAGGACGTTATCTGCATCTCATTTGTTCAACGTAAATTTAGAGGATAACAGTATACTGGGTTCAATAGTTTTCTTGTATTGCAGCAGTAGCAATATGTTTTGAATTTTTATTAAAAGTCGATGTTGTTTCCCAAATATCAGCGTGTTCCGTGTATGTGTGACGGGTATTCAGTAGAGGTATATTTTGTTGTTTTGTACCAAAGAGAGGACTATTAGCATCACACTGGCAGGTTTGATTGACGAAATGATGTTTATCAGAATCGACTTTTTTCAGAAATTTTAAATACATAAAGGGATATTGATAATATAAATAATCGGGTGCATATAAGTAAGATATTTGTTTATATTTGATAAAAATATCAATTTCATCTTTAGAAAATATGTTTGATATTTAAGATACCAGAAGTGAAGACAGACAGGTTTACGTGAACGTACACAACATTGACCCCAAAACTGATAATGACGTCGTGTATAACAACATTGACGTCACCGGTGTCCCTATTCATGAACTGCGGTCTATCATTGATAGCAAGCTTGAAAATAAAGCGTCAGCATTTCAAGTGGAATTTCAGGTATGGATGCATGTGAACATCATCCATTGATGAGATATTTAATAACAATATCAAGCAGATATAATAGCAAATCATTATATTAGGAAGGAATTGGACGTATTCTTACATGCTTTTGAGGTTGATATTTCAATACGGTGAACACCCTATATTTCTGTTTTTAAAAGGCAAATAGACATATTCATAAATTTGTACATATTATTATATTTCATTCAATAAATACATTACATTTAGACGTTTCCATGGGGAGCGGAACGTCCCCACGAGGCTGGAAAAAAGACATCAAACAAACCGAAGAACAGATTCAAGACAACTTTCCCATGTAAGAAATTGTCGTCAATAATCTTAACCGAAGCAAAATTATTATCTTATTCAGTAAAACTGCATGAACATAATATATAATAAATGACGAAATATAAAGAAAACTTGATGAATTTACACATAGTGCGTTAAGCATACATGTGCATAAATGTAAGCATACAATTATATTGCAGATGACCATTCCAGAATAGTTTTAGATACAAACGGCAAAGATATCGATACAAGCTACATCAACGCAAATTATATCGATGTAAGTATGTTGGGAGGAAATGGAGCTTTTTGATATAGAAACATACAAAAGCAATGCTGATGACTTTGTGAAAATAGATTATTTTTTGTTATATGTGTTCGACGCCATGCTATTGAAAAACTATAAGATAGCCAAAGTGGTTACAATTGACAATTGAAATACATCTAGATATGTTATACAACTGAACGTTACATTATATTTGAATTACGGTCCCCCCCTCCCCCCCACCCGATTTTTTTTTTAATATATTCCATTGATCTTTTACAGGGTTTTGAAAACGAAAAAGAATACATTGCCAGTCAAGGTATTATACTATACATTTTAATGCATGAATTTATTAGCGACATTGATAATAAAAGTATTTGTATAAACACTCAAAAACTGAACACAAATAAATCAACGCCTCTTCTCTGAACAAAGGGAGACAATCTGTTACGCATATGTAATAACTATATTAAAACAAACATTCATATCAGTCGAAAACACATGGACATTACGTATCTGTTTCTCCAATAATAATCTTCATTTTGTCCCAATGTATGAACACTGCTGTACAAAGGACCGAAGCCAAACACTCTGGACGACTTTTGGAGGATGGTGTGGCAGGTGAATTCTGGGAAGATTGTTATGTTGACAAACCTCGTGGAGGGTCGCAATGTATGTATTGTATTATGCAACACGTATGTAGTGTTCATGTATATCTAGTATACAAGATAATGATCGGAAATAAAATAACAGAAAGAAAAAAAACATATGGCATTTTTAATAGATTGGTATTATTTTTATCCTGCTTGTAAATGTGTGCACTGCAACTATTTCCATCGTAAACTCGCTTTGGTTATTTCTACAGGTAAAATGTCACAAATACTGGCCCGATGAAGGAGAATCACTTGTTACACAGACATTTGAGCTCAAACTTGACAGAGAGAGGACCTATGCCTTCTATGTCATCCGTGACATTTCAATCACTCTTAAAAAGGTATTATTGATTTTATGTAGCATCAAAATGAAACCAGCATGAAATAGCATTACTAATGTTTGTTTAAATGCAAGTAATAAACATACGTGAGCTGATCATAACTGACTGTAAGGCATCCTATGATCCTCCTTGTAGACAAAGGAAGAGCGTCAGGTCCATCAGTTTCACTTTACTACATGGCCTGATCATGGAACTCCGGACACGTACGAACTCGTTCTTTTCGACCGCCGTGTGACGTCATACAACACACCACTGACGGGACAAATGATTGTACACTGCAGGTAAAATATATTATGTTGTAACGCTTTGATAGTGTCCAGTTTGATGATCATATTTTAAGGTATTTTTTGCTGTTGAACTAAATATAAATATATATCAAAACATCAAAGTCTAAATTTCGCTTGCACTTTCGTTAATCTTGGGGCTCTGCAGGAAGAGTTTTGGAGGAAGGTGTGGCAAGTGAAGTCTTGGAAGACTGTTGTGCTAGTAAACCTTGAGGAGGGTCGCAATGTATGTCCTTCGTTATGCTAATGTACATGTATATCTTTCTAGTATATTAGATAATATTCGGAAAAATATATATATAAACTACAAACAGCCCGAAGAGCTCCAAGATGGGCGAAAGTGCTAGCGAATTCTTTCTCCTGTGTCTTGTTTTATATATATATTTTGACCTTTACATGGTCGTTTAAATTTGGTTACCGCTATTTTCTCTTGGCGCACACTAATCATTATGACAACACAGATAATATATAAAAAAAAAATCGGAGCTAATTATCCTGTTCCCTTGAAGTTAAACTTTCCTTGTGTATCGAGGTTAAAAACCTCACTTACTATGTACATATTCTTTAATGTTATGCATTATGTCTTTCATAAGCGTCGTTGTTCTATGGTTGGATTTGATTGGCTTATTTCACATACAATTTAAAAAAACACCTGAAATAGTAACGCAACCTATAGAGAAAACAAAGCAAAATTGTGTGAAAAGGGACGTAAGCAACACAATATTACCTGGACAATGAGAACAATGTGTTACAGTAGCTTGTTTTGCTTCATCAGCAACTCTTGCTATTAGATTTAATTCAAATCCTAATAAAGGCATGTTGTCACCGACAGTTTAGGGGTATTGTCACGGAATTATAGATACTCCTTTAGGCGTACGATAAAAAAAACGTCGACACACACCGAACAAAGGATACGCATATTGCAAACCAGGTATCACTCAAAACATCATGTTTTACGATTTTGTTCTTTAGAATTAGACATTTATTACGTACAAACCGAAAATCAGTGCAATATCGTGAATATCAAAATAGGCGCCGTAGATAGGAAAATATGCATGTGATAATGACTTAAAAGGTAAAGAAAGTTTAAGCAATACGATTCCCCACGCATATGTTGCAACTAAATTAGCTTTCGATGTGTCATGTTTAGAGCAACTATCTAGGTAAACGACTGATGTAGATGGACCTTTAATGTCCCTGTTTTCGAATTCAGGAGGTCAATATATTCTGTAAATCAACTTCTTTTGAAATGAAAATGAGTCAGTTGACGGGAGGGCACAGTCTGTCGCCATGGCTGCGTCAAAAACCTGCTGACGAATCTCTCCATTGAACCTAACATGTGGACACTTTCGAAGAAAGAATAATAAAGATCGATCGAAAAATGAAATCTTCAAAATCTGCATTCCGTTTTTCATTTGAGCAAGTTAAAATTGTTAAGCATGCATTTACCTAGTTATTTTTAGCAGCGTATGCAATGACCTTTACATTCAATTATTGGAGTATTGGATGCCGATCAAACTTCAAACTAATCTTATGTAGAATATTGAGTTTGTTTCGGACGTCGGGATCAAGACATGCACTTTTAAGTTTGTTTCCAGTTTTGATGGACCTGAATTCAACCTCTCTGAAAGTGTGTTTTATCCATAATGCTGTTGTATTTATCCATTGCATTGTATCACTTTCCATGGAATCAGAAAAAAATGAGTATCTTAAAATTAACATTCTAAATGATTTAAGGTGTCTCAATTATATGCCCCCCTCTTAAGAAACACTAGCTTTATATTGCAAAATGTAATTAGATTTCCAGTTTATTACATTTCCAACTGGGCCATAGTTAAGGCTGAGGATGTAGAAAATGGACATACTGAAGTGATTCTAAAATCATCTAAATAGAACTGTTTCTTATAGTTACATACTTTGAAGCAATTGGTTTGGAATAATTGTTCGAAATAATTGGATACTCCATTTCTTATGCTCAGAGGACGGTTAGCTCCGACAGACTTATGGTGTATAATGTCTTTAATGTCTTTAACCCCTTGTTTACAAAATTCAATTTCATACATTTATAACAAGCCTAGTGACCGGAGGTCTGTGCCTTGGCGATTGAAGAAGCTTACAGTGTCGAATAAGTCTCACAACAGTTATAATTTGTGAGGTCTACAAGTTAGTTACGAAAAATCGGGATCCATTTTCTACAGCTTACGGACGCTAAAAATCAGAAAAAGAATAGCTAGGGGGTTTTAAATATAACTGGATAAGGGTAGACTAGACCGATGACTTTCAGGATTTCGGCGACAGGAATCATACATTTATACCAACATAAACTAGTTTTGCATTGGATTTCATTCATAATATTGGTAAATAAAATAAGGGCAATTTAGATTTTATTGTTGACGAATGTTATCAAACCTTACAGATAATCCAGATAAATAAAAAAAACAATGCCTTGTAAACATAATTCACGAATGACTTAATAATTATGGCTGTATAGAGGTAAAATAACGTGTTTGCTGCCGTGTCTGATTCTGAATTGGCATACTTATACTATAGTTACAGTAACAAGGGAAATAGTAACACAACTAATGGAGTGAAGCTGCTGTGCGCATATCATGATAACAATCTTTTAAATTCACAATATACATAGTTATCTCTGTGTATTTTGTGAGTAAGCTCAATGCACTTCGTAATTTATATTAAAAGGATAAACTACATTTCCGTATTCATGTTCAATTTATTTTTTATTTACCAGGGCTAGGTTTTAGTGTGAGCTGCATAGGTTATTATTCTAACGAAAACAATATCAGACATATTCACGTGTCCCCGACCATTCAAGACATCTTCGAATTTACTTGAGATTTCAACAACAACAAAAAATAAAACTTAACTTAATCGGATGTTTGATTTTGTATCTCGCAACTTCGATAGACATTTCGGCCGGAAAAAGGAGTAATTCACCATATAACTTCATTTTACAGTGCTGGAATTGGGAGGACTGGTACCTATATCGGTTTAGATGCATTACTTTCTCATGGCAAGAAAACGGGAAAAGTTGACATACCCAGATACATCAGAACCATGAGGACTGGTAGAATGAACATGATCCAAACTTATGTACGTAGTGCCTAAATGAGTTACAAAGCACAAAGGTATAAGGTTTAACGTCTACTATATTTAACTGACATGTCAGTAGTTCCGGCCTTTTTTAACTTGACTTTGTGATATATATCATTCTAATTACTAACCATCACCCGCAACATACTGGCATATAAGTTTCTTGTGTGCATTATTGTAACGCTGAATATAACGTGCGAAATAGTAAGCTGTTTCCATGAATTACCTTTACGAAGTAACCTTAAGTCGTTTAAACATGTTTGTTTTCTTTAACGTGTGTGCGGCCCTTCTACTAATACAGTTATTTGTTTGCATTACAGGAACAGTACATCGCTTTGCACGAATTACTTGTGGAAGGATTCAATTTACAAGAATCACTCATTTTTCGAGTGAATTTCCCCGCTGTACTAGAAACAATGTGTCCTACGAATGCACCAGCGAATCAGACAAGGACTCATCGGGAATTTAAGGTTGGAATTCTCCTAAACATTCAACAACATTGTATTTTTGCATTCAGCAAGTGAAACTTTAATATCTTTTTTTGCTTTGTCATAGATGCATTTAAATATAGAAAGCAGTTTTGTAAGATATACATGTACAATCACCATCTATAATGCCATCATCACGCTTTTTCTCTTCTTCTATTGTGTTTTCTGTTGTTGATGCAGGTGTTAAAAACATTAACTCCAAACTACTCCCTGAGTTGTTTTAAAGCTGCGTTACTGGCAGAAAACATGGAAAAGAACCGGGATAAGGCCATTCTAGCAGGTATTTCATTATCGCATTCTATTGACGTGCATACGTTTTAACTCGCACAGTTTACGATGATTGCCATTGCGATATGGACTTATATATTACGAATTTTGACTGCTGATTTTTTGTATTGATTTGATGTTCAATGTGTATTGTTCTGTGCCCTGAAAGAGGCAACCGAAGTCCTTTCAATTGGTAATTGATGCTCTTTCCATGACGTTCAACTTTAAATGTGTAGCGATGACGACTAGTTTACCCGTTGTCAGTATGATGCGACCAGGTGAATCAATATGCTGTTTGCTTTCGGCATAGTGTTTCAATAAGAATAACGCATGCTTAACATGTTTGTATGCAATCATATAAATACGATAATGTGTCGCATTAATATATCAAACATGTGGAATCATCAGTGTATTGTTATAGTTTTCCATTATTCGATTTACAAATTGACAAAAATCACCTACACCATACTTGCATGCAATTACAGCATCATTTCGTATAGTTTGTCTATTCATATAGATTCTGAGCTCTAATTACATCCTATTGTGCTGAAGTTGTGAGATTGTTTTTTTTCTTCATTTTACTAGATTACTTTGATTAACATATATTCTGCTTTGTCTTTTCTAAAGCGGACAAGTACAGACCATTTCTTCAGTCACAATTACCGAACATGACAGATTACATCAATGCTGTAATGATACAGGTAATTATGTTCTTGTTCCATTCATTATCTCACATAAGCTTTGATATATTCAAGCACTTGTGATACCCAAAAGAGAAACATATCGTACAATTCACATACCTTAACCTTTGAAGGTTCAATGTAGGAAGTGGCTTGCTGTATCACACTATTGGATTATAAGAGGCGACTAATGTGTATTCAATGTGTATAATTAGGGTTGATTCTTTCTTGCCTTCTATTCAGGGGACATGAAAGAAACCAAAATAGAAACCTTGTATATCCCACTGCATTAGTATCGTTATGGTCGCAAGAAACGTTCAACCCTTTACTTTTTTGTATACATTTCTATTTTCGTGTGCTGTATGATGAAATACGTCCTTTCCTTTCTGCAGTCACACACTTCGATGTCTGGGTATCTGATGACACAGTTTCCTTTAGTGGACACCATCGATGACTTCTGGACAATGGTGTTTGACTACAGCTGTGAAAACATTGTCGTTCTTGGAAAACCACCAGAGGTTTGTAATAAATAATACGTTCCGATATATTAACATGTATCATATTCATCCATAATAGAAAGGAAGTATAGCTTAATCTCTTTTATATTACAAACCGTCATTGGCCTGTTTCTTAACATTGTCTTCAGGTTGGTAAGTATGGATTATGAAAATGTTCTTGTTGTACAACCAAAAAGTGCTTCAATGTGACAGTTAGATGACTAGTACGGTATGTACTCTGTCACCTTCATCCGACAAATGACAAGTGAAGCGTATGCACACAAAAGTGTAAAATGTGAACGAGTTGTCCACAAATCGATGTCGTAATAGTCATCAAAACGCCATATAGAAACACTCATTAGTTGTGTAACATGAACATTTTCATAATCGTAATTGGTTTGAATATCATTATTAGGGGTTCTTTGTGATATGAATCAACATACTAATTAATTAAGTAAATAAAATACCTTGTTTTCCATACATGTACCATGACGTTCCCTGGTTTTGGCACATAGTTATATAATCATGTCGTCTTAAATATCTTAAAAACATAGAAAGAGGCTTGGCTTCGAGAAGAGGGCGGAGGCTTTGCTGCAGGAAATTCCATTTCAGTAAAAAAGTTGCAGGATCGATCTCCAAACACCGAGTTGGCTATTGTAGACTACCAAGTTGAAAGAGAGGTAGGTCGTAAATCACTCGTAGGATAACCAGCCGCCAATACGATTTTTTTTTTTAAATATTTGTGTGCTGAAACATAAATTCCTTTAATTTTAGATAGACATTGGTCTTTTCAAAGGATTGTATTTGGCGCTTTCTTAATAATAAGATAGATAAACTAATTGCCACGTCGGCAATGAGATACCTCATGATAATATTTGATTCTTAAGGAAATGTGATCCCATTTATAAACGCCTAATGAAATAGTTTTTATTATACAGTCGAACCTCGTTATTTCGAACTCGTATAACTCGAAGACCCCGTTTAACTCGAACTATTTCATCGGTCCCGGCCAGAACTCTTCTAAATCTTAGTAACAAAAACTCTGATAATTCGAACTCTGTGAAAACTCGAAAAATTCGGATATCCCGGAGTGAAACATCGGTCCCGACAACGTAAATCCTACATTAAAATATCTCCTACCTCGAAGTTTCTTAAGATTCACAAGTCTATCATAATATTATATTCTTTAATTATTTAATACATATTAGACGCAGTGCTACGGTAAACATCGTTATAATTGAGCAGCTTACGCTCGGTCATGATTACTTCGATTAAACTTATGGCATTAAAATGTGTTTGACTGTAAAAACACTTTGTACAAGTGAAAAAAACCCCTTCATCAATGTTGATTAACAACAATTAGTACTCAGTGTGAGCCCGTAAACAATTTGAATGGCACTTTATTTACGACACATTCTAACCGGAAAATGGGTCACAGTGTGCGGTCATGCGTAAATAAGCTCCACAGTAAAAATCACAACCAAGGACTGGTTCGTCGGTTTATGTTTTTACAAGAGCTTGTATGGCACCGATAATTAATTTAGAGATTATAGGAACAATACGATAATTACTGTTGAGTACGTCGTGTTGAGGAGATTTCATGTGCCATTGGGGTCTATAAATGTGGATATGTTTCCTGATTAACTCATTTCCATTTCGGAATGTCGAAATCAACTGAGCAATCCAACGTGTACGCTCCAATACAGTGATTTGTGTAAAGCACTTTCATTTCCGCATTGAAATTTTCTATCGGCATAGCACGAGGTCGGACCAGTGTGTTTATTGTAACATTAACTAATTAATGAATATGATTATGAATAAGTTTTTATTTTTTATTTTATAAAGTTATCTTTTTGTCATTTATCGACAGTTTAAATACGTTGATTGTTAGAGAAATCAATGACATATATAGCTTCATATTAGACCAAACACTTTACCAATCTTTATGCCAAACATAGGAACTCTCTTAACTCGAATACTCGGATAACTCGAAGTTTCCCAACGATCCCATCGACTTCAATAACGAGGTTCGACTGTATATTATTATAATAAGTTGTTTCTTATGGCTAGTTTTTTTTACTTTTGAATCATGTATTCAGCTCTTTTCCAAGAAGTATGTCCGGTGTACATTGGAATATTGACATAAACACATTTAAACATGTGCGCATAAAAATAATAACAAAAGAATATCACATGAAACTATCTTAGAAATCCCTCAGCTGCTTTGTTTTGGGAAAAAAACTCAGTCAAGTTATTTTTGCAAGAGTAATTTCAATTAAATACTAAAAATGTGATCCGAGTATTGATTAGGACTTTTATCGATTGAAAGAATAAGTTCCATACAAACATAGCAGAAACATCGAATGCAATCATGCTGTCTACTGACATAGTGTATTTTGAGGATTTAAATTCATACAAAACCTATTTTTATAAGTATATCATCTATGAGACTGACTATCTATTGATGAAAAGTGTCGTATCATTACAGAATAAGCAAGGTATACATTTCTGATCCTTAATTGTTATTCTATACAGGAATGTAGAATATGTCAACCAGTAAAGGAATATTTTCAGTTTTCAGATGACAATTCGATTACTTAATATATAAGTACATTTATATATGTATATTCTGTAAGTAAAAGCAAACGATCAACAGTCTTTTCAATAAATCATAAACACAATGTAGATTTATCGAAACAATGGTGTATGTATGTTTCTGTATTAAATTTAGGCGAACTAGACTTTATGATATATTTTAGACTTTTTTTCACAAACACCTCATACTTTGGTGTTTTCTAACACACAGATATCCGGCAGTGAGACTATCAGGATCTTCAGCATGTCTAAGTGGTCATCAAACTCGTTACTGCCTCCATCTGACTCGTCTCTTCTCCAACTGTTGGAACAGCTAGACAGTCGGCGACGGTCAGACAACACAAGACCTGTTGTTGTCATGTGTCGGTTAGTGTGACGCTGACGTATAGCAAATTATATTGATGATACCGTCGATACTAGAACATTACTTAGAAAACATATGTTTATCAAGTAGATATATAATTAGGTCAGTTGATTCACTTGATAAGCTAAAATCATACAGTAAATCATTTCAAATACCACTTAGAGTTAATGACTAGCATATTTTATCCGATGATTATACATGTATTTAGAATTTGTTTGTAACATTAGTATGCTGCACATCTGTTGTATTTATTCGAAACATTTTATTTTCAAATAAATACAACAGATGTGCAGCGTACTTCGTAACGGAGTTTACTTCCACTCTACCAAAAAAACGTGTCTCTTCATAGAAATTTAGGAGAGCAGTGGCGCCAACTTGTTTGCAAGTGGTTTTTATTATTATCCCAAAATAAAAAAAAAGTGTATTTGTCGACTACAGGGACGGATGCACACAGAGTGGACTGTTCTGTTGTATATCCAATATCAGAGATCAAATGAAGATGGACGAAGAGGTGGACATATTCCAAATAACAAGGCAGTTGAAAAAACGGAGACCAGAGGCGCTAGAAAATGTTGTAAGTTTGTGTATAATTTAATAATGTTATCTTTATCACACAGATTGGTCTTAACTCTAATAATAATCATGCTTTCTGTAACCACAAAACGTCTCATAATTATTATGTTACTATAAATGCTGTAATAATTGCATGTAATACATGATTCGTTTTTTCTGAAAAGTAGTACTGAAATGTTGTTGTTTCAGGAAAAGTCTTCACTTTTAAAAGATATGCATGTCTTGTCATGTATTTTGTATTGTATTTTAGGAGCAATATCAGTACTGCTACAACATTCTGGGGCTATATCTGGATTCAACTGACGTGTACGTGAACTGAAGAGACCTCAATGCGTGTTTAGTGTAACACTCCAAAAGCATATGGATTCACATTTACTGAAAATAATCCAGTGAGAACATGTATATCGTTACACTTAAAGTGTTGACTTTGTTTGATTTCCTGCATCTACTTACAATAATTTATTTAATCCCTTCATATTTTAAGTGATTATTATAAACAGCACCTGTATAGCAATATACTAAACGTGAAGATATCATATCTATACAATGAACGACTGAAAACTGGTTCAGCTTATGGAGCCCAAATATGAAAAATGTAAGATGTAGAAAAGATTCCTACCTACTTCCATATTAACTGAATTTAACTCAACATTGACTGTGGGCTCACAGCAGAACAACACATTTGTGCATCAACAGAACAAAGCCAATGTGTATTTTATTTAACCTTACTTGAAGTAAAGATATAGCGCCTATCGGATAATACAAAAGACTATATAAATAATTCATGCTTATGCATCATTATATTGAAAATGTGTTTCCTATATAACATAAACATAATTATTTAATAGAACAGGTTACGCACATCAATTTGACTTTTTATTGAGTTTTATTGACTGATTTATGCTGATAAGGCATTTATCTACGGTTTACTTAGAATTTCATGTGGTATTGGACATATTTGACATAATAATCCACTCTCTCTCTTGCTCTTATTTATATGCATCTTGATCTTGTGAAACATTATACTATAAAATAAAATGTAGGTCAATGTGGCATATAGTTTCCGGTTCACTGACTTTGATTAGAATTGTCATGAGCTCCGTTTATCTAAGAATTAAGTCCCTTAATTATCAAATGTTATATGATAGTACACCTTCGTAATTGCTGAACATCAAATTATATGTAGTTCACTGTAACCTGTTTTTTTCGCTTTTTTTTCTTATTTACGTCAAAGAACAGTTTTTGTACTATGTATTGTATATAATACGTATTACTCATTGCTTTTTCTCCATATATGTACCATTTTTTACTACTTACATTCACCTTTTCATACTTTAAATTTCTATTTAATTGCCTGACCTAATTTGTTTAGTGATGTTTATAACCCAATTATAGTTTATTCAGTGCCCGTATGTCAGTTTAGTCATTCTGAAAGCGAAGCATCTATGTTGGTAACATCTTACTCTTACCATTTCTGACGAGCCATCGACAATATTTATCTGGCTCCGAACTATCTTTGTCACATTAAATTTATATATATAATTATATAGTATTCCGTGTGTTTTCATAAAAGGAGCTTTGATTGTAATAAGTTAATCTATAAACGTTTACATATAGCTGAGTTATAATAATTGACCATGGGGAACTAAACAGTGAACTTGAAGTAAATTGACTTAATCGTTAAGAGAAACTTTAACATTTGATAATTGCGATAGTATTTATGTATGTTATTAATCCATACAGGATTAATGAACTAATTGTATGCTATCGTATGTTGCATTTAAACCATCTGGTGTTTTAATACTTTGCTCTTCAAACCTTCAATTCACGGTAATGGTTTGTTTTATTTCGTACATTTTATCCCAGGCGACCATGTTTATTAATTGATCTGGGTCATGTGATACATGGGGAATAACTCGTTATACAAACAGGGATACAAACAGTGATGAGAATGAGCGTTAGAAAATATACGTTAGATTTCGGTTGCGAAGGCGAAGGAAGGGTTGGGCTATAGATCAGTGACAAGCGAAAACAGACTGTCGGATACTTGAGTATTTGTTTTTTCATCATAAATGTTAATCCGTTTTTTATTAGACGTGTATACTATATATGTGGAACAAATTTTTCACATGCTTTGTTTCCGAGAATATAAATTTTTCGGAGTTACTGAGTTCGGGAGACCAGGACGGACCGGGATCGTTTTTATCATTATACGAACATTTAAACAATCTTTAGATTTTGTTTCTTGTGCAACATCTTCACAACAACTGGAATAAAGGGACGTCGGGTGCCTAGTGAGACACCACAGAGAAAACAGTAAGAGCAAGGAAGAGTTACAGTTGCAATGGGGCAAAATATAAATTTGGATTCGTCAATGTCAATATCAATCGCGATTTGCAAGAGGGATTCACATGTGTCGCCTCATGTACAAATGTTAGTTAATATATGAATGGGAAAGTTTTTCAATTTTGGCATTGATGTCAAAATCAGAAAATAACGACTGCTTGGGATAAATATGTAAATATATCAGTTGGAACTCTTATTTCATAGAAATTCTAGATTATAATTTTTGCATTTATAATGTTTTACAATTAATCTTTTAACAAAAATAGAAAATGTGGTTGGACATGCCTCCTAATTGAGATATAGGGGATGAGGGGTTGCAGTTTCATAACTTGCATTGCAACCATTTATCATACTTTTGTAAACTGGATTGAAGATATATGAAGGCGCCAAGTATAACAAAATAAGTACGTCCGCGCTTGTTGCTTGGTATCAGCTGATTACTGGTTAGTAAATATAATAGCAGACACATATGAATACAAGTTATTAGGATCATTTAAATCTTGTATATATACAGTAATAGGGAGGATTAATCGTTCATTGCCAACATCGGAAATTCTGTCATTAATGATTACACATGATGATATGACTATATTTCTGTATTGAAATGAAAACATTTAAGGCACATTTTCTTATGTAAATAACTTCATATCATTTTCATTACAAACAAATCTTTTTAAAATGACTTTGCTCAATATATATACTTCACTCAGGCAAGTGACAACTATGTTTAATGAAATAGTAGTTTTTTTCACATTTCGTAGTACTACAATTTGTGGTGGTAGGATGACGCACCCGCCTTTTAGCAAGGCGCCCGGGGTCCGTTTCCCTGATCAGACGTGAACATATATTTGATCACCTGGCCATTCACGTGTGTTTTATCCGGATACTTTTGTTTCTCCTCAAATTAAGACAATCTGTGCTCTTCCATTCGGGCCCATAAGAGTGATTGACATCAGTTGGAAAACGTGTTACCAATTGTTGTAAAATCAACAATGTATACATATATACTACAATTTGTAAAAGTTCATGTACCTTTCAAAATAATATGAGATGAATCTTCCTCCCAAAGAGTTGATATGCCTCTATTATTGTTTGAGTTTTGTTCTAGTTTTAAGATTGTATACCATTTTACCATTTGATATGTAAGATATTCCCTACTGTGAAAACATGAATTGTCAATTAAATGTGTACAGCATGATTTATTGCTTTTGAATTCTGTCAATTAAATAAAATTAATTATTGTCCTATGTTCGATGTGTTGCATTAATCAATATGTTATTAAATTATGAATCCCACAAAACTATGTTGAAGGCCATAGTATCATCTCCTCAAAATTCAATCACAGGGTTTACTGTATTTGAATTCAGATAAGAACATCATGGGCATTTCAATAGGTCGTTACAACACCTGTACCTGTCTAATAGATTAACAAAATTTACATTCATGCATGAATGTCTGAAGCTCTTGCTGCATACACACAAATACCTTGTCATTGTTAACTGTATCCCTTGTATCTTGTTCAGTAGCTGTCTCTTCTTAAAAAGTTGTCCATTATTATTACAAAGAGTGCTGCTTTTTAAATAGGCGAAACGTCTCATACCGTCCATTTTGTGAGCGAATAAACAGAAACTTAGCCCTATGGGTATCGATCAGTCCATTATCTCACAGAATGGACAGCTTTTCGGAATTTCTCTTTTACATACAGGAGGACAGGATTTCCATTTCCTTCGACATCACACGCCATTTCGATCTTTCAAAGTCTTTTGCACTTATAGAGTCACGTTTACATGTTTGCATGAGGTTACCGTTATACGCGATAGAACACCTCGAGCTGGCGTGACAAGTGTTGGAAATTCTATATTACAAATTCATAATGATACCAGGCAACAGGATGGCAGGGTGTTTGCTCAATCATGAAGTTTACCCCATGCATATAGCAAAACTAGCCCCAAAACTGCGAAAATCTATGAAAGATCAAAATATCATGTGATGTCGGAGGAAACGGCGATCATGTCCGTGAAAGGTGAATAATAATAATAATAATAATAATAATAATAATAATAATAATATACAACACTTATATAGCGCCCTATATAATTTGTAAAATTACTCTAAGGTGCTTTACAACATATGGATAATAGTAATGGTTATAATTGTGAAAACAAAAAACAACATGGAAAACCTTCTTCCCTTCTCATATCTTTTTGGATTAAACGAGATTTATTTTCAACGACTTTTTAAAACAGCTTACCATCTATATACTGGGACAGAGGCTATGATGTTGTTCCCAATTATCTACATTATTGTTTAATGAGAGACGTTGCGTGTTTTTTATGTACATACAAACTGTGGTCTTTTCTGTAAGGATTTTACAAAACTTGCCTATATACGTTTATCAGGTTAAATTAAATGTACACTGTTATTTGACTGACAGAGGTAATTCTATCAATGTGGTATTTGTTGTTTTGTTGCTCGTGTTTGAAGCTATCTCATGTAATCATCCATACCATATTTTGTCGCATATATGTAACGAAGCTGGGACAACTGATTAAAGGTTTCTGGTGTCTATTACCACATGTAATACTCGAACTCGGGCGTATGTTAACATGAGTAAACACTTGTGTAAACGAATCCCTAGACCTGTATGAACTTCCTGGTTGGTGAGATTTTGTACAGACAAGGTTTGATGCTGTAGCCGACCAGACATGGAGTTTTACCGGAACCTGCTAGTCATCTGGTCAGTAGTGTGGACACTGACGGTGGTTAAAGCATCAGGTAAGGGTTCAAACTGAAAAACATGTTCAAGTAGCTTTACCAACAGTGTACCATCGTTATCTTCAAGTAAAGGGTTGGCCCAATAACATGTACGAGACAGGCTTTACTACGTGTATACGATAATGCTAACATGCAAAATTATTTCATTACTGGACATCCGACTCAGTCAGTTTTAAGTGGTTTTAAAGTTATTCATGTTTATGTCGAATGTGAAATATCCAATGTCTGTTGACGCAGAAATTCAGCTGCAAGTGTTGTGTAGTTCACCCCGAACTGTGGAGGAGGTATAGCACCTGCCTTGGATGCTCCACGTCTCTTCTTCGGGGCTTACATTTGCGGTATCAGGAGAAGTGAATTTTAAGTTCATGAGTATGAGAATATAAGTTAACCTTTTAAAAATGAGAGCACATGCATGCACTCAAATTGAAATGTGACAGCCATATGCCTTGCTCTTACCAAATTCAACAGCAGTCAATAAAAGTGCTTTAAACTAGCTACAAATTAATAAATTTCCCTTTTTAAAAGGACATAAATATAAAACGAAACACATAAAATATAATTAATTACAATACCTCACTCCCTCGGAGTACGAATAATGTACTCCCTGTGAGTACTGGACAAATATAATAGTCCTCCCACTAAATGCAGGATTCAACAAGTACAGTACTCCTGAGTGCAATATGGATTCTACAGTACTCTTTCTGTACTCCAAATATACTGCACTCCTTCCGAGTGTAACATGTAGCATCAGTTTGGACCCCTTGACCTTGTGATATCAGTACTCAAAACCGTGTAGCAACAATATTACCGACCTCCCTTTGAGTGAAACATATGTAATTTAACTGGGTACTAAACTTATATTTACAGCACTTCCTCAGAATGCAACCATTGTAATTATATATAATCAGTGTTCAAAACTGTGTTTTTTGTAAACAAAAATAACATATGTGTCACAAGAGTATATGTGTACTGAGCATTTACAGCATCCCCTCCTAGTGCAAAATTTGTTTACACAATTTCACAGCACTCCCTCTGAGTACAACTCTTGTACTTCAAATATTCACAAAAAAATACAGCACTCTCTTCGGTCATGAGTGCAGCACTATAGTGCTACCATATGAAGTGTACAAGAATAGATTTCAGCACTCCATGTGAGTGAGACACTTGTATAACAAAAGTGCACAACAATGTACAGCACTCCTTCTGAGTGTAGCATGAGTACTGCAATAGTGTACAAGGTAATGTACAGCAATCCCTCTGAGTGTAACATGAGTACTACAATAGTGTACAAGATAATGTTCAGCACTCCCTATGAGTGTAGCATGAGTACTACAATAGTGTACAAGGTAATGTTCAGCACTCCCTCTGAGTGTAGCATGAGTACTACAATAGTGTAAAAAACAATGTACAGCACTCCCTCTGAGTGTAGCATGAGTACTACAATAGTGTACAAAACAATGTACAGCACTCCCTCTGAGTGTAGCATGAGTACTACAATAGTGTACAAAACAATGTACAGCACTCCCTCTGAGTGTAGCATGAGTACTACAATAGTGTACAAAACAATGTACAGCACTCCCTCTGAGTGTAGCATGAGTACTACAATAGTGTACAAAACAATGTACAGCACTCCCTCTGAGTGTAGCATGAGTACTACAATAGTGTACAAAACAATGTACAGCACTCCCTCTGAGTGTAGCATGAGTACTACAATAGTGTACAAAACAATGTACAGCACTCCCTCTGAGTGTAGCATGAGTACTACAATAGTGTACAAAACAATGTACAGCACTCCCTCTGAGTGTAGCATGAGTACTACAATAGTGTACAAAACAATGTACAGCACTCCCTCTGAGTGTAGCATGAGTACTACAATAGTGTACAAAACAATGTACAGCACTCCCTCTGAGTGTAGCATGAGTACTACAATAGTGTACAAAACAATGTACAGCACTCCCTCTGAGTGTAGCATGAGTACTACAATAGTGTACAAAACAATGTACAGCACTCCCTCTGAGTGTAGCATGAGTACTACAATAGTGTACAAAACAATGTACAGCACTCCCTCTGAGTGTAGCATGAGTACTACAATAGTGTACAAAACAATGTACAGCACTCCCTCTGAGTGTAGCATGAGTACTACAATAGTGTACAAAACAATGTACAGCACTCCCTCTGAGTGTAGCATGAGTACTACAATAGTGTACAAAACAATGTACAGCACTCCCTCTGAGTGTAGCATGAGTACTACAATAGTGTACAAAACAATGTACAGCACTCCCTCTGAGTGTAGCATGAGTACTACAATAGTGTACAAAACAATGTACAGCACTCCCTCTGAGTGTAGCATGAGTACTACAATAGTGTACAAAACAATGTACAGCACTCCCTCTGAGTGTAGCATGAGTACTACAATAGTGTACAAAACAATGTACAGCACTCCCTCTGAGTGTAGCATGAGTACTACAATAGTGTACAAAACAATGTACAGCACTCCCTCTGAGTGTAGCATGAGTACTACAATAGTGTACAAAACAATGTACAGCACTCCCTCTGAGTGTAGCATGAGTACTACAATAGTGTACAAAACAATGTACAGCACTCCCTCTGAGTGTAGCATGAGTACTACAATAGTGTACAAAACAATGTACAGCACTCCCTCTGAGTGTAGCATGAGTACTACAATAGTGTACAAAACAATGTACAGCACTCCCTCTGAGTGTAGCATGAGTACTACAATAGTGTACAAAACAATGTACAGCACTCCCTCTGAGTGTAGCATGAGTACTACAATAGTGTACAAAACAATGTACAGCACTCCCTCTGAGTGTAGCATGAGTACTACAATAGTGTACAAAACAATGTACAGCACTCCCTCTGAGTGTAGCATGAGTACTACAATAGTGTACAAAACAATGTACAGCACTCCCTCTGAGTGTAGCATGAGTACTACAATAGTGTACAAAACAATGTACAGCACTCCCTCTGAGTGTAGCATGAGTACTACAATAGTGTACAAAACAATGTACAGCACTCCCTCTGAGTGTAGCATGAGTACTACAATAGTGTACAAAACAATGTACAGCACTCCCTCTGAGTGTAGCATGAGTACTACAATAGTGTACAAAACAATGTACAGCACTCCCTCTGAGTGTAGCATGAGTACTACAATAGTGTACAAAACAATGTACAGCACTCCCTCTGAGTGTAGCATGAGTACTACAATAGTGTACAAAACAATGTACAGCACTCCCTCTGAGTGTAGCATGAGTACTACAATAGTGTACAAAACAATGTACAGCACTCCCTCTGAGTGTAGCATGAGTACTACAATAGTGTACAAAACAATGTACAGCACTCCCTCTGAGTGTAGCATGAGTACTACAATAGTGTACAAAACAATGTACAGCACTCCCTCTGAGTGTAGCATGAGTACTACAATAGTGTACAAAACAATGTACAGCACTCCCTCTGAGTGTAGCATGAGTACTACAATAGTGTACAAAACAATGTACAGCACTCCCTCTGAGTGTAGCATGAGTACTACAATAGTGTACAAAACAATGTACAGCACTCCCTCTGAGTGTAGCATGAGTACTACAATAGTGTACAAAACAATGTACAGCACTCCCTCTGAGTGTAGCATGAGTACTACAATAGTGTACAAAACAATGTACAGCACTCCCTCTGAGTGTAGCATGAGTGCTACAATAGTGTACAAAAATAGTGTACAGCACTCCTTCTGAGTGTAGCATGAGTACTACAATAGTGTACAAAACAGTGTACAGCACTTCTTCTGAGTGTAGCATGAGTACTACAATAGTGTACAAGGTAATGTTCAGCACTCCCTCTGAGTGTAGCATGAGTACTACAGTAGTGTACAAAACAATGTACAGCAGTCCCTCTGACTGTAGCATGAGTACTACAATAGTGTACAAAACAATGTACAGTAGTCCCTCTGACTGTAGCATGAGTACTACAATAGTGTACAAAACAATGTACAGTAGTCCCTCTGACTGTAGCATGAGTACTACAATAGTGTACAAAACAATGTTCAGCACTCTCTCTGAGTGTAGCATGAGTGCTACAATAGTGTACAAAAATAGTGTACAGCACTCCTTCTGAGCGTAGCATGAGTACTACAATAGTGTACAAAAAAATGTACAGCAATCCCTCTGAGTGTAGCATGAGTGTTACAATAGTGTACATAACAGTGTACAGCACTCCCTCTGAGTGTAGCATTAGTACTACAATAGTGTACAAAACAGTGTACAGCCCTCTTTCTGAGTGTAGCATGAGTACTACAATAGTGAACAAAACAATGTTCAGCACTCTCTCTGAGTGTAGCATGAGTGCTACAATAGTGTACAAAACAATGTACAGCACTCCTTCTGAGTGTAGCGTGAGTACTACAATAGTGTACAAAACAGTGTACAGCACTTCTTCTGAGTGTAGCATGAGTACTACAATAGTGTACAAGGTAATGTTCAGCACTCCCTCTGAGTGTAGCATGAGTGCTACAATAGTGTACAAAAATAGTGTACAGCACTCCTTCCGAGTGTAGCATGAGTACTACAATAGTGTACAAAACAATGTACAGTAGTCCCTCTGACTGTAGCATGAGTACTACAATAGTGTACAAAACAATGTTCAGCACTCTCTCTGAGTGTAGCATGAGTGCTACAATAGTGTACAAAACAATGTACAGCAATCCTTCTGAGTGTAGCATGAGTACTACAATAGTGTCCAAAACAATGTACAGCACTCCATCTGAGTGTAGCATGAGTACTACAATAGTGTACAATACAATGTACAGCACTCCCTCTGAGTGTAGCATGACTACTACAATAGTGTACAAGGTAATGTACAGCACGCCCTCTGAGTGTAGCATGAGTGCTACAATAGTGTACAAAACAATGTACAGCAATCCCTCTGAGTGTAGCATAAGTGTTACTATAGTGTACAAAACAGTGTACAGCACTCCCTCTGAGTGTAGCATTAGTACTACAATAGTGTACAAAACAGTGTACAGCACTCCCTCTGAGTGTAGCATGAGTGCTACAATAGTGCACAAGGTAATGTACAGCACTCCCTCTGAGTGTAACATGAGTACTACAATAGTGTACAAGATAATGTTCAGCACTCCCTATGAGTGCATCAATTGTATTGTTGGCACGCTCCCTCTGAGTGCCACCCTTGTACCCGAACGGTGTACTACAATAATAACTATAATGTAAATATAACTTAAAGCTGCAGCTGTATCAGAAACTTGGTTGACCCAAAGCGGTTCACTTTTAGCAATCTTAATAAAGTAGAATGACAATTAGCTGCAGAAAATGTATCAAAAAATCACATGTGGTCAGCAATTGATTATATAACTCAAACCATAGATATTACCATTTATATGAAAAATGCTCACAAGTGTTAGTTTGGAAACATGCTACCGAGACAGTACACACTCAATAAGGTCAGAGTTTTATTAACCTATGAAATTATGAAAGGGCTTAGAAATAGGTTATACTTAAATGATATATAGGAAATACATTTTATAATGCAAACACAAACGAAAATACCAAAACATGTTGAATAGATGAGCTACTTGACAACTTGATGTGGTCATTAACAGACAATATCTGTCATATAAAGGCCGTCGACCCTGTGTAGTTCTATGATCAAATTACATGGCATTATGATTTTAATATTTGAATATAATTAACATAGTGGCTCTTCAATTCTACAAAAGATGCTTTGGGCTTGCACTCAACCTAGTAGCTATTCACACAGCAACATCAACAGGAACAAAAACAAAACAAAAAGTGTCAACACATGTACAGTATTAAACTGTTTTCACTATGTCCCATTGGTTATTTAATAGTCAGTGTCATATGCTCCAAATATGGGGAGGTTGATATTACGGACAAGGTTAACCACGTGTCTACTTGAAATTGAGGATAGCACTGCGGATGCTGCCTAAATACTGTCGCATGGTGCGGTGTCCATCCTCCCTGTACACTAAGTGGACCCCATCTCTGGAGTCAATGTAGGAAAGGGCGGGGTCCGAGAAGCCACGTACTGTGGTGCCAGAACGATATTAATGTGGATGGATTGATCTCGCCCATGAATGAAGCCTGTCATTCACCTCATCGACCTTGTCGTTGTAGCCAGGAAAGATCACCCATGGCTAGCGACGGAGGAGTTGACCGATACTTACATGGTTAAACCCCAACCCCAGAACGGAGGAACTCGGCGATGGACACAAGATCAACACACAGTTTTTTAGGGGAATGTCTGCTATCACATAAGTCGTTACCCCCTAAGAACAGAGAGCTGTCGTCAGCAGGTAAATAAATCGAAAGTAATGAGGCAGAAGCCTGCAACAGTTTTTGGATGTTGGGACCACCCCTGGCCTGAATAATGACGTCATAATCACCGCAAAGTCTCAAATTTCTATCTTCCGAGAATGTTTTCATGTGCTCACCCAGACTCCTAATATAACTGTGACCTAATACTACGGAATGATATTTTGCATCCATCGTAAAAGCCCTTTATACAAATTTCATGCCAATTCTTTTATCAGCTAATAAGTGCATTTGTACCGGGTGTTCATACACATTCATAAATGCTTCACTGTATGAAATATATCTTTATTCAGAAGTGTGTATGGTATGTTACGGTACTGTCCGCTATGTTACACTAATATACAATCGCTATTATTAATACACAACAGTATTACATTAAACATAACATAGAAGGGAGAAAGATGATCACGAGGTATCATTATTAGTCCGTTGTTGCCATTTTATAAGGATTTCAAAATTATTTAACTGTTTAAAGTGCGTGTATGACTTTTTTTCATGTAGCTAGATATCTGCACATATAATTACAAGTACTAAATACTATAGGTATGGAAATTTGGGATGCATGATTATGTTTGAAATCCCATCTTTACGGACTTGACATATGCATCTCTATATTAAAAATGTAACCCATTTGAGTGTGCAAGTGTTCCTTAATATATATATAAATTTATATCGACATGTCGATAGTGCACGTGTGGACGCGGTCACTGAATACACCATTGGCTATCACAGTGATCCACCACAAACAACATATTGAAAGATTGTCGCGATACCGTGTATCTTCTTCATCGCTGACGGATACAAATAGCAGGGCAGTATTAGTCAATATGATGAGAAATATTTCTGTCGGCAAATTCTTTGGTGTTCCATAAATACCTGAATCAATGTGCATCATCATATTCACTCATTGAAAAATAAAACATTAAGTCATCATTTATCTGAGATATCATTTGTATTTTTTTTATTTATTTTTTATTCTGTGAATTTAAATCAACCATAAACCACATCCGAAATCAGTTTATATGTATGCTTACCCTTTCCCTTCTCTCTGTCTCTAACAAAGAATAAAGACACTCCATTTTAATATGTAAAATTATGAACATTCCTTTAAGATCAGCCCAAAGCATGTTCCTTCCTTTGAAGGATTCACCAACAATAAAATGAAGGTTCCAAACGAGTGATGATTGGCTATCATATTTATCTAGCTAGAGATAGTTATAACGACTGTTTAACCCCCTCCCCTCCCCCACCCCAAACAGATGTTTTATCTTCAAAATCATTTGTTTGACTTAACATCATTATTAATCGGACCGGCGAAATATTTGTCGTGAAATATGGTGTCACAACAGAAGAAGACATCGCACAGCATAGCGACTTGATCTAATACTTAAAATATTGCCCAGTGTAATACCGTCAAGGGTGTTACCTACATGTGTACTAGGGGGTCATGATTTTTTTTTTTACCAACTCCTAGCAAGTTTATTCAAAGAGTCGGAAGTGAGGAAACCTACAGTGCTTGTGGGAGAAACAATTTTCATCAGTTCTTTTTCAATAACTGTCATTTATTGTGTTAAAAAAATCAACGCACCGACATTATCTTATCATTATAATTACTGAAATTGTATGTTAGTGACGTTACACCGCGGACTCATGTCTCTTTCATTTTGAAAAGTCCGTGACATGGTCGCTGTGAAAGCCTGTTGCGGTCTATTTATTTATTGATATCAAAGAAACAATTTGAATGTTGAAGTCACAAAAGAACCAAGATTACACCTGCTGGTCGACTTCATTGTGTATCCTGCAGAGATAGCTTTCTTTCAAATCGAGTCCGAGAGCACCTGTGACACTGATAGCGCTATTTCGTTTAAAACTAAGCGGGGAAATGGACGTGTCGGACCGTGAGCTAGCGGCACCTTGATTCTTTAATAACAATGTCGCCCTGTGGTGCGGTTGGACAGATATGTAGGCATGTCATTTCATTTCCGCCAACAACAGTTATTTGATAGTAGTTTTTTGCCCAAAACAAAAAATCCAAATGAGCGTTTAACGTGATTTCCGCTGTTTTGTCCACGTTTTGGTCACGTTCGTATTACTACTCATTTCAGTTCATAGTCTTATGACCCAAAACGGAATTTACTCCGTTTACATAGTGACATTGCCGCGCAAATTTTAATATGTTGGACTGTCTTCCTGGTTGTTTCCCTTGTTTCAACATAAATGTCACGAGAAAGTGCGCGTCAAACATATCCAAGATGTTACTTTCGTGCATACTGGATCTTTTTGCTTTCTATCTACGGATTTGTATAGTTCATGTCGGCAGTGAAGATTTCTAAAGCGTCAGGTCGGATTGCACATTTATTTATTTTGTTGTTTTAGTATATGTCGGATATCCAACACTGTGCCGGTGCTGACATTTCAACATGAAAAGCCCCGATCAGGATGCATCCTTCTGAAACTTACGTCAGTGAACAATGCGGCTTCATTCCATCATTGCCTTAATGAGATCTTATCAAAGTTTGGCCATAAAAAACATTTATTGTGAGGTCGATATTTAACAAACCTAATGTTCAAATCTGCGCCTCGCAGTTTATCACACGATCGTATGTCACAACAAATATATATGTATCTACATGGGCATGCGTTGGTAGTATGCAAGTGTTGTTACATATGTGTACGTTAAACCTTGAATAGTGCTGCCACCTTAATTTCATAATTTGACATTTTCCAGTTGATGAACACATACATGACTTCTATATACTGTAGTCTATCTCAACATATCCTTTGTTTTCAATACCCGAGTGTATATTGTCCGTTGCCGTGTCATAACGTGGTTTCTTTTCCATTTCAGTAAACACCAGTCTTGATCCGAATGTCACGACAAGTCAAAGTTCAGAGTATGATGACGCGCACACAAGTGGCGAGGTAGTGGATGGCTGTACTAACCAAAGGCACAATAGTGGTTGTTGCTCACATACACAAGGGGATCCTGCACTTTATGAAGCTTGGTGGCAAATTGACCTTGGTGATCAAGTCGTCATCGAATACGTCAAGATATATTACAGAGGTAATGTAAACAAATAAATACCCTCTATAAACACTTACATAACTAGAAAGTAAAGGAACTGTATAGTCATTGCGTAACCATATCAAACCTTATTAGTGAAGTAGTGTTGTGTTATGTATGAAAGTAAGTACATTTGTTACTAGCAGCATTGTTTAACTACGTATATAAAACTGTTACTTACATATATCACAAATAACTACTTTATCCCGGCTAATACCTCGTCAAAGCCAATTGCAATAGTTTTAGAATTCCTCCTGTGTCATTTGACTCAAATAATGATGAAATAATACTGGGTTGTTACTCTGTTGTATGATAACCCAGTGTCTACGAAGTCCAAATTTGGTTTTGAAACGAACGGAAGAAGGTTACGTCAATATCCCCAAAAGGGGAGACCCTTCAGTCACAAATCGATATGTCTGATACCATAGAATCCATTCCAAAATGTTTATTAATGTTTCATACTTTTTTCTTTCTTTTACCAATCAATATTTCTGGCACGTGGCTCTCTGAAAAGATAACGAAGTAGAGTTATAGTTACTTGTTCTCAGGAACAGGCGTAACTGTAGCCTAAAAGGGACGTTGACATTTTGAAGATGCACGATCATTATAGGTAGAAAAGTACACTGTTAAATATTATAGAGTGAATCAGGGATCTGCTTGTATTTTTTTCTCCAAGCTAGTGTTATTTTTGGTTTAGTATTGTTTAACGTCCTAACAACATCTATGGTCATTTAAGGACGGCCTCCCCTGTGTGCAAGATGCATGCGTGTGGTGTATGCGTGTGTGTTTTGGGAAGCTGCGATATGCTCGTGTCTGTCTCCTTGTGATAGCGCGGAACAGATGCCGACTTTATAGTGCTACCTCACTGAAACATACTGCCGAAGACACCCAGCAGGAAACCTCATCCGGTCACATTATACTGACAACAGGCGAACCAGTCGTCCCACTCCTAAATTGCTGAGTGCTAAGCAGGAGTAGAGACTGCCATTTTTTACAGACTCTGGTATGTCCCGACCAGGGGACAGAACCCCCAAAAACTTTCTCACAGGGCCGAACGCTCAACTAAAGGCAACAAGTGAGGCATTGCCAAGAGAGACATTAGAAGAAAGTTGTTTAAAAAGAAGAGAAAAGATAAGATCCCAAATTTAGTCCCCTCTTACGGGGGCAGCAGGTACACTTTTTACGCCCTATTTGCAGGGGGATGGGTACACTGGCGTTGGGCCTAGCGTCCTCATATTTATGTTTACTCGCGCCATATGATGCGAACATCTCAATTTTAGATAGCAACGGACTTAAGATTCCAATGTTTCTTACATGCACATGTCCCGTTTTACATCATAACAGCACATATAGCCTATCTAATCCCCGAATTCTTCCATAATTATTAACAACAGTTAAATATTTAGGTGGAGAAGAAATATATATATATACACATCGTTTTTCAAAATTTGATAAGTACTGAATCTGAATGAAACCTTATAACGTGTCAATCCTTTTTGCTGCCCAATTGAATGCTGCATATGACATATTATATAAAGCGCATTTATATACCAAGGTCATTCGGGGCTAGATTTCTCCTTTACTGGCTGTGTAGAAGCACACCGGTAACAAAACATGATGATTTATACGGCCATACCACTATACTTATAGTACAATACTCCAGTTATTTGTTTTAACAGATTGCGTACAAGAAAATAAAGGATTGATAAATGAACTTTACATGCTATGCCATATTTCATAACATTATTTCGTGTTAATAATTACCTAGACATATTATGGACATTGTAATTGGAAAGTCTTATAGTGACAACGCTTACTATTACGATAAGACATTTATGTACAGTTATATTGACAGTTATAAAGTTACATTTACACAAATGAAAATCACAATGCCCTGGTTTTGCATTTATATTTACAATTGCCACTGTTTCTGAATCGATAACCTAAGTCTGAGCAAGTCTGTTTATTTCTCAATAACTTGAGTGTAGAATGTGACCCAGTTCACCGCGTATGAATATATGTAAATATTGGCGCAATTCTTTCCGCAAACCTCTTGTAAATGTTAATAAACAAATGCTAGCATTTAGACTACCTTGCGTTCGAGACACCAAAATAGTTGTCAGAAGCTACAGTCGCGATTGTTCGTCGGTACAAAAGCGCTCCATCTGTGGTGGCTGATTTCTGTCATTTCGTTGTTTCGTTTTGTCGCCTCGACAGAACGATAATCTTCGTCTTTTCGCCCCCGCTAATTATTGTTAATTCGTAGCGACATAACGAAACGACGCCATAACTAAACGCAAAACAACGAAAACGTGAAGTAGATAATTATCGTATCTTTGACGCCACAAAACGTTAATTATCGTTATGTCGCCCGCTAATTATCGTATTTTCGCCGCGACAAGGCGATAATTATCGTCTTTTCGCCCCGCTAAGTATCGTCTTTGTATGAAGTAAAAGAAATAAAGAAACGAGTAATGGCTACTGCGGTTGACATTACACTTGCATATATAATAATTGAATGAGGCAAGAACATAACTAAATTGTATTACCAAGTATCAATATACTCAGACCTGTAATTATTAACATTTGTATCCATTCAGGTGATGGATCACATCAGACAGCTCGATTCGCTGGTTATCAAGTATACCTGTCAAATACAACAGGTTGGAGAAACAGTGATATCTGTCATAACGACACAACTTCTACACAAAGTATGGTGGACCTAACCCCACGAATCACATCATGTACAGGCAACACCCGATACCTGACAATTTACGTCGACCGTCAAACACTAGCTTACTCTTGGTACTCTGCAAAAGCTATACTGGAGCTCTGTGAAGTACAAGTTTATGGTAAGTGTATTCGTGCAGTAGAGTTGTACGTGATATGGAGGCAATGTAGTCTAGTGGTTGGACGCCGGGCTCGTGACCGAAGGGTTGCGGGTTCGAGTCACGACACGGCAATGTTTTGTATCTTTGACCAAGATACTTTACTCCGCTTGTTCCAGTCTACTCAGCTGTAAATGAGTACGTGGTTGGGCAGTGCTTGAATTGTTGAATGCTAGCTGTGAGCGCCGAAATGGCAGCACCGGCTGTATGGGAGTTGAACAAAAAATATTGGCTGTTTGCAAAGTCCCTATTACCAGGGACAATACTTTGTGAACCGCTCTGAGACGACCTACGAACTAGGTTGTGATAAAGTGGTATGTAAGAACGTCGAATTATTATTATATGATGTAATTAGTCTTCATTTTGTTGTATTGTTTGTGTTTATCATTTGTGGCCTGAAAACTTAAATTACCAAACTAAAGATTTTGTATAAGAAAACTAAACTAAATTAACAAGAATGAAACATAGGAACATTATGTGTCGCAATTTTAACAATTCACCACCCGGGCTTTTATACTCCTCCTATTTAGGCTATGTTAGTGTTTTTTTGCTTAACATAAATAACATCATTCGTTCCTGGAGATTTGTCTGGATTGTGTAGTAAATTTACTCCAATTCATACTGCATGTTGTTTAAGATTTCCAGATCCATTCCCTATACCAGGCTATTATCAAATATCGACATATCAAAGTTTTAAAATACGTTTGCCGTGTCATTCTTATTTATATTGACACTAAGCTATAAGAGTGATGTTCATCACACGATGTAACGTGCGCGTCATGGTCGACAAAATCTGTTTTAATAGTAACTTTAATAGTATACAAATAAACAACATTAAGACAAAGAATGGTAGAAAAACATAAAAACCAAACCTTTGACATAGATCACTTAGTAATGCAAAGAGCGACAAAAAGAAAGAAGTTCGAAAATATTGGCGTTGTATCAAATGAGTAATATTATCACATGTGCACCTATTGGCCATCACCCAACATGTGTATTGAAAAAAAATGCATTTCATTATAACTGTATGTTCATCTGAAGGCTCATAGAAATAATAGTATTTATCAAGTATCCTTAATCCTTTTCCAAACAAATTTCAATAATCTTATCAGCAGTTTCAAAACGATAGAAAGGTTGGTCGGGTGGCATAAAGGATGACACAATCGCCTTTCAGCAAGTCGGCTGGGGTTCGATTCTCTGATCGGTCAGTTTTTATTTTGTTTTACGTCCTATTAACGGCTAAGGTCAGTTAAAGATGTGCCTCTACGTGTGTTGTGTGTGCATGCATATGTGTAGGTGTGCTGGAGGCAGGGTATGTTGGTGTAATTGCCTCCTGGTGATAGCGCGGATCTGATGCTTACTTTATAGTGCTATAACACTGAATTACCCTGCCGAAGGCACCCAGCACAGCATTTCGCCAGGTCACATTATACTGACAAAGGGTGAACCAGTTGTTACCATTTTCCAAAATGCTGAACGTTAAGCACGGAATTACGACTACCATTTTAAAGGAATTTAGTATGTCCCAGCCAGGGGACACAATCTATAGCCTTCCTCAACTGGGCAAACATTCAACTTTAAAGCCAAAAGTGAGGCATTGCCAAGATATAAAAGGTAGTTAGAGGTAGAGAGAAATATAAAGATTCCAAATATTGCAAGCGGAGCAGCAGATTTATTTTGGTCGATTTTGTGTCCCAAAATAAAGGGCGCAAAAGCAAATCCCCAATTCTGGAAGGTGTTCTAACATTAGTCTTTTACGATACATGCAGAGGATAACACAGGTGCATTTTTTTCTCGATTCCCGACCTGCAGGAGTGTCGCAGATCGGCCATGATAAGGTGTTGATTTATTAGCCCGACTACGTTGGTTTTCTCCGGGTACTCCGGTTTCTCTCTCAGAATAAGACCTTTTGTGTTGTTTTCTTTTTTCATTTCCAACAAATGTAAAAAACGAAAGATGGAGAAAAAAAAGGTTTCATAATTCTTTGTAAAATTAATGAAGTTCTTATTTTAATTGGACAAAAAAATGATATTTTTAATTACAAAATGTGTGTGCCGTCTTAAAAGTCTTAATGACTTTTGCTTACATGTCGATGAGCATCTGCTGCAAAGTAGTACTCATTCTAAAGGTCGTTCAAAATTTCCTTTCCTCAGTAGCCACTTTTTTTGTCATTTAAGTGTCACTTTTAATATTACAGTATATTCGATTTTAATTGATGTTAAGCACATTATATCTTATCACGTAATTTCAGTAACATTTCAAACTATATTCTCATTTTAATGTACAATATTGCTTTATTAAGCAGATAAAATGATAAAAGTCGTTAAAGAGGGGGAGGATTCTTTTGTACACGTTGCATCTTTAGAGATACAAATTCCAGGTTGTCCAGTAGGAAAATATGGTAACAGTAACTGTGGTAGCAACTGCGATGCGACCTGTGTGAATAGCCTGTGTCATCCTAACAGCGGCCAGTGCACATGTAAGTAAACACGTTTTGAATAGATTGATTGTTCCAACGTTCAGTAAAGTCGGTATCCATTTATCAGAATACGAGAAAATAGTTGGTTCGTATAGTTATGAAATCATTAATGTTTACTTTATCAGCTAGTTTGATGCATTTTGATATTTCTATTAGTGTCCATGACTTAATTTCACACTCATCATATTAAGCAGCACGTTTTTCCTTCACTTTTAGACTGTGCAGCAGGATTCTATAAAGCTGAGGTTAGGTGTATACCTTGTTCACAAAATTGTTTAAACGACGTATGTGATGTTGAGACAAGCACTTGTTCGGGTAAGTAAAACGTCAAAGCAATAGTATCTGAAACTCAAACATTCTCCTTCCGTAAACACTTGGTTTTACTGAGTTTATAAGAACCATGCATTACTTCTGGTCATGTCTGTACTGTTGTAGAGCTCAGCTGAACGATGTATTCATTTCATAACAGCTGAATTCTAAATTTCTGTATGCACTGTTGTTTGGCTCACCTGAAACTATGACATATATAATTTCTGTGCTCTTTTTGAACTCAACTGAACGCTATATTCATTTATGTAATCTTGTCAGGCTCAACTGAACGCTCTAATCATTTATGTTATCTTGTCTTGCTCAGCTGAACGCTATAATCATTTTTCTTTACTTTTGTTGGGCTCAGCTGAATGCAAAATGTCTGTATGCACTGTTGTAGGGCTGACATGAAACTACGATAGATATAATTGATGTGTTCTTTTTGAACTCAACTGAACGCTATATTCATTTATGTAAACTTGTCTTGCTCAGCTGAACACTATGTTTATGTCTGTACTGTTGTTATGCTCAGCTGAACGCTGTATTCATTTATATACTCTAATGTGGCTCTGCCGAAAAGTATAATGCCATTCCGAGGGCGTCTTATGTTCAGCGATGATTGTGCCCACCATAGCAGTTTCAGTACACAATTTATATCTAACTGTTATATGGCTGTAAATATTGTGACGTGTTAACATGTCATTATTTGATTGCAATGTGATGCTTTTCAAAAAAGCAATTAATATAAATGATAACAAAGTATAAGTTATGAATTTTGATATGAAATCTTTCTGGTACCGTTTTCAAATGGTGATCTCTGTGATCAATTGTGTCTTCCAAAGTTGACAAAACAAAAATATGAAATTATCAACTGTAACAAATACGTTTTAACTGAGCTGCAATTAACCCTTCCTAGCTGCATTTTTTTTAAAAATTTGGGATGCAATAATAAATACATATACCCAAAGTTGCCTTTTGGATGTTCTGTGATACGACTGCAAACACCATATAATGCTATGTACGTTTTTTATGTCTCTAAACAAGTAAATGTATCTTTTGGTTAGTAAATGTTAATAGAATATACACTGATTCATCTGTGTATGACGTTTATAATATGATCGTACGACGAGTTGTCGAGGGTATAAAGAGATGCGTCGTACAATCAGTAAATCAGTACGCATCTTAAACGGCGTTACCGATCAACACAATTTATTTCTTACAATATCACAAACACGTTGCCAAAATTTAGGTCATCGTAACTATAAATAGATTTGTAGAATCGTCTTTGAAGTCACAGCTCTAAAAAGATATGTCCTTTCCGTTTGTTACGAAACTTCCTTGACATCATTTATTTTATTAGTAAGTTTTTCGACCTGATGTTGTCACTTAACTATATTTAAAATTCGATAGAAATTGCTCTACAGGCTTAATATCTTTTCCAGTCATTACAAACTCCACACAGATATTCAGACATACCTCTGGTTCGAGTTTGCGTTTTGGTTTGATCGACAAACGACTTTTATGAAATTTCACACATTATGTTCATAAGCGTCACTTCTTTATTGAGTTTGTTTTTCGACCTTCTGCAGTAAAACACTATGTCATTGCTATCATGCTAGCTTTCAGTGCAAATTTATTCGTATCGGCTTTAATCAGTTCGTGCCTCCATAGCCCATATTTATATTGCATAATCAGTATATGATATAATATTTTAACTTTAAAATAATTTTCCTGAATTGTTTTTAATTTGTTTACGAAAACATATTCAAGCCAAGTTATGTATGATGTTTATTCAGCTTGTATCAGTGGGTACTATGGCAGCCAGTGTGACCAATCGTGTCCAGACAACTGTCCAGACAAGATATGTGACCAATATAGCGGGGTGTGTACAGGTACGTCAGCGATGCTAACTTTCTTTTAGCTATATTTTGACTAAACCAAAATTTAGATAGGACTAAGATCATTTAAATCCTTTTGACAATATCATGATGTTCTTGCTTTTAAGTCCCCAATAGGCGGGGGAGGGGGCTATATGTTTGCACTCCGTCCGTCCTGCCGTCCGAGAAGCTGTCAGAAACATATCTTCTCTACTATTTCACCTGGAGTAACCAGATTTGGTGACCAATGACATCTTGGGATGGCGGACAGCAGAGTGCAAGAAGAAGGTCACTACGTGTACGACTTTACTGTGACCTATGTTTTGATCTTTGTCCTTTCCTTTTGAAAAAAAAGTTTGTCTAGGGCATTCTCTATATTATTTCACCTAGAATGACCAGATTTGGTTAAGAAGGACATCTTGCAGAGTGCAAGAATAAAGTCACTATGACCTTTGACTTGACCTTTGAAAAGATTGTAAGAAAAGAGTTACAAATGAAGAATGTAATCATGCTACTAGGAATGGCACCGGGATATGGCATTGTCCACGGGTTAAATCATGGAACAGTTGAGATATCCGCACTATAGTGATAATGCATTGCTAGGTATGAAGAAGAGTACTTCCATTTCTGCAGTATTTTACCCACCCCTGGTGATTCCGTGTATTTAATTCGCTGAAAGTGAACAGTGTTCAATAAGTTTTAAATGAAAGAAAATAAGATGAGCTAAAGGCCCACAAAATCATTAGAAACTCGTTTCAACGCTATACTTTAGCATTTTAGACCGACTGTGCTTGGTTTAAACTTTGTTTTATTCAAAATTTTCGACAATACATAGAAATACAAATTGTACATTTTATAGAACAGAAAAGGAAACAAAAACCAGTGTCGTGACATTTAGGAAAATTTGACACCTGCTTAATAATCATTTTTTAACACTAGCTACAGGAATGAAGTAATATGTACAACAGGTCAAACACGGCAATAGGGGGAGGGGTAATGGATTGGTATGCAGTGGAAACCAGGAATGAATAATATATCAATATATATGTGATCGTCAGATGTTAATATCATATTTCTTTATTGCGATGAGTATGTAAGCTATGCAATAGTCGATGAAATTTTCAGCAATGCTGTAAACGGACACTCGATGACTGTTAGAAAAACAAAATAAAAATGTTTAACCTTTAGATGCTATTTCAACCAATACACAATCGACATCGTCAACTTCAATACCGGAACTTCTTTCTACAAAAAAAGTTGTCTGCTACATAACCCGAGCGGATATATTTCCACCTGTCAATCAAAATGGTAAACAATGGCCAGGTATAAATACATACACGCTGTTCAGGTAGCCATGCCAATACATGGAATCAATAAGAAAGCATGTCGCAAATATCACCTCAGCGTTGACTGACACCTCGAATACGGGGAGATCTGCGCGCTGACACGGTCACAACAGGTAATTGGAATATAACGATGTTGTTTTCACAACAATAAGTTTCAGAAAAGATTCAATCTTAAATACGGATAAATCTTTTACTTTTTTTTTGTAATGAAATACACTTTTCCAAGTAGTTTTCTGATCGTCTGCAAATTCGACTGAATCGGTCATCGATATCGGCAAAGTGTGTACCCTTAAAGGCAGTCACTCAAACAGGTCCGGGAGGACCGCCAACAGCCGAATTCGTGAGACATGAAGAACACCAAACAATTGTGATTTCAGCAATTCTCCTTTGAAAAGAAAAGATCGGAATGTTTTTGTCTGTTTTGAACCCGTTAATATTTATTTTTCAAGCTCAAACTTTTATCATTATCGGTTCAATTCGCATGGATGTCAACTTGTAAGTTCCTGCCTGTTAATAGGATCACGCGACCTTGACTCTTTGCGGTACACACATTTGGTAACTTTACCACTTTACCCATGTCGTTTTGACACATTCCTACTGTCAAGTTTGAAGAGTTCAGCGAGATTTTACCCAAGAACGACATTTTAACCACAGAGTGATAAATGCGATGCAATTCTTTGTTATGTTTCCCGATACGTGGTATTTATCAATTCACAACGTAACGTCCTGAAAAGTTGGGCCTACTTTACACGAGTTTATTTATTCGATTCTATCGTATACTATGGCTTAAACTTTTCGTAATTGTTGAATTGGCAAAGCAATCAGGGGTTATTCCACGAAATTTAGCAGTTTATTGCTGCGAGCATATTTCGAAAAATTTCCGAAAATCCTCGAAAGATTTTCGATAAATGGTCGCGATCAAGGACTGCTTTTGGATTGTTCTTGAGTATCGTGTTCACTCCTTTCGTGACACTTCATTTTTCCTTAAAAAAGTTCGCAATATACGCAAATATTAACGGTAGTCGTTGGTCAGACAAACAATATCTAAATCAATTAATAGCAATTTATAATACGGCAGTTTACCCCTTCAGGAACCTCAAAGGTGCCTGATTCATACTCGGAACATCTTTAGGTTATATGTAATTCCCGTGTGAAATTTGGAACGCCTTTAGGTTTTTTGTTATTCCTGTTTAAAAAGGAAATAGATATCTGAGTTATCAAAGAGCTTGTTTTAGCGCCTGATATATTCCGACAGAAGCATACACTTAACAGCCCATGACAACAGAGGTCAAAATCTGGGACTGAAACCGAAATTAATAGTCCCCACTGGGGTTCCCCCAGGGGTGACTAAACATATGGTATTAAAGGAAATCTCCTTAATTGGTTTAAAGTTTACGTAACTAATCGTAAACATAGAGTGATAACAGAAGGCTTCCTCTCATCATATAGACAGGTAAGCGCTGGTGTCCCCCAGGGATCAGTCCTTGGTCCTTTGCTATTTCTGATTTATATAAATGATATTACTGAATGTATAACAAATGAGAAACAACTATTTGCCGATGATTCATCTCTTTTTAAGGTGATACAAACTACTCCACTAGATGCAGCCAATAGTCTGTCCAGTGATCTTGAAAATGTTAATATATGGTCTAAGAAATGAATTTTAATCCTACTAAAACGGAATCTTTAGCTTTTAGTCGGAAAAGAAATAAAATATCTCCTAATATCATTTTCCAAAATGAAACTGTAGCAAATGTGTCAACTCATTAACATCTTGGTGTTTTTGTTTTTTGAAGACGGTAAGTGGAATCACCATATCAACTTTATTTATAATAAAGCTTATAAGCGTATAAATTTACTGAAATCTGTAAAAATGTAAAATGAGTCACAAAACACTAATCTCTATATATACCGATAATATTAGACCTCTACTAGAATATGGTGATATAGTTTTTGATAATTGTACTCAGCAGGAAGCAACTTTACTTGAATCTATCCAAATAGAGGCTGCTCGAATAATTGCAGGACTGCGTAAGGGAACCTCACCCTAAAAACTTCATTGTGAACTTGGTTGGGACACCCTTGCTGCAAGACGGAAAAAACACAGACTTATTCTTCTATACAAAATTCTTACAGGAACTGCACCTACTTATTTAACTGAATTAGTTGAACCCTTTTTCAACAATATGAACTCATACCTATTAAGAAATGAAAGAATCTTTACAATTTCTGTATGCAGAACAAATTCTTATACCAAAAGCTGTATTCCGTCTATTCTTAAAGATTATAATGAACTTGCAACAAGGTTTGACCTGACTAACATCACATCACTATATCAATTTAAACAACTTTTAAGAAGAGGTGTAAGAGACATCATGTTGCTAGACACAAGTAGAAACTCTACCTATGTCAACACAGGTGATAGAAAATACAACATCATACTCTGCCAACTTGGAAATTCTTCAGGTAACCTTGATTTCGATCTACACAGAGATCATCTTACTGAATCACCAACTTGTACCTGTGGTAATGCCTATGAAACAGTAATTAATTATTTTCTCATGTGTAACAAGTATGATGAACAACGTAAAATCCTCAAGGATAAATTATTTGTGGTTAATCACAATCACTACACTCTGGATGTACTTCTATCTGGCTGTGGTGATTGTGATGAACAAATCAATGTAAATATATTTGAATGAACTGCTGAGTTTGTCAGAGCTACAAAAAGATTTCCACATATATAACACATTATATTTACATTTGCATGGCATGGTCACTATATAGCCTCTTTGAAAGCTGTGTCGTTGATGGGACTTTAATTACCATGCATCGCGAGACACAACTCTTAGCGTATTAATACAACACTGACCGGAACTACAATATCCAATATAAATATACACGACGGCTGCTGAAATATCGCTGGGCATTGTGAGATTTGACAATGTCATTGTAAATTTATGTGCAAAATAAAAAATAAAATAAAAAACACTTTTGTTACAACGAAAACAAGACCAAGGTCTGCAATATCGTACAAAATGCACATCGGTTGAAATCACCAATGCCGGCATTGGAAACAATTTTTACGCTCATGCAATTTATCAGAAATATCGTCTGCTACACTGCACTAATCAACAGGGGTTCGTTACAAATGTCTGAAATACACACATTCTATAGACCTACTGACACATATGTTACAGACCTACTGATATGAGTCACAGCACACATAAACATTTCAGACATTTGTAACGAACCTGTGCTCCGTCGCAAGATCACTCATTTCAAACGCTATCAGTTTCACGCGTCTCGCATCCACGGGCGGTTCCTCAGTTTCTGACGACATGTCAAATAACGAGTCTGCTATAGAATCTACCGACTGTTGTCAGGTTCCCATACAATCAACAAATAAATTCACGCCTGGATTCTTCACAAAATGAGCAAAAAGAAAAGTTCGAATTAACTTCCAAAAATAACTCCCTCGTGGGGGGCAAGGTCGGATTTACGGTATTCACTGTATTTGTCCATGCGCGAAATTTGTTCCGGGGGAAAATCGAAACAATTTCAAATCTAACTTTCAGCTCAGAGTTCTATTGATAAACTTAAATCACCCCATAGACATATAATACGCAATTGTATTGATACTGAATTGTGGAATAACATTGAAGTTTGTGTAACTTTGTTTGCCAATCAGCACGCGACAATACGCTGTTCAAACTATTGAACGAAATTGTGTGGACTGTCGATAAGGCTGGCATTTTTAATTTTAATTATAAATTTTAACTTAAAAAAGAACATAAGAGGCAGAGAAAACGTAAATATAAGTATTGAACTGTTTTTGTATGGTATTTATGATCTATTTATGCGCATTATGTTGTTTGCTTGCAAAGCTGTGACATTCAAATAGATCATAAATACCATACAAAAACAGTTCAATGCTTAAATAAATTTCTTATTTGATATTATGTCTCTTAAATATGAAAATCATCAGTTACGACTGTGCTTCTACATAATAAACATTGTGTGTCATCATCACCCTTTCCTTTTCCGATGGCCGCCTTTCCCCCTTTTGATCTGATAGGCATATATTTTGTATGTTTTGTATGCTATGCATAATTCATCATAATTATTGCATAGTGTCGTTTTATGTGATCGAATAACTACTAAGTAAGGACAATCTCATAATGGTGGACCAATTCAAAACCTCAATCCTTGATTAACCTACTTATTAACAAATCCCTTCAAAATATTAATTTGAATCTACCAACACTTCAAAATCTGCCAACTTCGTTCTTTCTTAATTATCTTAACTGTGAAAATCGGAATGCCGTTACCATGACTGGCCCCAAAACTCATGGGTGGATGATAAGCCAATGTGGACATTTTTGGTCTGTATCCCATGAGTGGATGGAATCCTGTCATGGATGCTGGATTCGAGGCTCTAAAAAAATATAATTTTGGAAAACATAGTGAAAACACTATTTCATATATTATAACAACTCTTAAATATTGTCCTTACTTCCAAACACATAACTCATATTTAAACATTTTATGTTTCATACTAAAAATAATCAACATTGAAATTCCAAAATAACAACATAATATATTGCTAGAAGGCAGAAAGGCCTAGCGGACGATCTGAAAGATGTATGTTTTTAAAATATATATATATATTTATATACTCATTGTTACCTTTCGGAGAGAATTAATATAGGCTATGCCTGTTGTTCAATCCTTTTTCTAAATTAAATAAAAGTTGTTGAAATGAAAATATCAGAGTCAGAGAGCCAAGTTTCGGTAAATGCTAAAATACAATGACCATACAGTTCGATGTACAGAACATCTAGTTTCAAGTTGACGAGTGACACACAATTGTTAATATGTGTAAAAGGTACAGATTCGTCAGAGGAGATTGACGAGAAGTTAGTAGCTGGATGAAAGGGACCGAGGGCAGTTTCAACATAATAATGTCAGGACGATGAGTTTAGAAACATACAAAATAAATTGAGTGATATTTGCCGTGAAATACGCTGTAAGTAATAACGTTTGGTTTTGACATGAACTGTCGAACAAGGAAAAAGAAGACCAGACAACACAATACTCAGTTTGAGCAATAATACAAAATTATTAGTACATTTGAGGTTTCCGCTGCAGATAATAAGTATTTGAATATTGGGAAGGAAAATACAGGGAAAAACATTATAAAATATGTTTTGATTGGAATTGATGTTATAGGAAGAAAAATTGGAAAGGCTCTGCGTCTCAACTAGTAAACACATACCTACCTACAAACTGTACCTACATACGTACGTACGTACGTACGTATATACATACATGCATGTAAACATACATGCATACATACATACATGCATACAGCACTGTAATGCACGCTATTATCTTGCAATTATATAGGCTATGCCTGTTGTTCAATCCTTTTTCCAAATGAAATAAAAGTTGTTGAAATAAAAATATCAGAGTCAGAGACCCAAGTTTCGGTAAATGCTAAAATACTATGATCATACAGTTCGATGTACAGAACATCTAGTTTCAAGTTGACGAGAGATACACAATTGTTATTATGTGTAAAAGTTTTAATTATAAGCAATGATCCTTACTTTCTTAATTCATTGTTTGTAAAAGTATTGCAATGTTTGGTAAACCAGCATGTTTGTGGGTGGGCGTGCGTTTGTGTACCTTACGTACAAAGCCTTATAGGTACAAAAGCTTTTCTCCGATACCTCACTTCGTGTATCTCGTTTTACACGTACATGATCATTTTCAAAGCCAAAGAAAAAATGTTGACGTATACCTCATTTTGCTGTTGTATTGTTGAACAATGTGTGTCCGAAACGATGTCTTACCGTGTCTTAAAATGACCCCGTTTTAAATCTTTTCGCCAAGAAATGTTCAACATTCGTTTGTCATAGTAAGAACATGCTTATCAAACTCAATTGCTGATGCATTGAAGGTAAATGACTGTTTGTAGAATGTGTGCCTGGTGTGTTTGGCCCCAACTGCACTCAGACCTGTCCTGTCAGCTGTCAAGACAAGTGTGAAAGAAACACCGGTGAGTGCAATGGTATTGTTATTTGTTTCATTTTTATTGGCTTAAAATAAATCACATTGAATGTGAATGTGAATTTCATAAATATTTGACTCGAGTTCTGCTCTAGTTGTTTAAATATAAAACAAGGAATTTACATTTTAACTTTTTTTATTTCAGCAACTGTATACTATAGCGTTATGCATTCTTAAAAGTTCGTCACGTATTGTAAATATTCTGTGTATAATGTACGTTACCTGTATTGTCCATGTCACGGAATGTTCCTTATATGAATTGTCCACGTCACGTGTTGTATGTTACCTGTAGTGTCCATGTCACGTGATGTCCACTTCTTGTGGTAGTGCAAGCAGGTATAAAAGTGTGTATGCTAGTGTATCCTCTTGGTTTTATTGGTCAGTAGTCTTTGTATGTATTTGGCACCAAAGCTACTTTTTGATTCTGCACGACACAATGACGTTGAATGGACGTGTAAACCATTTGGACAAGATACTGGAGAAATTAAAATAATCGGTATGTACCATTATGATTTTAAAACCATGATGGTAAGCATCATAATTCTTGCTGAAATTTACATTGTACGAGTTAACTCAATAACTAACTAGTTGAACTCATCGTTTTGAGAATCGACCTTTTTTTATAGAATAATATCCAAGTGATTTATGGTTTATGCATTTAATCTTATATTGTATTTATTTTTACAGTTTTTGATCTGCACACTTGTTCTAGTGAATATATAGAGCCAGGTAAAACAGGTCATTTTAACACTTTGTAATATGCATTGTCAAATTTAAAATAATGAAAATATACAGATCAAAAATTAAATACCTGCAATATATTTAATTTCACACGTGTTTTCCTGCTTTGTTTGGTTCTGCAATATTGATGGCCCCATCGCTCTCTGTGCACATTTGTGCGCGATATGCGGATAGTGTTCTTTATGAGTTATGTGCTAATACACAACCGTGCTTACACTTTTGTAATCGTATATTGTGTAAGCATAGGATTCATCAAAACATAAACTTACGTAATGGATTGTGATTTCAATTTATAATTTTTGTTTAGCTGTACACTTCATTATTGTGTAAACGATGACTGACATTTTTAAGTAAAGTGAAACTTGTCTTGTCTTTACATGTTAAACAGTATTTACTTGTACACATTTTACTATAATCTGTGTATCTTATCTTTGCAGGGTTTGATCATAATGATTATTGAAAATGTACATCAAGATAGAGAAGAATGTATACTCAAACCTTTGTTACAAACACCCATTGGAGGAGAATTTCTTAAAATAGAAACGCTATATACTGTCACTTATGATTCATTTTATATATATGTAGTATTCTTCTGTAAAATATCGAAGTCTTGCTTTACTTATATCATTACCATACTTCATATCTTTATCTTCACCTTTAAACATATCATTTTATCAATATACAACTCCGTAATTGATGTCCATATGATATTTATGTAATGGTAAAATAAAATAATAAGCTTATATATACCATCAGCTTTGTTAAGAAGAACAGTTTATTTGTATGCGTAAACATTTGTTTGTTTGCTTCCTCATGCACCCCTAGAAGTTGGAAGGTCGAGACTAGCGTGTGACCTTATCTGTCAATTGAGCGGAAAATACTAACAAACAGAAGGCCATCTTAAAGGTAGTTGAAAAAATGTATATACTTATTCAAATTGAACAACAATTATGACACTGTTCAAAAGCTAAACGATGTCACGAAAGTCAATTCAGTAAAACCTGCAGGAGTGTGATGAATTCGTATTATGTTATTATTTATACCAATCGCCTTATTCCTGTTATGCAGTAATTCATATAACATGGTGAATGGTCCCTTTTAATAATATGCAATGTATATATATTCAACACAATGTCACACTATACACTGTATATACTTTTAAAAATCAGATATTTTTAACTTAAAATTCATTGTCGCTTATTATTATCCTCCATATCTTTCATGACGTCTTATTGAATTCCATTTGAATATTAATAAAACAATTTACTATTCAATGGGATGTATGTATGTATATATTACTGGGTGCCTAAAGAGGGCCCAAGTAAAGATTTTAAGCAATATTACAGTAATTTTCGACTTATAATCCAGATGGTAAATTCGATAACACGGGAGCCCATTGTTACATATCACAGTAGTGCGCATAAACATATTCGTATTTGGCACATTCAGACTGCTTTTGCGTGTATCGGATGAGCGGGTTGAAAGCTACACCATGTCAACACGTGAAGTGTAAACACTATGTTGAAATTGTACGACACATGTGATACTAGAACGCATACTACCGCCTGCGGTAAGTACCGTACCCATTAACACTATTCAACATCATGTTTGTAAATGTTTTGAACATGCTGTGTTGATAATCAGCGAAATTTCATATAGTGAGCTATTTATAGAAACCTTTGTGTTTTGGGTAAATACAGATGCTCTCATTGTATTGTGTGTGTTAATAAAGTGATTAATACAACAAGTACACATGTTATATGAAATTCTACAGCATTAGTTCACTTTCATTTGGTATTGTTTATATAGTGAATAAAGGTTTTATACACGGTAGTTATTCGTTATTTATAAGGAACGCACGTGTTAGTGTATGAAGGTGTCGTATGCCGTACTTATGTGCAATTTATAGTTAAGATTTTCACTTTCATATGTACATTAAGTCAAGTCAGTGTCATTGTTGTAAATAATAAAGGATAGCATGATTTCATTATTTAATTAGTTATTTGTATTTTATTGTAGTTAATTTCCAGAACGAGTATGACATGCTAGTCTGCACTAAAGGCTTGATACCATATGTGGATACCAAGGTATTTCTTGGGGAAGATGACATAGCTAAGTGGTTTTGGGAGGCCGTAGGTGTCAGAAAGGAACCCGACCAACAATAACGGGAAAGGAAGGTTGTGACTTTGTCTATCCCGTGTATCCTGACTATGTATACTATAAAGTCGGCATCAGTTCCGCGCTATTACAAGAAGACAAACACGAACATATTGCAGCCTCCCAAAATACACACACATACACTACACGCATGCATCTTGCACACAGGGGAGGCCGTCCTTAAATGACCTTAGCTGTTAATAGGACGTTAAACAAAATCAAACAAACAAACAAACAAAGACTATGTATACTGTGGTGACCGGAAGCGGTGCCTACGTTCTGGTTATTATTTATTCGAACTTCAGGTCATTGGCCCATAAGTATACAATACATATTATACACAAATCATGGACAATGTACAGACAATGAAGACAATCATATTCCATTATAATACCCTTAATTTGTTTGCCTCAGAGATGCATTTTCCTAGTATACACAATTCTTTAATATTATGGACACTCAATAACTGAACGACTTTAAACACAGATGTTTTTTTCCAATAATATCTTTTGATAAAACGTGATCTGAGATTTTGGAATTTTGAACAGACTAATAAAAAAAATGAAATTCGTCCTCTACTTCAGAGGGGAAGTTACACTGTTTACAATATCTACGTTCTCTAGGTATATTATTATACCTTCCAACTTCTACAGCCAAAGAATGTGTAGATGTACAGATTCGAGTTAAACATATGCGATATTTTATTGGTATATATTTTGTGAGGTAAAATTGTAATGAATCTCCAAAATCTATGATATTTTGATGCAATAAACATTTTGGAGAGTTTTCCACTGAGGCCCTTAAGGATTGTATGCCTTGAACAACAATTCTTTGTTTTATCAATGGTAATAACATATTATGCTGAGAAATACATGGATTTAACCAAACATCACTAAGACCTAGATTATTTAATTCATCTCTTACTGCTTTAGACCAGTTGAAATCATTTTTACTACAACATTGTAATAAAAATCTATAGGAAGTGGATATGATACAATTTTAAGATTTTAAGATCTTAAACCAATATTTCATCATTCTAATTTTTCTCATCCAAACTAGAGGTAATCGTCTCAATTCAATGTATACCATATTAATATTGGCCGATTTTTTCACTTTTAGTAATTTCTTACAAAAATATAAATGTACACGTTCAATCTCTGGAGCTTTGTGCATACACCAAATTTCACTGGCATAAAAAAGGATACTGCTTACATATGTATCGAAAAGGTGTAGCATAGTTTTTTCATTTAAGTTTAATGATGAACACTTTGAAAACAATGCAAACATAGTTTTTCGTCCTTGGGTAGCTAATCAATTTTAGATAGAAGTGAATATATTATTGTATTTTAGAATAACGCCTAGGTAAGGAAATTGATCCACACATTCGACTTTTCTTCCTTTGTAATACCATTTTTCATCATTATGTAATCTTCCACCTTTTCTAAAAACTACAATTTTAGTTTTTTCCGCATTTACAGTTAAATTCCATTTTGTATAGTATTCAAACAGGCTGTCAAGAAGAGCCTGCAGGCCCTGTACAGATTCCGAAAAAATAACCAAAATATCTGCGTACATTAACAGAAACAAACTTAACTCACCGAGGTCGTAATATGTTGCACCGTTTTCAATAAAGGGCATTTCAAAATCATTGATAAAAAGTGAAAACAGTAACGATGACAAACTTTCCCCTTGCAATAAACCGACATTGTTTTCAAAAAAGTTAGAACATTCCCCATTAATTGAAACACAGGATTTGACTGATTTATAAAGCGACTTAATAACAGACAACATTTTCCCTCGAATACCAAGCCTAGTCAACTTGCGCCATAAGCTTAATCTGTCGACAAAATCAAACGCTTTGCGAAAGTCCACAAAGCAACAGTACAAACGTTTCTTCGAAGATAACGTTTTCGTTATAATAGAATGTAATGCGACTATGCAACCTTTTTTTCTAAGAAAACCTCCAAAAAAATTACACTGACTCAGCGTAACTGTTTTTTCAACGTCATGATTCTTTGCAAGGTGTGATCGTATACTGGTATACAGGTAGGTGTTTCCTACGTAAGATAAACGTTGCGGTGAAAAATCAATATTCTAACTCGTTATTAGCTACCTATGTTCATAAAATGCCTGTAATGATTTTAGAAACGATATGACTGTCTTTTGACAAGGTGATATTTAACTTAATCTAGCTAGGTAAGCATAACCAATCTTATCTTTTGATACTCTAATGGAGTTTGTCAATTCAGGGTTAATCTAGTTGACACTGACTCAAGGACGCATATTGACACAGGCAATCAGTTAATATGTTAAAATTTACTATAATGATATCATAATATATCCCATGTTTGTCAATCTACGACAACTGATTTTAAATCGTTTTAGATGCTGTATATTGAAATAGCCCTAGTCCTTGTGAAGTTTACTAGTATTAAGAAGCAACTCATTTCTGATTAATTCTCAGTTATATAAAGAATAGTCATTAATTGCTGTTTCATGAAAAATAGATATGTATTGTTCGTAGATATGTGGTCATTCCAGCAACGCAGTGTACATTTCAAGACTGACAAAGTGTATTTACCTTACAAATATGCTTTCATATTGGTAGGTAATGTATTTCTAATTATTTTTTTTTATCTAGAAACGCGTCCTCTAAGGGAGAGGAATAATGTATGTGTAACTTAACAGTGGAATCCTTCCAGTAAATATAGGTAACTACAAAGTTCGGAGATCTCAAGGGAGATCCTTTTACAAACTTTAGAGTGTTGCATGAATAAATCAGATATACATTCTAATAACGCAACCAATTCATGTAAACTTACACATTTTGTAATTATTTCTACAGTAATCAACACCGACAGTTTAGCAATTGCCGACAAGCTGTGGCGTCATCGCATTGTTCCTTGTGACTTCAAAACTGTACGCTGGTGACATAAAAACTAGTATTAGTTACATTTTTAGTTAAGATAAACTGCAGTTTTTATGTGTGACGTTATAAGTCTGGGATATTTGAACAGCCGAAGAGGCATTATCAATATCATTCCTATTTGCAAGAAAAAGACATTTTATGATTTACTTAGTAAAATCTATTTCAATTGTTGACATTATTCGTATGTCTACTTAAATATCGAGTGGACTATCGTATTAATAGGTAACATCATCATTATATCTGGTGACGGCTCCTGATCACGTACTCATTGTGAGGGATATAATACAGAATATATCCTCAGATACAATAGTGTAAAGTATCATGAGAGGTTTACACATACACAGTTCGGCGCAGTTTGGAGATTCATCAACAAGATGGTACGCTTTCAGTTTGTTTCATTTCTAATATCAGGTTTGTATTTTGTAGAAGCAGTTTTTGAATTTATTCAAAAACAGCCATGCATTCAGGCTGTGATGTATTTGTCAAAAGACACGACGAATCCAAAACCAATCTTTAACGTTTTTGTCGAAATTGTATCGTTTCGAGGGTTACAGAATATAATTGTAACATTTCTGTAGTAATTTTAGTAAGGTAAGATGTACACAATCATAAAATGCCAGGATTTGATTTGCATCTTCGCTTACTGCCAATACAATCAAGATCCAATTTCCGTTATTTCAGTACTTAAGCAAAAAAATATACATGTATATCCCCTCAATGTGTCACACAAACACGCCTACAACACTACAACATCACTTAAAGTTATATTAGTTAAGGATTCATAACAAAATAATACAAACAGCAAATTACACTGTAGACTTGGAGAACTTCTGGCCGCAGTTACGATTAACGAAATACTACAAATTCACAAAAAGCCCTAGGTCACACATAATGCTGAGAGGAGGTGGCATTAGCCGGTGGGAAAATGTGCTGACCCAATGAAAGGATATATTCAAAAAAAAAAACTGTCAATTATTGAGGTATATCTGGTTCAGACAGATGAACTCCATCTTTCCGATAAAGATGAAGGTCCTTATCTGTAAAACAAGTGTGTCGGATAGCAACCCCCCCCCCCCCCCCCCCCCTCCCCCCTTCCAACACAATTTCTTACAGCTGTATTAACTCTACGCCTAACCTTTTCCAAGGCACGAGGACTGGAGGAAAACTGCTAATACCGCCTAGGCAGGAGGTCGCTCCATACAACACAGACACCTGGTACCAGGGTCAAAAGGCGAAGGAGGTCACACTTGAACTGTTCCTTGCTCCTGATGACTCCAAGGTCATTGGAACCCAATTGAATCAAAACCAAGGATAGAGGGGGATTTTTTTTCAAGTAGTCGTCCAATGGTGGGCTTAACTGATCCCAATTCATGCCTTTTTTCCCCCGCCAATCGAACTTATATCCGACGAGACCCAGGTTAGGACCTCCTATTCTTGCGCCAACTGCCCTATGTGTCAAGCATATAATTGATGAACCAATGCACAAAATCAAAATTGATTTAATTTATCAGCAAGGAGACGCATTTGCATTAAAATAGTATCAAACTCAATACCCAAAAATGTGAGTACCTGTGTAGGGCCCACACAGTGTTCTCCTGTGCCAAGGGAACACCCAATAACGCACAAGAGTCTTGAAATGTTTTCAAAGAATGAGCACACTGTTCTGAATTGTTTTCCCCACCCATTAAGAAGTCATCTTAGTAATGCAAAAGATTGAAATTATGACTCCTTGAAGTACTAAACTAATGAAGGACTGTGGCAAATTTCGCAAATAAAGCACAAAAAATTGAGGTTCCCATGGGGAGGCATTTGTCAAAGTAGAAATTATCCTCAAAACAAAAAACCTAACTGGTCAAAATCCGCCGGCCAAATGGGTAGTAGCCTAAAGGCGGACTTAATATCTGAATTGGTCAATAAAGCACTCCGCCCCAGTCTCTGTATCATGCCAACCCCATCATCTATCGTGCTGTAATGCATGGAACAAAGTTCATAATCAATAAAGTCATTCACCGACCTTCCAGCATGATGTGACAGGTGATGAATGACCCTAAAATCATTGTCCTTTTTGGGAACTATACCCAAGGGAGAAATACGGAATGTTGGAAATGATGGGAATGAAATGTTCCAGCTATACGTCCCAGAGATAATTCTTTTTGAAGTTTCCCTCTCAGTACTTCCGGGGCCTCCCTGACACTTTTAAGATTGTTAGAATGTGAACTTGAAGTAAATTGACTTAATCGTTAAGAGAAACTTTAACATTTGATAATTGCGATAGTATATATGTATGTTATTAATCCATACAGGATTAATGAACTAATTGTATGCTATCGTATGTTGCATTTAAACCATCTGGTGTTTTAATACCTTGCTCTTCAAACCTTCAATTCACGGTAATGGTTTGTTTTATTTCGTACATTTTATCCCAGGCGACCATGTTTATTAATTGATCTGGGTCATGTGATACATGGGGAATAACTCGTTCTACAAACAGGGATACAAACAGTGATGAGAATGAGCGTTAGAAAATATACGTTAGATTTCGGTTGCGAAGGCGAAGGAAGGGTTGGGCTAAAGATCAGTGACAAGCGAAAACAGACTGTCGGATACTTGAGTATTTGTTTTTTCATCATAAATGTTAATCCGTTTTTTTAGACGTGTATACTATATATGTGGAACAAATTTTTCACATGCTTTGTTTCCGAGAATGTAAAATTTTCGGAGTTACTGAGTTCGGGAGACCAGGACGGACCGGGATCGTTTTTATCATTATACGAACATTTAAACAATCTATAGATTTTGTTTCTTGTGCAACATCTTCACAACCGGAATAAAGGGACGTCGGGTGCCTAGGGAGACACCACAGAGAAAACAGTAAGAGAAAGGAAGAGTTACAGTTGCAATGGGGCAAAATATAAATTTGGATTCGTCAATGCCCCCTTTGGTATAACAGATAAGAAAATCGCGATTTGCAAGAGGGAATCACATGTGTCGTCTCATGTACAAATGTTAGTTAATATATAAATGGGAAAGTTTTTCAATTTTGGCATTGATGTCAAAATCAGAAAATAACAACTGCTTGGGATAAATATGTAAATATATCAGTTGGAACTCTTATTTCATAGAAATTCCAGATTATAATTTTTGCATTTATAATGTTTTACAATTAATTTTTGAACAAAAATTGATAATGTGGTTGGACATGCCTCCTAATTGAGATATAGGGGATGAGGGGTTGCAGTTTCATAACTAGCATTGCAACCATTTATCATACTTTTGTAAACTGGATTGAAGATATATGAAGGCGCCAAGTATAACAAAATAAGTACGTCCGCGCTTGTTGCTTGGTATCAGCTGATTACTGGTTAGTAAATATAATAGCAGACACATATGAATACAAGTTATTAGGATAATTTAAATCTTGTATATATACAGTAATAGGGAGGATTAATCGTTCATTACCAACATCGGAAATTCTGTCATTAATGATTACACATGATGATATGACTATATTTCTGTATTGAAATGAAAACATTTAAGGCACATTTTCTTATGTAAATAACTTCATTTCATTACAAACAAATCTTTTTAAACTGACTTTGCTCAATATATATACTTCACTCAGGCAAGTGACAACTATGTTTAATAAAATAGTAGTTTTTTCACATTTCGTAGTACTACAATTTGTGGTGGTCGGATGACGCACCCGCCTTTTAGCAAGGCGCCCGGGGTCCGTTTCCCTGATCAGACGTGAACATATATTTGATCACCTGGCCATTCAAGTGTGTTTTATCCGGATACTTTTGTTTCTCCTCAAATTAAGACATTCTGTGCTCTTCCATTCGGGCCCATAAGAGTGATTGACATCAGTTGGAAAACGTGTTACCAATTGTTGTTAAATCAACAATGTATACATATATACTACAATTTGTAAAAGTTCATGTACCTTTCAAAATAATATGAGATGAATCTTCCTCCCAAAGAGTTGATATGCCTCTATTATTGTTTGAGTTTTGTTCTAGTTTTAAGATTGTATACCATTTTACCATTTGATATGTATGATATTCCCTACTGTGAAAACATGAATTGTCAATTAAATGTGTACAGCATGATTTATTGCTTTTGAATTCTGTCAATTTTTGAGTAGAGAAATTCTCATTATATCTAAAAAGATGTTTTGGACACAGTGATGTCATTCTTTGTTTTCATTGCACATTATATAGTGGTATGTACAAAGAAGTACACGTAGCTGTAAATTATCAATAATGGACAAGTTACACTGTACAAGTTACAAAACGTTTTGTAAGGGATAGGACATTTTAAAAAATAATATCTACAATTTACTTACAACGTACGGATTTACCAGGCATATGAACATTCAAATACAATACAACTTTGACAGAAAAATATTCATAGAATAGAAACACCATTGATATAACGTTTTATCAAGGAATATTCAAGCTGATCATATCACAGTTGATTTATCCAACAGATTGCTTTGACTTGTTTGGTGAGGGACTTATCCAAGAATTATTTTTTCAAAATACATATATTATGATTGATGGAATGGAAAATAGCTTCAGCTGATTCAGGAATAATCCAAACGACCTTCATGCTGTGATCCATACTTGAGGTGGAATTAATCCATTAGACACCTCCCGATGAATAGCAAGCCATTGTTATAATTACAATGTTTGTTTTCCTGGAAGCTTGATAGTAAACGGTCATCAGTGTTGGTTAAGGTGTTGATTGAAGTTTTAATAGTTTTAACATTTGTTTAAGTAATCTGTCAATGCATATGAAATCCATGTGGCATTAAATAAAATGTATTCTTGTCCTATATGGCCATAGTATCATCTCCTCAAAATTCAATCTCACTTAAAATGACTAAGCTTGACTGACTGATAATTACACAGGGTTAACTGTATTTGAATTCAGATAAGAAAATCATGTGCATTTCAATAGATCGTTACAACACCTGTACCTGTCTAATAAATTAACAAAATTTACATTCATGCATGAATGTCTGAAGCTCTTGCTGCATACACACAAATACCTTGTCATTGTTAACTGTATCCCTTGTATCTTGTTCAGTAGCTGTCTCTTCTTAAAAAGTTGTCCATTACTATTACAAAGAGGTGCTGCTTTTTAAATAGATACCGTCCATTTTGTGAGCGAATGAACAGAAACTTAGCCCTATGGGCATCGATCAGTCAATTATTTCACAGAATGGACAGCTTTTCGGAATTTCTCTTTTACATACAGAACAGGATTTCCATTTCCTTCGACATCACACACCATTTCGATCTTTCAAAGTTTTTTGCACTTATAGAGTCATGTTTACATGTGCATGAGGCAGATTTTTTAAACATGGAAACATGGAGAGCCTTCTTCCCTTCTCATATCTTTTTGGATTAAACGAGATTTATTTTCAACGACTTTTTAAAACAGCTTACCATCTATATACTGGGACAGAGGCTATGCTGTTGTTCCCAATTATCTACATTATTGTTTAATGAGAGACGTTGCGTGTTTTTTTATGTACATACAAACTGTGGTCTTTTCTGTAAGGATTTTACAAAACTTGCCTATATACGTGTATCAGGTTAAATTAAATGTACACTGTTATTTGACTGACAGAGGTAATTCGATCAATGTGGTATTTGTTGTTTTGTTGCTCGTGTTTGAAGCTATCTCATGTTGTCATCCATTACATATTTTGTCGCATATATGTAACGAAGCAGGGACAACTGATAAAAGGTTTCTGGTGTCTATTACCACATGTGATACTCGAACTCGGGCATATGTTAACATGAGTAAAAACCTGTGTAAACGAATCCCTAGACCTGTCTGAACTTCCTGGTTGATGAGATTTTGTTCAGACAAGGTTTGATGCTGTAGCCTACCAGACATAGAGTTTTACCGGAACCTGCTAGTCATCTGGTCAGTAGTGTGGACACTGACGGTGGTTAAAGCATCAGGTAAGGGTTCAAACTGAAAAACATTTTCAAGTAGCTTTACCAACAGTGTACCATCGTTATCTTCAAGATAAGTGTTGGCCCAATAACATGTACGAGACAGGCTTTACTACGTGTATACGATAATGCTAACATAATAAAATATTTCATTACTGGACATCCGACTCAGTCAGTTTTAAGTGGTTTTAAAGTTATTCATGTTTATGTCGAATGTGAAGTATCCAATGTCTGTTGACGCAGAATTTCAGCTGCAAATTTTGTATAGTCCACCCCGAACTGTGGAGGAGGTATACCACCTGCCTTGGATGCTCCACGTCTCTTCTTCGGGGCTGACGATTTCGGTATCCGGAGAAGTGAATTTTAAGTTCATGAGTATGAGAATATAAGTTAACCTTTTAAAAATGAGAGCACATGCATGCACTCAAATTGAAATGTGACAGCCATATGTTTTGCCCTTACCAAATTCAACAGCAGTCAATAAGAGTGCTTTAAACTAGCTACAAATTAATTAATTTCCCCTTTTAAAAGGACATAAATATAAAACGAAACACATAAAATATAATTAATTACAATACCTCACTCCCTCGGAGTACGAATAATGTACTCCCTGTGAGTACTGGACAAATATAATAGTCCTCCCACTAAATGCAGGATTCAACAAGTACAGTACTCCTGAGTGCAATATGGATTCTACAGTACTCTTTCTGTACTCCAAATATACTGCACTTCTTCCGAGTGTAACATGTAGCATGAGTTTGGACCCCTTGACCTTGTAATATCAGTACTCAAAACTGTGTAGCAACAATATTACCGACCTCCCTTTGAGTGAAACATATGTAATTTAACTGGGTACTAAACTTATATTTACAGCACTTCCTCAGAATGCAACCATTGTAATTATATATAATCAGTGTTCAAAACTGTGTTTTTTGTAAACAAAAATAACATATGTGTCACAAGAGTATATGTGTACTGAGCATTTACAGCATCCCCTCCTAGTGCAAAATTTGTTTACACAATTTCACAGCACTCCCTCTGAGTACAACTCTTGTACTGCAAATATTCACAAAAAAAATACAGCACTCTCTTCGGTCATGAGTGCAGCACTATAGTGCTGCCATATGAAGTGTACAAGAATAGATTTCAGCACTCCCTGTGAGTGCGACACTTGTATAACAAAAGTGCACAACAATGTACAGCACTCCCTCTGAGTGTAGCATGAGTACTGCAATAGTGTACAAAACAATGTACAGCACTCCCTCTGAGTGTAGCATGAGTACTACAATAGTGTACAAAACAATGTACAGCACTCCCTCTGAGTGAAGCATGAGTACTACAATAGTGTACAAGGTAATGTTCAGCACTCCTTCTGAGTGTAGCATGGGTACTACACTAGTGTACAAAACAATGTACAGCACTCCCTCTGAGTGTAGCATGAGTACTACAATAGTGTACAAGGTAATGTTCAGCACTCCTTCTGAGTGTAGCATGAGTACTACAATAGGGTACAAAACAATGTACAGCACTCCCTCTGTGTGAAGCATGAGTACTACAATAGTGTACAAAAAAATGTACAGCAATCCCTCTGAGTGTAGCATGAGTACTGAAATAGTGTACAAAACAATGTACAGCACTCCCTCTGAGTGTAGCTTGAGTACTACAATAGTGTACAGGTAATGTTCAGCACTCCCTCTGAGTGTAGCATGAGTACCACAATAGTGTACAAGGTAATGTTCAGCACTCCCTCTGAGTGTAGCATGAGTACTACAATAGTGTACAAGGTAATGTACAGCACTCCCTCTGAGTGTAGCTTGAGTACTACAATAGTGTACAGGTAATGTACAGCACTCCCTCTGAGTGTAGCATGAGTACTACAATAGTGTACAAGGTAATGTTGAGCACTCCTTCTGAGTGCAACAATTGTATTTTCGGCAGCACTCCCTCTAAGTGCCACCCTTGTACCCACCCCAACGGTGTACTACAATAATAACTATAATGTAAATATAACTGAAAGCTGCAGCTGTATCAGAAATTAGGTTGACCCAAAGCGGTCCACAACTAGCAATCATAATAAAGTAAAATGACAATTAGCTGCAGAAAAATATCACATATAGTCAGCAATTATTTATATAACTCAAACTATAGATATTACTGTTTATATGAAAAATACTCACAAGTATTAGTTTGGAAACATGCTACCAATACAGTACACGCTCAATAATGTCAGAGTTTTATTTACATATGAGTTATGAGTCACATACTCACATTTGTTCTATTTGAATTCTTGAATTTGTAAAAATACATCAAGCTTACATAGAATAACTGCTTTTCAGAAATTGTCAGAAAATGCCTTGTTGTCGTCTATTTTGGACACTCGGAACTCTGATATTGTTGATTTTTTTTCCATTTTTCTTGAAATGCTCCGTATAAGGCAAATACAACCGAAGAAACTCGAGCTTGTAAGGAGAACATGACTTGATATTTCTCCGATATAATAACATATTGTTATTAAATACTCATTTTACATCATACCTCTGAGCCGCAAACGTATCCTCTCAGGCTCGAATAACAATATAATACAAATACGAAAAAAGATATAAATTAACAGCTTTACAGGTTGTCTCTCTTCTTACGGTATCTTCAGCAATCGGTAAGGCTTACATTATAGTTATAGTCTTAAAAAGTTATTTAGTTTCGTAACGAAAACATCGTTTTGTTCACCGTTCAGTAAGCTATCGTGATACCACTGTATTAAAATTGTCATGAGTTTAACATCTATTTGATATGAAGTAATCAACTTATAATTACGTTGTGATAAGGACATCGTGTTTAGGTAATGCAATGCATAGCGAAGCAGTACTAATCATCCCAATTGTTGCTGAATTTGAGGGATGACATGGCTTGACATTGATACATGTAATAAAATGTGGTACTGAATTTAATGTTCGTGTTATAGTATACAACAAAAACATATTTACATTCTGTATGTAGGTACCAGCGTACCTGATTGGATTATATTGATTAATCAGTGAGACAAAACTCTGTGTCCTGCATGTACTCGAGTTCGCGAGCCCATTTTGCTCTTTTTCGGACTTTCCAGAAAAGATGATAAGTTAATATATATATATATAAGATTTGATCGGCGATACTTAGTGACCGTTAATAAAAAAAACATGTTTGTAAATTGCGTCTGTGTCAATCTTTTGCTTCTGTGTGTGCATGTGTGCAAAACCTAGCATTTTAGCTCTATAAGACTTGTGGACATTTTATTAGGTTCGGTTCACTGCAGTACACAGTACGAACCACTGTTAATATACAGTATACAGCTAACAGGCTAACTCTTTCGATAGCAACTATTAGCCGTATGTGTTACTTTTCCTTTCCGCAAGACGGTAAAGATAAGAATTGCTATGCCTACAACAATCAATTAAAAATAACATACCCATTGCCTTTATGCCAACGTTTTGCTTAGTGTGATACAAATTAATCAATGGCCATGATATATCCTCTGGATGGTTTTGGGTATTCTTTTCACGAATGGGAGGACAACCTGACTTTGTTTTTTCCTTGATATGCCCTTTCTTGGTTTTCCCACCTTACTGTTTTTGGATCTTTGAGAGCCCCTTCCGGATATTCACATGTTTCCTTTGCCCAAGCAATGTGACTCTTCTCTTGTATTTTGTCCTGTTGTTCTGTGGCAATTTTATCACATCTGTTGAGCAACGTGCACACTGTACATACATTTGATGCAAACTATGGTGAGATTTGAAGGTCCAATATGGGTATTTTTTCTATGAACCTATACCTTTACGGTTCCTTCATTTTTTTTCGTTGGCAAAAGGGTGTCTTGGAAGGGTATCGAACCTGAATTTGATACTTTAAATGGTATCTATGGTGCTCATATGGTTATTTAATCTTTTCCTGCCCCCCTTTTTTGATGGGGCTCATAGACTTTCGCACATCTGGTATCGATTATCCTCGGACACATTCAGGCGATTGCACCCTAATAATATATACAGTATATCATAATGAATTACACTGCATCGTCCAGCTGATTTGTCCTTCTAGAAATCTTTCAGGACGTGTCAAAGAAATTTGCAATCAAAATGAAATTGTCTAAACTACTGTTGAAACAAAGGGGTAGGAGTGTAAAACCCCTTAATCTATGAATTCAAAAACTTTGAGAAGTACTGGTAAATTTTAATTTTAATGATCTTCAAAAGTGTGTATATTATGAAACGTGCCACTCCTCAAAAGAAATGACTGTGATCAGGTTATATACAAAGCGTACCTGGATGGATCTGTCGGTTGGAATCGTCATTTCGTACAAGTGTAACACGTAAGTGTATGTACGCTTATAGCAAAACCGAATCGTTATCGACTTTATTTTCAAACCCGTACACATTTTACCCTGTTGTGTACATACTCTTGCTATATGTACAATCCATACTCATCAACATTAGGAAATGGTTAGATGACAGACTGGAAAAAGATAATTTCAATGAACGTTGTTAGTTTTTATGATTGTATGCAGTAACAGGACTTTAGACTACTTGTTGCCGTAGGTAGTAACATCTAGGCACAGATAGGGCACTAGTCATACACATTTTTTTTTCACTTAAGTTTCGATTGTGTTTAAATCTAACTAAAAAATGTCATATACAATAACGTATGTTGATCCGATGGCTTAAGATAAGAACTACCTGTATACTGTCTAAGTCTTAAGATAAAAACTACCTGTATACTGTCTAAGTCTTAAGATAAAAACTACCTGTATACTGTCTAAGTCTTAAGATAAGAACTACATGTATACTGTCTAAGTCTTAAGATAAAAACTACCTGTATACTGTCTAAGTCTTAAGATAAAAACTACCTGTATACTGTCTAATATGAAAATAGGATCTGCGCAGTACTTTCGCATTAGTTCTGATGCTTAATACATATATATCAATCTTTTTGTTACAGTCAACATGAGTCGTTTACCCAATGTCAAAAGAACCAATCAAAGTTCTACCCACTATCCTACATCTACCAGTGATAAAGCTGTAGACGGCTGTACAAACCAGCATTTATCCGGTGGATGTTGTTCACATACATCGGAAGGAGCAATGGAAGCGTGGTGGCAAATCGACCTACAGGGTCAGGTGGTCATGGAATATGTAAAAATATTCTACAGATGTGAGCCATCAGATGTACTTTTTATAATAAAACTATCAAAACTAATTATAAAATATTATCCTAATATAATTTGTTTTCTGAGGAAAAACAAAAAGGCCACGTAAATCATAGTCTCAGAAAATAGATAATATCTCGAAATTTCTACGTTATCACTCAAACTTTCGAAAGGATTTCTCCATTTTTTTCTCACTATTTTTTTGCTTGAAGTTTACTAGTCATTTAGTAATTTCAAGTTACTATCACGAAGAAATATAATTGATGTTTTTCTTCGTGGCCCTATTTCTATCATACATAATGATACATGTATAAACAAACTGTGGTAAAACAGAGCTGGAAATCATATTACTCTCATAATTTATTATTCTTTATAAGATAAGCAAATATTGATTTCAAATAAGTTTCATTTCTTCTATACTTTGTAAATGCTGTATGATTTCTACTGAAAGAATTATCTTATGTTCAAATAACTTAATATTACTAATCGCAAACCATTTCACCTTCAAACGACCAATGGTACATTACACAGCTGCTGTAGCGACATGGGGAATGTCCTAATTACACAAGTCAACATGAAATTAGAAGGATACTATATAGGTCCCCATATCATTGACTGAAATTCGTTTTCTTATTTCTACTGGACGGGCTCAAGTTGTAGCTATATATCTAAATACATGTATCTAGATAAGTGCGATAGCCGGTAAGCTTCATAACTGTTTGCATACTTTCAACGCAGATATTTTCAAAGTCATTGAGACATTTAGTTTAAAGGCTTATTTTCAAGTCATTGTTTGCTTTTGCATTGAAAGTTAAAATGTTAGGCAAGATTTGTTTTTCTGGCTGGAGAATTAAAAAAAAAATGTTGATATAAAAGGGTACAAGATCTCAAAAGAAGCTTATTTTGTAAGTATAAAGTAACCCTTCTTCAATACTTGTTGAACTTTAACAATCATTTCGTATTGCATGCATGATTGTCTAGTTGTGTCATAATAACAAAATAATAATAACAAACTTATAACTGATTAGAGCCTGCATTATAATGATCGATATTTATTGCCATGAACATTTTCTTGTCCATTAAATGCAGAGTATACACAAAGCCAACGATTAGATAGCTTTAAGTGCATGTATACTTAGTTCTTATGTAAATGTATGCAAATTTACAGATGAAAGTGACCCAGTACAGATAAAACCAATCTTCGAAACGTTTCACAGGTTGTGCTACAGGAACTTATATATACTCTATACTTACCAACCTGAAGAGCCTATGCGTGATGCATGCATTAGTTTATTTAATATTGTTTTCGAGATTTGTTTTTAGACAGAGCGATATTTTTAAGATAACCGTTGACTGAGCTTGGGTTTCAAAAAAATCATGAGTGTTGACTTTAATTATTTAATACAGTTTAAATATTTTCCGAAATACTTATCATGAAAGTTTACGAAACAAGTTACTAACAACACAATTTACAACCCGCCTTATACCCTTCACGATACACACACATATTACAATATATAGTGTTATCTTATGTTTGCAGTAAAATTGATATTTAAAATATGTACTAATCTCTATTGTTATTTTTTGATAATAAGATGACGGGTTTCTTCAACCAAGACGATTTGGTGGCTACCAAATATACCAGTCGAACACGTCGGATTGGCGAAACGGATACCTTTGCCATAAAGACACAACACCTACGCCGAACGCTTTGTCATTGACTCCCCAGATCCCATGTACAGGCAGCGCTCAGTACCTGACTATTTACAGCGACAGACGGCCAGGAGGTCTACCGTGGTACTCTGATACTGCTATTTTGGAGCTTTGTGAGGTAGAAGTGTATGGTGCGTACTTGTATATATGCAATTCCTTTCTAAATATGTCGTTCTACCATACATGAACTTATTTGTTACTACTATGAGAAACGCCGGTTTTTGATGCAGCTTCGTGTACCATTCAAATAGAAATGAACAACAATGTCTTCTGTTTATATTTAAATTTTACGAGTTATATGGATATTAATTTTAACAAATATAATGTGTCTAAATATAAAAGCGTTGAAATGGACTTTTTGAACTCATATTTTGAGTCAAGGTAGATCTGTATAAAGATCCATATTTAAGGTATGAGGATCATCTTATCAATATGGTAAAGTCAAAGTATTTGTTTCAATATATTATTTTTTGTTCGATAATAGAAATCCTTACTTCATCCTTATAGTGTTGTTTGTTTTCAGCTAAGGTATTCCTGATGGCGAGTCAGAGATTCAACACTTTGCTTAATTCATGACTTTGGTTAGAATTCTCGTGAACTTATGACTTTGGTTTATATTCTCGTAAACCTATGACTTTTGTTAATTTTTACTTAAACTAACATTCACATGAACTTATGACTTGGTTAATATTTGCATGTTCTTATGATTTTATGACTTATATCAACTTTTGACTTTGGTTAATATGTTCTTGAACTAATACATATTCGCGAACTAATATTCTGACGAACGTATGACTTTGGTTTTCATTCACTTAACTAATGCAGAAAGCATTAGTTCTCTATACTTAGAAAACATCGCCAATGCAAGAAATAATTTAATTAGATGAAACATGTTCTTTTGTAAAGTTTTGAAATTTAAAGGAATATTTAAATTATACAAATTGGCATGTTCTTATGTTTTAGGTTGTCCGTTGGACAAATATAGTAAAGGTAAATGTGAAAGAGTTTGTGATGCAGGATGTGCCGATAGCCTTTGTGATCCAGTCACTGGAGAATGCGCAAGTACTTATACCTTAATTGAATTTACTTAAACAAGATTGAAATAAAACTTAGTCTGATTCCAGAAGGACGTTTCATTTTTGAGTTAATATATATCGAACCAACAATATTTCAAATTTCTCAATAATGTTTGGCTGATCGAAATACGACACTGCCAAAGACTTTTCAGTGTTGTCATTTTAACATCTCGGGATTTCTGGGAAGATAAACGAAAAAAAAAGAAAGTAAATCACTACAATTTTCTTACACAACGATAAAGATTATTTTTTAAAAGTTTTTAGTCGGCTTAACTGGAATTCATCTGTAGTTAATTACTTGATTACCGATGTATTTATAAAATGATAGTTCTAATAGTAATACTATATCCTTAATTTGGTGGCAATCTTTACCTTTGGAACATGTGTACATTGTATTTCACTATGTTGTGATTTCGGTATGGGGTGCCGATAGCGGATATTGCTATGGAGGCCTTTTTGTAACGTTATAGTTTATGACGTCATACATTTTCCTGTATAATAAAAATAATAATAATAATATACAACATTTGCTGTAGCGCCCTATCTAGCTAACAAAAGCCACAATAAAGCGCTTTACAGTACATATATATATACTTAATACAATTAGCATATACATTCAACAATACAATTTTGAGGAATTCGCAGGAACTGCCTTATCAGGCGCTAACTACTAGTCCTATGCCACCTGGCTAATCCTCCCTGTGTGTGTATGCCTGCGTGTGTGCTGGAAATGTGATGTGTTCTATTTGTAGTGGGAACGTGCTTTAAACGGCATCATTTACAGTGCCACTTCACATGAATGCTACAGCACAGATACCGCAACATCCACCACAGACCAATTTATACTCCACCTTGGTTGTTGGAATTGTGTAGGCAAGAGAAAAACACTTTCTCTTAATATCCATTCGTACGACTTCAGGGATCTAACCCCGGCCGCCTGCATGGAAGGCCGGAGTGTTAACCACTCGACCAATCCGCCCATATGTTAATGTAAACAGTCTGAATTATCTCCATGAAGAGAATAGAGTTTTTAAAACGTGTTATTGATATTTTTCTTTGTTAATAATATACCTGCGGCGGGATCGGGATGGGAGGATTGGTAGTGTTTGCGTACAATGTGTTTACGTATCGAGGTACACAACCATGATAACACGGTCACGTTTGCGATACAAATGCAAAGATATGGAATGTTCTGTGTTATCTCGTTACATGTTTACCCTGTGTTATACGTACACAGTTGTATTTGAAGCCTCAGAAAAGAAATGTTGAAGTATACCTAACCGTTTTTTGCAAACCATGTCTCACACTGTCTGGAAAAGACGCACTCTTAAATCTTTCCGACAACAAATCGTCAACACTTAGTATCGCTCCCAGGAAAGGTAAAGCCGCTTGACAAAGGAAATAAGTTTGGCACAGTATATACGTAATTATTATCATCGATTAGCAGTATGTTGAATACATGTAACATGTTATTGTAGAATGTGTGCCTGGTATGTATGGCCCCAACTGCACTCAGACCTGTCCTGTCAGCTGTCAAGACAAGTGTGAAAGAAACACCGGAGAATGCAATGGTATAGTTATTTTCGTTTTTTATAGTCGTAAATTAATAACTAAACTAACAAAATAAATAAACGTCAATTTTACAAATAATTGACTCTGAATTTTGCCCTAGTTGTTGAAACATATAACAATGGATTATTTTTTTACTGAATTTGTTTCGGCAACTACATGTACATGCTATAGCGTTAAGCGTTTCTGATTTTTAATACATTGTGTATTACATTGTATTTACTTTACCATTAGTGTCCATGTCATGTACTATGCGTTACTTGTGTTTCCGTGTCACATGCTGTTCGTTACCAGTAGTGTCCATGTCACGTGATGTCCGCTACCTGTGGTCGTGCATGCAGGTATACAAGTGTGTATGCAAGTGTCTCCTCTTGGTTTTTTTTGGTCAGTAGTCTTTGTGTGTATTTGGCACCAAAGCTACTGATTCTGCACAAACACATGACGTTGAACTGTTGTGAAAACCATTGCGACAAAATACTGGAGACATTGAAGTATTCGGTATGTACAATTATGATTTCAATATTATCGTAAGCAATATTGTTTTTGCTTAAAATGTATATTGTTAAAATAATAACTATTAAGCTGAACTCGTCTTTCGAAGAATCGACATTTTTTGCCCACAATTTATCAGAATAATTTATGTATGTGTATTTAGTAATACATTATATCTATCTTTACATGTCTAGATCTACTAAGTTACTCTATTGAATACATATATTCAGGTGAACTATCAGCGGTCCAACAAAATCGAATCTCCTGGTTCTTTTGTCTACTTAAAATTGGATCTAATGCAAACATACTGAAAACAAATCAAATACTTGAAACATGCCTAAGTTCACACGAGTTTTCCGAATTTTGTAAATAAATCATCTGATCCGACCCCATCGCTCATTTGTGCACATTTAAACACAATATGCGCACTATATTGTTTGGTGATTTGTGCGTAAACCTTGTAATTGTATATTATGTATGTATACGATTCATAAAAATAAACGCTTACTTAATGTATTTTGATAATAATTTAAATGAGTTGTATATTTTATTATTGAGTAAATGATGACCGACATTTGAAGTTATTGAAATAAATGGTAAATTAAAACATGTTTAACATTATTAAATTATAGATATTCTTATCTATTGTAATATGTGCATTTTGTTCTTTGCAGGGTCTTATTATGATTATTATTGAAAATACACATCTAGATAGAGAAGAAAGTATACACAAATGTTTGTTACAAACAATCAGTGAAGGAGAATCTCAATAAAAGAAAAAGCTATATCCTGTCACTCATGACTCATGGAGTATCCTTACGTAAATTATCGATGACTTTGTTTTTTTATACCATTACCATACATCATGTGTTTATATCTACCTTTAAACATCACTTGATAAATATGCAATTCAGCAATTGATTTTCAGCTAATATTAATACAATTCTATATTCAAATAATAAGCTTATATATACCATCAGCTTTGTTGGAAGAACAGTTAACTTGTATGCGTAAACATTTGTTTTATTTGTTTCCCCATGTACCCCTAGAGGTTTGAAGGTAGAGACTAGCATGTGACCTTACCTGTCAATTGAGCTGAAAATGCAAACAAACAGATGACCATCTTAAAGGTAGGTGAACAGATATATATACTAATTCAAATTGAACAACAATTATGCAACTGTTCAAAAGATAAACAATGTTAGGAAAGTCAATTCAGTAAAAGGTTTTATTATGTATACCAATCTTCTGATTCCTGTTATGCAGTAATGCAAATAGCATGCAGTAGCGCCCTGTATAACGATATACAAATGTACAATGTAGATAAATTCGACACATTTTTACACTATACACTGTACATGTATATACCTTTAAAAATCAGCTATGTTTAACTTCAAATTCATTGTCGTTTTATGATTATCCTTCATATTTCGTCATGACGTCTTATTAAATTCCATTAAAATATTGATAAATCAATCTGCTATTCCGCGGCATGTATGTATGTATGATTGGGTGCCTAAGAGGGCGTCTGTAAAGATTCTAATTTATATAAAAATAAGTAATGACTTATAATCCAGATAGAACAAACGATGAAATAGGATCCCGTTGTTACATATCATTGTAGTACGCATACATATTTTCATGTTTGGCACATTCAGACTATTTGTGCATGTGCGGGTGAGAGGGTGGGGAGCAACGCCATGTCAACAATTGTACGACACATGGGACACTAGAACGCAAACTACAGCTTACAGTGAGTACCGTACACATCTACACATTGGAATACCATCTGTGTAATTGTTTTGATCATGCTGTGTAGATACACAGCGATATTTTATGTAGTGAGCTATTTATAGATACAATGCACCTATGTGTTTTGGGTAAATACAGATGCTCTCATTAAATTATGTGTGTTTTTATAGTGATTTATACAACAAGTACACAGGTTTTATAAAATCCTACTTCGCTATTTCTCTTCCGTTTGGTATTGTTTATATAGTGAATACAGTTAATACACACGGTAGCTGGTAATCGTTGGTAAGGAGGCACGCACGTGTTAGTGCGTATTAAGTTTTAATGTGTCGTATGCCGTACTTCTGCGCAGTTTGTAGTTAATATTTTCACTTGCATATATGTATTTAATCAAGTCAGTCTCATTGTTGTATGTTTAATTGGTTATTTATATTGTATTGTAGTTGAATCCCAGTACAAGTGTGGCATGCCAGTCTGCACTTAAAACTTGATACCATATTTGGATACCGAGGTATGTGTTGGGGAAGATGACTTAGCTTCGTGGTTCGGGAGGCCGTAACTGTCAGTAAGGACCCCGACCAACACTTACAGGAAAGGAAGGTTGTGACTCTGACTTTCCCGTGGGTCCTGACTATGTATACTGTGATGACGGGAAGTGGTGCCTAGGTGCTAAGGAATAAGCCTGTTGCTTGGAAAAAGTAGACAGCTCTAAGGTGGATATCTACCCACCTGTGTGGATTGTATTTCAAGGACATTGTATTCACAGATCGATAGCTGTCATTGATATAATGTACCATTTCTTGTTAACTTGTATACATATTAAGTCAATTGTATGAATGTGAGAATGGATATTATATACTTTTTGTTCTTAATATATGTTGAAATGAAATATTTTAAATAATGTAAATAGCGTACCTTGTGTTCCTATTCCTTCACGAGAGTTGACAATATTCTCATCCCGTTACACCCGTATAATGAAACACCTTATCCGGACGAAAACAATGAATGAAAATTATGAACTACTGGACCCTCTGGCGAGAACCTATACTTGTTCACGAAACTACAAACACGATTATGCAGAACAAAAATACAACAATATGGAAGAAAAACTCACTTTGCAGAGAAGACAAATGTGTACTATTAAAGTTATCATCATATTACTGATCAAACACATCAACTCATGTAAATGAATAAAAAAAATTCAAAACGCAAAATTTGAACTTTTTCAATACCATATAGACGTCTACTGGTGGGATATCGAGGCTTATCATTTTTATCTGAATGTTTTTGTTTCAAAAGATACAATGTATATTAATACTTTGACCGTACATAAAAAATGATGTCATAATACTTCATGATGTCGTACTCAGCGTAACTATTATTTCAACGTCGTGATTATTTGCCAAGTTTGAAAAAAACGATCACATATAGGTAGGTGTTCACGATGCCGACGTAAGATAAACGCTTCGGTAACAAATCAATAGTCTAACTCGTCATGTATATATATGTATCATGTATATGTAACGTTACAGTGAGATGATCATTTTAGTACATGTATGTCTGTTACTATATAGTAAGAAGATCTCAAGCAGGATCCTTTTACGAGCTTTAGAGAGTTTCACTAACAAATCAGGTATACATTGTAATGGGAATAAGTTTGCTATCCCTTTGATTATGTACTCAACCAAATCATGTAAACTTATACATTTTGTAATTATTTCTAATCAACACCAACAGTTTAGCAATTGCCGACAAGTTGTGACGTCATCACATTGTTCCTTGTGACGTCACAATTGTACGCTAGTGGCATACACAGTTTTAGCTGTATCGTTAATTAAGATAAACGGCAGATTTCATGAGTGAGGTTATAAGTCTGGACTTTTTGAACAGACGAATAGGCAAGATCAACAAAAAGAGACATTTTTGATATACTTAATAAAATCACTTTCAAGTTTTCACTTTATTCGTATGTCTACTCAAATATCGAGTGGAATATCGTATTACAATTTGTTCTAGGTAACATCATTATTATATCTTGTGACAGCTACTGATCACGTACTCATTATGAAGGACATAATACAGAATATATCGTTAGATAACAAATAGTGTAACGTATCATGGAAGGTGCAAACATACACAGTTGGGCGCAATTTTGAGATTTATGAAATAGATGGTGCGATCCAAGTTTGTTTCATGTCTAAACACAGGTTTGTATTTTATACAAACCTGTGTTTTTATACAAACCTTTTCTACTCAAAAACAGCTAAGCGTTCAAGCTTTGATGTATAAGGCAAATGACACGACGAATCCAAAACCAACCCTTAATCTCTCTATCGAAAATATGTCATGATAGTGTTTTCACAGTATAACAGGGTGAAAGTCATCTATTATTAATGCAGGTTTGTATAACGGATGCTTTTGGTCCGAATACAACTGCATCTAAAGCAAAATTATGTCAAAATGTTCGTCCTTCATCATATACGACCGGTGTATGATAATGATAGGGAAGGCGAATGACCAATAGTATTGAGTGTTAGAAAATATAATTGTAGCATTTATGTAGTAATTTAAGTAAGTTCAGATGTACACCATCATATAATGCCATGATATTATTTGCATCTAATTCCTCGCTTACTGCCCAAACTATCAAGATCCCGTTTCCGTTATTTCAAATAAATAAAAAGATACATGTATATCCCCCTTAATGTATCGCAAAAACACGCTTACAATACTACAATATCGTGATGTTAGCGAGCTAATTTATTCCCCTGAAGTATATCCATGTGTTTTTTTTTCGTTCAGAACCAGAACAAAATATTGTGTATCAAACAGATCTTTTGAGTAAAGCAAATAGAATATTGTTGTTCGTACTGGAATATTCTCTGAATACGAATATTCACTATGTCATAAAGACACTTTTTATATCAAACTCAGATCATAAATATCCTCATATATGTAGACAATACTAGTTGGACATGAAATCGTTTCAATCTGAGATAACAATATGTAGATACATCAGGATGTTTATAAATTTTAGGATAATTTCAGCCGTTGATATTTTTTATTTGAAAGACTTTCACATTTCTTTTAGAAAGGCTAAACATTGAAAAATATCCTTATACCAGACATGAAATTGAGTTAGCAATGCAATTAGATCATCATGAGAATGTAAACTTTATACTATGAAATCCGTGATTTCAAATAGATAGAACCTTTGTCTGATAATCATAAACCACTATTACATACAATGTACACAATGGACATGTATAATGATTGATATGTATACTCAAGTAATAGGGTTCATGTATGTAAATCAAGTAAAAGTACTTTTTACAAATATACCAATTGTTAAGTGTAAATATATTAATGTGATAGGTTTCAGGTATGTTTAACAAACAGCAATCCTATTTACACGTATAGCAATTGTTACGTGTATATATAATCAAGTTATAGTGTCCAGTTATGTTAAACAAATAACAGTCCTATACACACATATAACAATTGTTACATGAATATATACTCAAGCTATAGGGTCTAGGTATGTTAGCAAACAACAGTTGTATAAACATCCGTGACAGTTGTTAGAAATAGCAGAGTTTAGGGTCCAGGTATGTTAAAAAAAGTAACTGTCCTATACAATCATTATTTCAATGTGTGTTTTAGTAATGCACAATGATACGCAACAATAGCACACATCAGTTAAATGTGTGAATAAAAAATAAATAATAATACACCATAATAACACGCATCAAATAAATGTACATAACAATGCATGATAAAAGAATGCAGTTATTTACAGAATGTATTAATAATACAAAATAATACACAATAATAACAAGCAGTGATTAAACGTTTGTATTAATAATCCAAAATGATACACGATAATAACACACATTAATGACATGTGTGTATTACTAGTAAATAATGTTACACAATAAAACATATAGCACACATCAGTTTTAATATCTGTATAAATAATACACAATAATACACAATAATAAAACAAAACAATCAAATGTGAGTAAAAATGATACATAGTAAATTTTAATAACACATATTAATTAAATGTTTATATTAATAATACATAATGATGCACAATAATAACACGCAGTAATTAAATGTGTGTATGAATAATTCATAATAATACACTACAATAACACACATCATATATATACGGACATCGATATAATACAGACATACAACTATGATTGATTACATGAAAGCGTTTTTATTTATTTAACTTAATGTCTTTTCATCATCATCATCATCATCATCATCATCATCATCATCATCATCATCATCATCATCATCATCATCATCATCATCATCATCATCATCGTCATCGTCGTCGTCGTCGTCGTCGTTATAATAGTACATGACCGGGAAAACATCATCATACCACTTTTAACTGGTTTTAGCATCCGGTATTATAACACCGACAGACTTTAATTTGGGTAGTAACCCAACAAGGTTTGTGATTAAACATGTACAGGTAACCGCCTGTAATGGGTAATTATTGCACCGTGAAAGGTTCTGTATTGTATACCTGTATGATCGTATATTTTGACTTGTATTTAGACTTGTAACGAACTTCCTGGTTGGTAAACAAAGTATTAGACAAGGTGCTTGCCGCTGTACACGACTAGATATGGGATTTTACCGGTCTCTACTGGTCATCTGGTCAGTAATAGCAACATTGACGGTGGTTAACGCATCAGGTGAGAGTCATACTTAACTGCATGTACTCGTAACAACATTGAACCATCGCCCTTATCTAGAAATCTAGAAATGCCCTGATACCATTGGTAGCGAAAGGCGTTACTTAATTACCATGATAGCATGTACGATGATTGTATTATTGAGCAACTGACTCATGATCAATTTTGAATGATTTTTATGTTATTAATAGTGACATCGGAGTTAAATCTTCAATGCTACACTATTAGGATATCCCAAGGTAAATTTAATACGTGAATGCAATAAATGCATGGTTCAGTGTAACGCTTCGGTGCAGTAGTTGAATCAATCCACATATATTTACTATAAATAGCATGGGGTGCTGATAAGGTAAGCGTGCTTTATTTCTATAGTGCTTACAGTGTACTGAATACAAAATGACATGCTATACTTTCTCGTATTAATTGGTTTGCGCATTTGTATCGCCTGTTTTTACACACCAGGTGTTTGTTTTCTGTATAGAATATGTCTTTATTTTAAAATGTCTGTACACAGAATATAGTTTGTTACTTCACTCTCCGTTATTTGACACCAACATACAATCACGTGTTTGTACGACATTTATACAATTATCAGAGTTCGTCTGACATACCTATAACACAATGACCACGACGTGCAGATTTGATCTGGACGGTTAAGTATGTCTCTTACAATGGATAGAAGCTGGCAACGACTATATGTGACGTCAATATTAACTATGGGTTTACAGGCCACATACATAAGAAATGTATATCGTTATGTATATATTGTGGATACAAAATGTACGTTTACATTGAAAGTACGGTTTTGTATTACAATTAAGCATGCATTAAATATATCTGTCATCGCTTGTGGATCAAAATTAACTATTCTCCTTTTAAATTTGTTTGTTTTTATAAATACATTTCGCTTTCTTGATTACAGTGGTTTCAATTTAAGATATAATTTTTTCATGATGCAGACAGCATTTTTATGAATGGTTATCTAGTGGAAATTGAAATTTGCTAATTGATGACTTCGTGTTGATTTGATACAATACAAAGCGGATCAGTAATAATCAGCCCGATCGTTGCTGACTTCGAAATATGACATGACTAGACTCTGATACCGAGATGTGCTACAGAGTCTTGTTTGTGAGTCTCTATTAAACTGTATAGGTTAGACAAAACTCCGTGTTTCCCGCACGAGCTTGAGTTTCCCTGGCCATATTTCCCATATTCGAGACATCAAAATAGGGAACAAGTTGATTCGAAAATAGAAGGAAAACTGTTGATTCATTTATGAAATGATCCAATATTTACAAAATGTTGAAATACTAAAAATCAATATTATTGCAATTTACAACAAATAACACCTAAGAATGAACAAAACCGTGTTTCGAACGAAAAATCTACGTCATCGAATTAAAAGGTCGTAATTGTCACTGTTGACCTTTTTCACTTTTTTTCATTTTTCGATAGAACCACTGATTACACACCTTTTGGGAAAATATCTAAGTTGTGGGGTTACTACTTCAAAAGTTATTAAAAAAACATGGTCGTTACTGACCATGCTGGTTATTTTTCAGAAATGAAAAATGGTAAGTAACCGATTCCGTGAATATTAACACGTCGCAAGTGCCACTAACAACCTTTTCATTCAAATAACTAATTGAAACTATGCACAAATGGCACGTCGTAAAGTTACGTACAACCTTTTTACGACGTTTAAACGTTCCGGTATAAGGTTCATATTATTTAGTGAATGCCATTAAGTTGGTATTTTTCCTATCTTAAGTACATGTATGAGAGTGTCTTTAAATTATAAATCCGCATATGGTCCGTTGAATCATCAGATATTTTTGGATTCTGAACGGCCCACCAACAAAAAAGGTATCATTATGGCCATACAAAGAAAGTAGATACAACACATTAAAGGCAATGACATCAAACGAACGTAAAGGCAACAGACAAACGTAATCTTAAAAAGTAAAAGTGGCTAGGGTTAGTCATATCCGTTTGAACAGACCTACAGATTTAAGGTAGGTTAGAATTGTAGAGATACTGACCTATTGTATTTTCCCTTCTAATGAAGGAAGACATATTGAAATAGTACTGTTTCTTCTGGTTCCTTTTCTGGTTTCATAATAATATGATCTTGTCCGGGCTGTTACTTATAAACCGTTAGAGAACTCTTGATGCAATTTGCAGGATACATGCATCACCCATAGACAATGTGCAGTTCATTGCCATAGGTCATTGTGACCTTGCCCACAAGGTCAAAGTTGAAATATGTTATTTATCAGAAATACATTGTTCGGGCTGTAACGTTTAAACTATTAAAGATATCTTGATGAAATTTGCAGTATAACTGCATACCCTACAGGTATTGTGCAATGCATTGTCATTAGACCGCTGAAGCTTTTACCTCAAGACTAAAGGGCAAACAAGTATGATTGTTTCTAACATTAAAGGGTGTACGCCAAGGTGATTCTTACGGTCTATCACTGTGTCTAATTTTGCCTAAACTTAGTTTGTAAGTATATGGTGACATTTTAAACTCTATCTTAGCTACATTTGCGACTCTTGGGTCAGTTTTGAGGACTACTGTAATGATTTCCATTAAATTAAAACTTGTTCATATATGGATTTATCATTAACTGTAGGTAGTTCCTCTAAGGTCCAATAAGTGTCAAGTTAAAGATCTTCTGATAAAAATTGCAGTATATCTGCATCGCCCACAAAGACGATGTACAGTGCACTGTCGTAAGGTCACTGTTACCTTAACCTCGAGGTCAAAGATCATATAGTGCGAGGTGTTCATGAATATCTTGTCCGGGCCGTAATTTTTAAACCGTTAAATCAGGAAGACATACGTTTTTGTTCACAAGATCTAGTCAAGCTTAAATTAGAATCCCTATTGTTAAACTAATGGGGCACATGGATTCGTGTTGTAAGAACGTCGTTCAAATTTTTCCAAAATGATTACAAAATAAAACAGGGACAAATTCAAATTAAATACGAGAACATTAGCTGTGCCACTATAAGCTAACCAAAGTACAATGCTAGATTGTGGCTAGGCCCTGTGTCCATCACCCGTCCACCAACTTTTCCAACTTCTCCAGAACGACAAAGTTGACTTTGTCTGAATTTGGCCTGAAGCAATGATTGGCCAAGGGAACTCGATTTTGTAGGAATGGAGGGTGTAGTCCCACCGGGGCAAGAGAGACGGGCCAATTAGAAGCAAAAGAACCTTTTTCCTCTGTAGGAATAAACGAAATTTACAACATTTTCCTCTGAAGCAAACTGGGGACAAATTATTTTTGTCATAAGTGGAGGGTGCCGGCCCGCTCTCCCTTTCCGAGGGCCGATGGGCGGGGCAAAAAATCAGAAACATGGTAAACCTGTGAAATCCTTCTTCAGTAAGAATGAATCATTTTGTTTTACTTTGCTCTGGAGAAACCTTTGGACAACGGAGCAAGGGGTGTCGCCCTTTAAGGAGGAAGATGCGGAGCCAGACAGCGGAAATAGAAGTGAATCATTAAAATCCTTCTTATTTCGTAGTAGGATTAAATGGATTTTGTCCAATTTACACCAGGAACAATCTCAGGACAATGAGCCTTTTCTTTATAATTGAAGTGTGTAGCCTCCCTTGTGGTTGAGGGGAAAGGCTAAACAGGAAATAGACGTAAACCTTTAAAATCCTTCTTCTTCTGTAGAACCAATAGGCCACAGTTCTGTTTTTTCCAAGAAACAACTTCTGAAAATAAGACCTGTCACCTATGGGCTAACTAAAAAAAACGCATTCCGGCTGCTTTTTGGCCCTGTAGAGGCTTGCTAAACAAGTGAAAAGATATATAGAAAGAACAAGGGTCATGGACAACTCTAACCTCAAATGTCGTACCGATAGACCGATAGAAAATACAAACACGGCTACTGTAACCTTTGACACCTAACCTCGTAATTTTGTCACAATGTAGCTTGCATCAATGCTACATATACTCCAAGGTATGTGTATACAAAATACCTACTATTTCTACGATAACTAACCATTTCAATAACATAATGCACCTGTGACTTTGACCTTTTATCTCATAACCTTGGAAGTTTGTCACAATGTAGCCTGCATATTTGGTTACGATTTCCTAATATATTTGTGTATAAAAAAAATACCGTTTCCGAAACCTTTCATTCGTGACCTTTGACCCCATGACCTCAGAAGTTTGTCAGTAGAGTAGCTTCAAATATGCCTAGAACACCCCAATATAAGTCTGTATATAAAATACCTACCATTTCCGAGATAGTTAGCTATTTCAGTAACTTAATATACCGTCTACAGAAGCCAAGGGCAATTACTCTGATAAATATGGAACGAACATAATGGCGTTCTAAGAGCCACAAGTTCATCTAAGGTAGCATGTGTACAACGTTTCATCAAAACCCATGCATAAACCTAGAAGAAGTACATGTAGGAAGTACAATAGTTTGTCTACAGACAGACAGACGGACCGACGGAGGGACGAGGGGCCGGATAGACAGACAGACTGATTTCAGTAAACCCCCCACCCCCTCACTAACTTCGATGCGAGGGAGCGGGGTATACAAATAAAGTGTGTAACCTCCTTGGGGGTAGAAGGGCGCGGCACAATAGGAAAACGTAAACCTTTAAATTCATTTATTTCGTTCAGGAACAACCTTTAGACAATGGGACTTAATAGTTTTTTTAAACACAGTATACGGCTTCCCTAGGGGTAGAGGGTCGATACCGAATAGAAGTTAACCTTTTGTTTTGTGGCTCTGGATGCAGAAGAGGGATTGGAGAAATTTTGATCATACTTTTAAAAAACTGTTTCCTATCCTATAACCATTTACACACTCGGTCGACATGATTAGACAAATATATTTATGCTTCCAAAATTTGCCATGGGGCGAATGAGTTCTGGTAAAGATATTGGGCATAACTTGAAAACAATTGAGATCCTTTCCCTGTAACCAAATATACCCATATAGGACTATGTCAGACAAAAACAGCCATGGCCCTGGTGTCCATGTCTGCCCGTAGAAATTTTCTAGATCAAAATATGAAAACAGTTTCCCTGCCTTTTAGCCATGTATAAGTCGAAAAAGGTATGATCCTGACCCTTTAACAATATATTCAATTACCCTGGAGATTAAGTTTCTGGTTCATAACTTGGAAAAGTTTGAATTCCTTACCTTTAACCATTAACATATATGCAGATTTAAACTAAATGTTCTTTTAAGTATCTTTGGTCCCGTTGACTCTTGAATAAACTGTTAAATGGAAGAACGTAACTCTCCTTTGGGGTTGGTACAAAGCAGTTATTTGAGTGTTTACGCATTTTAAAACCTACTCATTCTTGTGGATTGTATTTCAACAATAAATCATTGGGACCATGGAATAAAATGTTGTATACAGGAGAATTGCTGTCCCACTGGATGCAAACGTGGGAAGTATTTACAGAAAAAAACATTCATGAGAATAAATTGGCTGATAGTTTAGTACCGAGGTGGATGATGCAGGCCCTCTTGCTTGGCCTATATAGCATACAAATAAATTCCTTTCCTCTCTTCAAAAGATCAAAATTCAGAGGGGGGATGGGGGAATAGGACTTATTCATACACGTAACATTTACCGGCGATTCATTATGACTTAAACTTAACGATTCTGACATTGAGTATTGAGAACCTTAAACCTTAAAGTCACACATGTAGTACAGTCTATGTTATTGCAGAAAATTAGAGTTTAACATTTCAAGCTAAGGTGATGTCAATCCATTTTCTAAAACCTGAACCTGAATTTGTTTAGTAATGTACACAGCAATACGCTTTTTGACGTTTTCCAACATTGTGACAATAAACATGACTAAACATAAGATTAAGTTTACATATCCTCTCCTGGAGAGGATGGAGAGTCATGAGTATTATGTATCAACAAAACTGAGGACCCCACGGCTAAATGTTTTGAACATGCGAATTCAATTTAATCTGTTGACACAATATATCTTTGATAATGCGTTTGTGAGTCGCTCGGTAATGAAGCTTATCTTATAACTGTAACTAGAGAATGAGTGCTGAGCAAAGAGAACAATAGCTTATATTATATCATCCTTGATGTTATATCCTTTCGAGTCTTAAACTGAAAGGTTCGAATTAATGATGCAACAATTTATATCATTTCAAAATCCAAAATGAAATTGAATTGGCTTTCAATAAACCACTATGAAGCCATTTCATGTGATAAATCAATCACATTGGTAATACAGCAATCTCTCCTTATTTAGAAAAAAACCCCAGAAAATCTGGAAAATGTATTTAATTTGAAATGTATTTCCTATAGTTTTACACGTTTTACACCCAATCGACTTTGTTATGAAATCTTGAATTAGTGAACAGGTAAAAATAAATATACAATTCGATGACATCAATTTAAAGATGATATCACAAATTGGTATTATATCAGAAACAGAATTCAAATCTTTTAAAATCGGTTGACTGAAAGTTATCCAATACAGTTTTTCCCTGTTAGCTCGAAAATACTTTTAGACGAAATGTCACTTACGACCTTTTAACATGACGTCGAAATAAACTATCAAAGGAACAGTATGAGGAAAAGAAAGATATGCACATAGATCCTTAAGATTTACATTAAGAATAAGACCTAGGTTTCTTCTGCTCTTTGAACAAGACCTACATGTACCATGTAAATATAGGTAAAATTCAAATAATGCCATATCTTCAAAGCAAGATCTGGGGTAGTGTTTTTTATTTACGAGTTAACTACTCCTATGTTATATTTTTGATAAGATTTCCAAAAAAAAAATGAAATCAATCGACAGGTAGATTTCAAATAAAAAAAAAATAGAATCAAAATGTGTAAAATATTCTAAAATTGTATTCTACTATATTCTTGCAGTAAACATCGCCTCTGGTAAAGCCACTAACCAAAGTTCTGTCCTCAATAACTGGGATAGCTCTAAAGCCGTAGACGGATGTGTCCAGACATCTATAATCTCCGACTGCTGTACACACACGGCGGTAGGTCAGACCGAGGCTTGGTGGCAGGTAGATCTACAGACACAGTCCGTCATAGACACCGTGACTATTACATACATAGGTAAGATTCTGTGGACGGTATCTTATATATAGATCTAGAGGTAAGATTTCTGGATGACAACTTGTTAAGGTATTTGTTCGGAGGTATGAAGTATTGGTAGGTTTAATAACATCACATATAATTTGAACTGTTTATTTTCTAGCAATTGTGGAGAAACGTATATGCAACTATATTAATATATTTTGTTGGCTCGGATTTTAATGTGGGAGCAAATTGGGATACCCGGATAAAACCAACATGGGCAGGCGGGTGACCCCGGTTTTTTCATCTACCATCACTAGCGCTCCAACACTTGGTCGATGGTTCGAGGCCTATTTATTCATTTTTTTTTATTTATTTCAATCCGACAGGCCATAAAGCCCACATACGGGTTGATGATAAAAAAACAGATCACAATAAATTACATATTAGTCCATAATATCACTGACCAAATGTAAAATCATCAAATAATTCATGCATGCTACATAAAATAAACATACTATGTGTAATGAATTCAAATCTAATCTGTTTTATTTCTGGTTTAAACGTTTTTAGTGATCCGCTAAAAATCCTATCTGACTGAAAATCGGGGAAGCTAAAGAAAACTTAGAGATTAAAATTAAAAGTAGATGGCATTCATACGCCAAGGTCTTTTACACTCGTTAATGTTTCAATTCCCATTGTGTACTTATACTCTATTGACATTTTTTTTATTTGTAAAAATAATTTGACAACATTTCTTTACATTCACTGACAATTTCCAGTCAACACACCATTTGTACACATCTTGCTGTAGAGGCTGAATTACAGTCTGAAGCTTCTCCTAATACTTTGAATATTTTTAGAATCATCTGCGAATAACAAGGATTTGAAAACACTACCATAGATGGAAGGTCATTGATAAACATAATAAACAGTTTTGGTCCAAATATTGAACCCTGGGTGCATCGGAAGTAACATTACACCAACCGGAAGTAACCCCATTTACTGTTACACGTTGAAGTCTGTAGCCCGTGAACCATTTTAACAGATTACCATTAACACCATATGACGACAGTTTGTGTACTAATACTTGATTATTAACTCAGTTAAAAGCTTTAGTGAATTATGTGCATATGGCATGAAGGTTTGTTATGGTTGACCATTTTGTCATAAAACCATGTTGTGCATGAGCTGTCAGTGGGTCAATAAAATCAGAAAATGTTTCCTTTACAAGTTTTTCAACAACTTTCATTAGATAGACACTGGTCTATAGTTGGAAACGTCATTCCTTTTACCAGGCTTAACAAATGATATATTTTTAGAATAAAGGGGAATGTAACGTCTATTAAAGAAAGGTTGAAAATATCACAAAGCGGTATACACATTTCATTTGCACAATTTTTGAAATAATTCCAGAAATGTTAATGATAATTATATACAACAATTATATATCGCCATATATGATTTGTTAAATTACTCTAAAGCGCTTTACAACACATATATAAAAGTATTAGTTATAAGTGAGAAACAAAAATGGCTTACAATTACCTTTATACATTAAGCAAGAAGATAATCATCGCTATGTGCACATAAATGAATAAGTAAAGTGTGGTATGTAAATGACGTCTGTGAAAAAGAGTCTAAAATGCAGACGTGAAGAGGTCGGTTATAAACAGCCGGATGCAGCTGATGTTCCTGATCTGGTGGTAACAGGATTTTGCAATAGCCTTCACTAGTTTCTCCATGTTCAGTGAACTATCAAAGTATACCCCTGGGTTTGTAACAGCTGGAACAATCTCAATAGTTCTGGCACCGACCATGAGCTGGAGAGCCATTGTGTGCTGACACCATTGGGAAAAGACTTTTAGTTTCGCTTTTTACCTGATTAAGTTTTAGAATGTTGGCGCTCATCTAGGTACTGATGTCTTTCAGACAAGCCTCCAGGTTTTCTGATATTGTATCCGAACTGTCCTGTGATTTGATGACCACGTAAATTTGTGTGTCATCCAACAATGATAGCGAAGGTTATGGCGACGACAAATCTCTCCGATCGGTTTGGAATACGGGCACTATTTTCGTGGTCCTACATAACACCGACCCTTGAGGAACCCCGAAACTTAGTACTTTGTCATGTGAGGTGATAGATCCAATGGCAACACACTCGTCGTTTACTCAGATTTGAAATACCAGAAATCGAACAGTTCACTATTTAGTTCATCTTCGTGGAGCCAAGATTCTGTGAAAGCTATTATGTCGTAATCTGAAGTGCAAAAATTTGAGTTCAGTAAGTCTAATTTATTTACAACATGCCTGATCATTTTGGTAACAGTACAGTTGTGGGATCGTACAACGTTACACGATGTGCGGTGTGCGCACGATGTGTGCAAGATGTGTGCACGGTGTGTGCACGATGTGCGAACGATAAACAGCTGGACGATCATTGATTGCGCACATCTATGCGCACGATGGACGAACGTTGTGCGATAACAATCGTGGTTGGTGTAAATTGAGGAATGCCTTAACAATAAATGCGGTTTCGTGTTAAACATATAAACTTGATTTTTACGTATGTTTCTATATTCTAGCTACATCTATAAGCCTATCTTTCTGTCTATACATTCTTATATTTAGAAATTGTGTTTTCGGTGTTTTTAAACAACTTTTATCGACACATGTAAAATTACAACACAGTCCCGTATACAGGTAAACATAACCACTTTGTACATGTACCTGGACCGTTGTTTTCCCCCGCTCAGGGCACTTACGTAGCTCGTCGGGTAAGGCCAGGGATGTGAAAACCCAGGTAAAGGGAAGCCATAGGGAAACGAATGCAAATAACAGATATTATCCATTGCGGTCATACGGTATCGCATATCAGCTCTATGTGTCAGGCACAGGTCAGGTAAAACTCCGGTCAATCATCAAATTATTAATTATTTACCTGCTCTGTTACTGTGGAGCCAAACCCATTATTGACAGCCTAACGGTCGCTGTAATACTGTGTAACACGCATGGTAAAAGTGTACATACTCTTGATTATTGTGATGAGAAATTACAGTAATATATACAGTGTACATTATTGCATACGATCTTTCCGTATTTTTGCCATTCCGTAATATTGATCTACACATTGAACCAAATCGCACAGTTGTGCGGAGAGAAGTGCACAACGGGGCGAACGATTGTTAAATCGCACAGTTGTGCGCACTATGTGTGGACGATGTGCGGACGGTGTGTGAACGATGCATGCACGGCGTGCGCACGCTATTTTTGGTACGTTGTGCAGTCACACAACTGTAAGTCATACTTGTGGGACCAACGTTAATCTTTATATTTCCGCTAAGCAAGAGAGCGAGACAAATAAGAGTGTCCGATGCGAGTTGTTTTGAGGACTTCTTATGTTCGATGGCCTGTCTCTAGGTACATGTACGTATTAATTGTATCTTTCGAACAACACATCAAGTCCAAAATCTGTATATCCATTGTGCAGTTCAATAATGAAACGACTTGATATATCTAGAAGCCAAGACGAAGAATTACTCCACTCCCAATGACTGATCAACGTCGTGGACACCACAATGACAATATACACAACAGAGCGGCACACAACATGACCATCACGGTCGCCATCTTGAACTCACTTTTTCTACGTATGACAGTCACCATGTACTTGCTGCAGGTCGGTGTTTTTTCTCCCGGTACTCCGATTTTCCTTATGCGTCCGTTAACAACCATAGCCGTTGATACATCATGTAGGACATTAAATACAAACACACCAAACAAAGCCTAATCGTATCACGTCCGATCGAGAAATCGAACCACGACCCTATTGGTGAAAGGCAGGGTTGCTTTCCACTACAAAAGTCGACCATTCGTGTGAATAACATAAGATATTGAATTGGTTTAAACATATAATCAATTCAATGACAGCAGTACGTATATCCTCATAGTTTGACAAACTGAATCAGTTATCGTTATTGTGTGTGCACGTGCGTGTGTTTGTTGAATTGGAATGTTGATAACACACTTCTTTATCTGTAGTTAACAATTCATCCTTTCCACGCAGGTTTATTGTATAACATTTTACGGGAAGTGACATATTTGGAGAACAGCACGCTCTTTATTAGAAAATTGACAGTTAGGAAGGCTACAAAGGCTACACTTTAATGAATATCTCAACTGGTTAAAGTAGTTAAGAACAGCTGATTAAATTTCGTTTAATAGCGTCTGTATCATGTGTGTGCCAAAAGTTCTAACTGTTGTAAAGAGAGGGGGTTGTCCATTGGAATTCAGGACGTACAACAGGCATCCACCGTCAAATTGATGATGAGTATGCTTTTTTGGTGACAGAAAAGAGTGGGGCCTCACATTGGAATTTTGTCTTTTTCTGCTTTTGCTTCAAATTCCTACTCCATCTTCTACACTGCCCCCTACGCGGCTGCACATATAAGAGTCATGCTATTTCTGAAATATAATTGGAACAAATTGATTATATCCTTAGTTAACGATGTTGATATGATCTTGGGTTGGAGGTGTGTGGATCAAATGGTGGTACATGCCCATCACCTATTTCTCTATGACGTCACATTTTTCATCTTGCTCTTTTCTGCGCAAAATGATGGGTTTTTTTTAATTGGCAAATGGTGTATCGATTGCCATATTTTTATCAATACCATCCAGTACTATGTGAATAGTTTCCACAGAAACAAAAAAATGTAGATAAAAATCTCATATTGCAGTATCTTAGCTGGAAATTTGAGTTCGTTTAAAGAAAATGATATTTTGATTTTTGAAAACTTAAAAAATCAATTTAAAACGTTTACGATCAAACATTCTTATTACACCCAACATTGTCTTGCCTCCGAATCAAAAGTGTTATAGAGATTACTTTGTCGGCTTTGTCATCATGGTTCGCACAACTCGTTAACTATGTTAAGTCTTGAAGGAATACTTGCATTTCATGTGTTGATGTATTTCTGCAATTTATGGAGCATTCAGCCACACTCATAAAGTAGAAATGGTAATAATCTAATCACCATTAGCCAGCCTCTATTCATTACATTTTTCCTCGGTGAGATAATAAATTTGCCCCACTTGATACATGTACATGCAAAACTAATGTTTGTCACAGATTCACAGTGTGACGATATAACTTTTAATATAGACTCTGTATATTAATAACATTTTTTAGTCACCCCTGGGGGAACCCCAGCGGGGACTATTAATTTTGGTTTCAGTCCCAGATTTTGACCTCCACTGTTTCAGCTTTCGTGTGTTTGCTTCTGTCGCTAATTACAAGCTTTTGGATAACTCCAATATCGATTTTAGGAATAGATCTAACATACAACCAAAAGGGGTTCCGAATTTCAAACTAAAGATGTTCCGAATATGAATCAGTCACCTTTGAGGTTCCCGAAGGGGTAGACTGTTATATTATATGTTGCTATTGATTGATTGAGATGTTTATGTCTGACCAATGACTATATTGGTAAAATTTCTTTTTAAACCAAATTAAATTTTGGAATAAAAAGTTCAGGTAGAAAAGCTCCATAACGTCTCTTTTTCTTTATCATCTATTCACGCAACGACAAAAGAAAACGTCACCTAGCGAAAGGGCTTGATTTGACATGCCGGGTTTGTGTTTGCCGCCGGCACACTACATTAAAGCATTCGCGCAATTTGGCGGACACAAACAACATTTTGTATCGCTTTGCATTTCTCTGCAGTCCGGCGAAACTTCTAATCGAACGACAGGTGCCGAACATGCGGGATTTAAGGGACATTCGTAATCAGTAGGAAGGTGCCGCCTTCCCGGCGGTAAACGGCACGCCTGAATCAAGTTCGTCCAAAGTAAAAAGTTTACGACATTTATGGAAATTGTTTTATTTTTTTAATTTACATACCATTTTCAGCCGTCACATTATAATTTCAAATGGTGATATGTTATAAATAAATGCGCCATCATTCAAACAAATATTTCATCAACATTCATATCCCGCCTGACAACGTTTACAACTTTAGGACACTTTACAACATAACACGTTACGGCAGAACTTGAGATGGAAAACCGGAAGAGTGCAGGGTCATGTAAGGTAAGTAGAACATTGCCATACTCAGAATTTATAATAAAAGCGCTCGACACCGTTTAATGTTATCGTTTCTGCGGTGTGGTGGCAGTGGTGACCTCGAGGTACCGGCAAAACATGGTATTGACATTGTATTCATTTTGAGCAAGATAAAAAGTGTATTAAGCAAAACTGCATATTTATGCATGTTTTTTAATCGGTGATTAATTCTTATGTTTTCCGGACGAAGTTCCGGTAATGTTGGTGTCAGTTTACAGACGATGGCAAAACGTCTAAAATATCTTTGTGTTGTGTCCAGCAGGTCACATAGTAACGAGATAAAGCTTGATAAAATGGCTGCGCGGAAATATATATAACGGGCGGAAACCAATGACTAGACGATATTGACAGTTTTACAAACAAATAATTTTTACTGATAATATGGAGTTAAATAACCACGAAAACAAAACCAGTACAAACTAGTGATAGGGATTGGAAGTTCCTTAATTATCAGCCTTTAGTTTTGGTGAAAATGATTTGCTCCAATATGCATGTGCAGTTCTCTTATATCATTTTTTTTTTCATTTTAACAGATGAACTATCTTATCCTGGCACTTTGGCATGTTTGAATGTGGGATGCCTTGAAATTGGGATGAAGAAGGCCAGTGAATGTCACAGAAATTTAAAAAAAAAAAGAAATTATTTGCAGTGTTTGTGTTTTATGGTCATAAAACATGGAACATTTTCTTCAAATAAATCAACCACATGCTTTCTTATTATATCCTAATAGGTTGGCATGGTTACCTAAACAGCGTGTATGCATACCTGGTCATTGTTAGACCATTTTGATTGACAGGTGGAAATATGTCAGTTGTAGCTTGGTCAATGATTTATTATACTGAAATAATCATACAGGAGATGGGGTGACTTTCATGTCATTTTGACATATTTCTAGTTTCTGTGAAATATTGAAAAATATTCATTCTGCAAAATAACATAGTTTTCATCAGCGAAAATATCATTTTTGCTGATTTGACCATTTAAAACACTGATTACAATCTACCATGGGGTAAATTACAAGTGGCTCATCTGGTCAAAGTCGGATTAGCTAAACGATACACAGGCCTCGCGAAAATCCGTTTGAGTCATCAGCCCATCCTATTGCCCAGAATAAGCATCTGTTACCTATCACGGGGGAATTATTCTCTAGGGGAAACACAACGTTAAATTCCACACTTAATTTTCATTTTTATTACAACAAGCAGACTATGCAGATCAGCAACTCTAACTCTCTGTGAAATGAAACACGGTGCCAGCGTCTCCAAGTCCCAAGATAGGCTAAACGATTGACAGAAAGTAAAAGAGTACCAAGGTCATAAGTTTAACTTACATAGGTGGTGTTGATATGTTATCCTCAGGATAAGTGGTGACAAAAAACTCTGCATTTGCCATACTCCCAGCCATTTTAGATTCGGCGCTTAGATACCACGGGACTTTTCCTACATAATTAAATTATGAAAGAAATTTGGCATACTTTATTAAAATAATTCAATTATGATAGTAATATCGATACAGGTACTTTATAAAAATTATGATTTTAGATACATGCTAAACTAACTTAAGTAACTCAAGAAATTTAGTTATGACTTTTTAATGTGTGTCTTTTTTTTTGCAGAGAAGACTATATTTTTGTCGCGTAGGGCTGTGTAGACATTCTAGTGGTTACATGATCCAGATCAAGTAATGCCAGCTTGATGTGTCGTTTTGCGTTCCGGGGTAGATTTCCGTAAAACTATGTAATACACACAATATGTCACAGTGTCTTCCGTAATATCAAATACATGTTTATATTTAATTTACGCTGTGCACTCGTGAAAGATATCATAATATTAGCCACAATCGTGACAAATATTTGGTATTACTGAAAACACTGTTAGATATCCTCTATATTCCACTTGTTGATACAGAAAGTGAATGATTATATGCATTACGTTTAACCACCGATGCTTGTTTTGGCATGGATATATGAAGCTGAATATAAGGGTTGTTGTTGGTGGCCGATACTCTGAAACTGAATTACGGTATATATTGTATTATTTATTGTAGATCAGAACACACTAAACAGACTCGCCGGATACGAGATATACCTGTCTAATACACAAGACTGGACATCAGGAACAAGGTGTCACAAGGACACCACTGCTGACTTGGGGTCCATGTCTGCGATACAGAACGTCCAATGTCCAGGTGTCGCCCGGTATCTGACCATCTACAATGACCGTCGAGTAAAAGCAAAAGTGTGGTACTCGAATAATGCTATACTGGAACTGTGTGAGGTACAAGTTTATGGTGAGTTAACACATGTATATCATAGAACTGTACTATGGATATCACAAACATATCATCTAATGTCGTAATTAATTTACAGTTTTGACTGATAATGTAATGCAATGTTTTGTTTTATGTAATTCTTATTGAATATGTTGACATTTTTTTGCATAACTTAATACTTGTGGATAGATAAAAAAGAAAACCTTTTTTTAGTAAATGTTAGCTAGTCTACGCATGAAGACCGAATGAAACACTGAACTTTTTTATCGATTTTTTATAGAAACACTGTATGTTGTATAACCGCATTGCAACCTGTTGTTATATTGCGTACAAAACATCAGATTAAAGTAGTTCTCACTAGAAATACATCGTAATAAAATGTAAATAGACGGTACAGTGACTAGTTTATTATTAATACCGCCTCAACTTTAACTTCCCCTCAAGGTTTGACAATATATCAGCTATGCTGATGACATTTCTTTTTTATGATTCTGATTATAACAACAGTAAGGGTGAAATTTAATGAAAGTCTATAATTACACATGCAAATACAAAATATATATGCATATAAAAGCAACGCCATGGTATTTAGAAATGATGAAAGAAATTCGTAACGCATGAGTGTTGTAAAAAGCAAGGTATCGGCTTTCCATGTATGCACAGCTGATGTTATTGAACATATACAACTTAAATTTGATAAAAAATTGTGTAATTTGTAAAATGTACTTACCTAAACAACTTTAATTGTGATGAATTGGTCATCGTTTACTATAAATCATTATGTAGTTATGTTACGAAGAAAAGAACTACTGTTGCCTAATGTTTGTTTTTTTGTTTTTTTACATGTAGCGAGTATGTAGTAACGAAGTGTTCAAACTCTCATTAGAAATAAAGCAGTTGTCACTCTTGTTCCCTTGTAGAGGGAGTGTCCTTCGATTTAAAAACAACAGTTGAACTTCTTAGGTAAACAATTAAATGATAAATGAAACACTTTTCATTTTTAGTAAAAAAAAAAATGATAAAACATTATCATTTATCTTTTGTTTCGTTGGAAATCAACTGTGGTTTTTAACAATTTAATAGATATTTTTGTCCAATATTGTAGGTAGTAGGGATTAAACGTACCTAGTTCTTATAAAGCCAGGTTTTATGTCAATTTTTACTTTAACGAATATTTGCCATATTGTGACCTTCTTAACATACATATAAACAGCCTTAACAAAATATAAAGTTTCTTCTTCATATTTTTAGTGTTAAGATAGTACATTGGCACAAACCAACCCCTATTTTGTCTTTTTAAATTTCCATTTTTTATCTAAGCATTTATAACACTTGACTATTTCATTGATAAATGTATAAAGACGTTGTTTGGGACAAAGAACATGTGTGCCTGTTGAATACATTTTTAAATATCGCATTCAATTTATAACGATGAACCTGATTTGTTGAACAATATCAGTGAACTGATATGGACGATTTCCATTCCAAATTAATCCTGAACATATATTTTTTCCAAGAACATTGTGATAGTTCAGGACCTACAAACATTTTACATTTGTAATGTTTCATTACATTGTAACACCAGGAGTATCTTCTTATATTTATTGACCTTGTGCAATTTTTGTTATAGTTTTATTGTTTGTTCATTAAGGATCGATGAAAAGATAATATTTTAAGCCGCTATTTTCTGATGTAGATACATGTACATTAGCAATGTCTATATCACAACGATTATGAAAGAAGATTTTTTAACTCTTNTTCCGAACGGAAAATTTTTTTTTTTTTTTTTTTTTTTTTACAAGACAAGACAAAACACATGTGATAAATGATTGCCTAGTACATAATTGTTCATAAATATTATAACAAAGGTGTCTGTAAAGTTTTAAATAGTCTTGTAATCATTTTTTTACACTTCTCATCATCATCATTTATCAACATCATCAGCATCTGTCATCAACATCACAATCACCATCATCCTGACATTATTCTTAACATCATTATCTTTATAACTTTTATCATCGTCCTCATCATCATCTCGACATAATTCTTAACATCATCCTCATCATCATTATCCTTATCGTGTGACATCATCATTATATTCATCAACATTTTGACATAATTCTTAACATCATCATCTGACAGCATCATTATCATTATCATCATCATCATCATCATCATCATCATCATCATCATCATCATCAGACATCATATAAGATATTATTCTTAACATTATTATCATTATCATACGACATCATTTGACATCATCTAGTCTTGTAATCATTTTTTTACACTTCTCATCATCATCATTTATCAACATCATCATCATCTGTCATCATCATCACAATCCCCATCATTCTGACATTATTCTTAACATCATCGTCTTCATCACTATCATCTTACATCATCATCATCATCCTGACATAATTATTAACATCATCATCATCATCTAACCCCATCCTCCTTACCCTCCTCCTCCTCCCCCTCCTCCTCCTCCTCCTCCTCCTCCTCCTCCTCCTCCTCCTCCTCAGCATCATCATCATCATCATCATCATCATCATCATCATCATCAGACATCAGACATCATCATCATGATCATCATATAAGATATTATTCTAAATATTATCATTTAACATCATCAACATTGTCATCATCATCATCATCATCTGATATTATTCTTAACATTATCCTCGGACATCATCATCATAATTGTCTTTCATCATCCTCATCATCATCAGCCATCATTATCCTATGTCATCAATTTCATCTGATATCATAAGCAGACATTTAAAAATTGCCAATGCCATGTTAAATTGTATATTCATAAGGACAGATACAATGGGACACTGATGCAAAAACAATATCTATAAATATATGACATCAAACACACAAGAGCAAAACCAAAAAAAACTGAAACAGAAAACCCCCCCAAAAAACCGACAAAACATTACAGGGGATGGGGGAGCAATCCTAGGTCATTTTATTTTTACTTAAGCCTGGCGAATTAAAACGTATGAAAAATTTGATGATTATTATTACAGTATGAAGATGTTAAATACAATAGATGTATATATGTATAGAAAAACTATATAGAACAAATATGTCATATTAAGTCATATTATAACTGCATCCAGTTATCTTTTTGATGGTTTAACTCATCCTTATTTATTAATTTATTCTGTTTAGACACAAGGATCTTTTGTGCTTTTATTTCAAATTCCATATGTTTTTTGGAACTGGTCAGATTAAAGTCTATTTCTAGGCATTTATTTTTATATATGTATTGTTTTATAAGTAGTATTATGATGTTTTCTATATAAAACTTTGTATGTTTATATGTATGTTTACTTTTTCGCAATCCCATAGCATATGAACTATTGTTTTAGGGTGAATTTTACAGAAAGTGCAAAGGTTATTTTGTGATTTGCCATTTTGAATAAAAATGTGTTTTTAGTGAGGATTCTCTGATTTATTCTCTACTGTAGTCACTGTAGTTTGGAGTTGGTGGTGGTTTTCAAAGGACATTCATATATGTTTGCGATGTTTCTTCATCTTTATTATCATTTAAGATCCATTTTCTTTGAGCAGTAGGTTTAACATTATTTTTAATTGATATTGAATATATGTCTTGTGCTCCTTTACTATTTGTAAGTATTAACTTAAGATTGATAGGTATATTTGGAAAAATAACTGTTTTTTCTGAAGTAAAAAAGTGCTGATTTTTTCTTATAAAATGCACAGCATTCATTCGGCCTTGCTATGTCAAAAAATTAGTATTTTTGTTACTTTTTTCTTGAAATTCTTCAAAATGGTAGAGTGATCCATCCTGTTGAATAATGTTTTACACAAATTGTACTCTTTTTAAACCATGACTTTTTGAATGTAAATTTTCTGTAAATTTTAATTTCACTATTTGTTTATTTTTTTATCAAATATTTTATTTCCCCCAGCCAAATATTATATATATATATAATACTGATATGGGTCAAAGAAGTAATATAGACGGTTAAATCCCACATAACACTGGATCCTAAAACTGATAAGTATATACAGATATGTATAAATAAATCGATAGGAACTGCCAGGGTTAGGGAGTCCTGAATTCAGTCCCCTAAACAATATGGTGTCATCACACAGGAGGACTCTCATTCATTTTTCTCTGCTAATTTTATCTAAATTCAAATATTTCAATTTCATAACATTTTTTCATCAATAAAACATTCAGAAATTTGATTGGGAAATAAAACATTTGTACATAGAGTATTGGACATCTACAGAACAAGAACATACTACCACATTTCACACACAGCACACACATCCAGACGTGTTTACATATGCATCAGTATCATAATCACTAAACATAAACAAAACGTTCATACACACACATATAAATACGTACATAACATACACTCCTACGACCTACATACGTTTATACATACATGCATACACATGCACGTACATACACACTAACATCAGAAAGTATGCATGCACTTACATACGTACACATGCATGTAAATACAAACATACATGCCTATTATTGCATGTATCCATATAAGCACCAGAAAACATGCACTCTACTAACCCGTATTGTGTTTGTTTTTGGAGAGAGAAATATCAATCAACAAGAAAGCAAATTGTAGTATACAAAAAAATCTCAAAATAAATCCTTCCATTCCTCCATCTTTAATCAAATGTTTCATTGTATACATTTTTTACTGATAAAGCTTTCTCAATAATATATCTGAATGCAAGAAACTCATTCAAACCATTTAAACTTAACTTCTGTTTTTTTTCTGGAAACAGAATATATATAATATTTTGTATACAAAATAATATAGTTAATGGGCATAGGAGCATTTTCAGTAATTCCAAAAAGTATTGATTCCAACTTAAAATCAATGATTTTCCTTATTCTGCTAAATAATCTTTCTTTTAAATCTTGCCATAGCTTTAAGGACTGTGGAAATTTCCTGTATAGATGTTCTGTAGTTTCTATTTGTATTTTACACATATTACAGATATTGTCATTTGACATCCCAATAGTATTTAAATAGTTTTTAATTGGGAGGATACAATTTTGTAATCTGTATTGAAACCATTGCAGTGTTGTGTCTTTTGTAATTTTAAAGACAATACTATATGAACTTTTCCAATCTATATATTTAAAATATGTTTTTAATATCCATTTTCTTTCAGCTGTATTTACTAATTTAATTTTACTATTTAATATGTTATACATGTCTTTACAACCTTTTTTTTTTCTTTATGATAATATAAATATGACTTGGTATGAAGGGCCTCTCAAAAGTTGTTTCTGCAGTTAAGTTATAATTCAATTGTTTACAACATTGTCTAATAGACTGGCATATACTATGATAAATCAAGAAGTTTCCTGAGTTTATATTGTATTTCAGTTTAAAATTTACAAAAGTTAAAAAAACATTATTTTGCTCTAATAGATAACAAACATTTTTAACACCCCGATCAAACCATTTTCAAACAAAAAAATACTTTTCGCCAATACCAAAAGGTGGGTTATACCAGATTGGGATAGTTAAGAACTGCTTAATAGATTTTACTTGTGTTTCTTCTGAAACATTTACCCATGCCTTAAAAAACATCCGTCCAAAACATATTACTAGTCTTACATTTTTTGATAAAATCAATTCCCATATCCGATATATTTTCTACTGGAAAGTGCTCTGCTTCAAAAATATGTATCCAGTTTTTCCCATTATTTTTCAGTAATCTTTGTATCCAAGTGGACTTATGAAATTATTGATGGTAATCATTTTAAGGCCTCCACTTTCATACTTTTGGATTATAGTATTTCGTTTAATTTTGTCAACAGGAGATTGCCAAATGAAGTTAAAAAATATTGTGTTCAGCTGCTGAATAAAAGTGCTGGTTGGTGTAGGAATTGCAATGAACAGATGATTAAGTTTTGGTATAATTATTGATTTCAATACTACAATATGACCAATAGGGGATAAAATACTACGTGACCATTGGGTTATACTGTTATTTACATTTTTTAAGGCTTTCACATAATTCAAGCTTATAATCTCTTCTAAGATAACTGAAAAATGAATACCTAGCAAATCAAATTTTGTTTCCGCCCATTTTGTTTTCGATCTATGATGGTAGACATCTGCGCTGAATTTCTTGCTGCCAATCCAAAAAACTTTTGTTTTATCATTATTAACTTTTAGACCTGACATTTTACCAAAACAATCTAAAGTATTTAAAGCTTCATTGAATGAGTTTCTAGATCCATCTAAAATTATTGAGTTATCATCTGCAAACTGTGAGAGTTTATAATCCTTATGTTTTATTTGTATACCTTTGATATTTTTATTGTTTTTGACCAAAATTGCTAACATTTCAGCTACTAGTAAGAACAGATAAGGGGAGACTGGATCACCTTGCCGACATCCTCTTTGTATATCAAAAAAAAAAAAAAATCAGACAGTATACAATTTTGTGTTATTGCAGAAAAAGTACTTTTATATAAAGTTTTGATCAATTTCATTATCAAACCACAGAGGGTTTTCACGTATATTGGTATTGAATATAATGCTAGAGATAATAGTATTGTACCATGCTTCTAAGACATTTTTCCAAAAGAGGTTACTACAATGTTTAGATTCTTCTTTCAATTTTCCAAGTCCACAGTTAGCTTATGTTTCTTTATCAAAATAAGTTTCTAAAATAATAGCCCAATTTCCTTCATCTTTATATACCCGTCTTATCCATGTTGTTTAAGAGCTGTTATAAAAGATTTTAAATGTATCATTTTTAGACCACCTTCTTCATAACTTTTAATTGTCACATCTCTCTTTATTTTATCTGGTTTACCATTCCTCAAAAAATTATACAGAAATTATTAATTTTCCTTATATGTTTCATCAGGATTTGGTAGAGCTATAAATAAATGGTTAAACTGTGATATAAGTAGTGTTTTAATAACTGATATTTTACCTATTGGTGTAAGTTCTCGTCTATTCCATGATGCTATAATAGATTTTAGTTTTATAACTTTTTTTATCAAAATTCAGTTTTGTAATTCTGTGTAAGCATAACCGAACGGAAGATCTTAATATGGAAGTCATATGGGTTCACATTTAATCGGGAAACAGAACCCAATACTGAAGATTCTTTTGATGCCCGGCTTAAATATGTGATAAAGAGACAACTCAATAAGATATTGCGAAAAGAAACCACAGCTCTTATTTTTTAAATTATGTATTTTTTCTAAGTTATCACTAAACTTGTGCTATATATACTGAACAAAAAAAGAAACAAAACAAAATTCCCCCTGCAGTAAACCTTAGCTGTAAGGGACTTAATGGAATATGTGGTCAGGTATTACATCAAGAACGATCTCCCTTCTCAACAAGCTACCCTAAAATCAGCCAAGCGTGACGTTGTCATTGTGTGACTTTGTGAGCTTCTTAAGTCCAAATCACGCGGCGTGATGAGGCAAAGCCAAAATTGTTCAAACAAATAATCTCAACGGATACTCTAAGTTCAGCCACATTAATTTTCCACGTTGGCATTTTGACTTCGCCATTGACTGAGATGCCACGCTTAACGCAAATTCAGAGGGGTAGAGCAATTGCGTTGTTGATGGATGGTCATAGCCAAACTGCTGTTGCACGGCAGTTTGGTGTTGGCCCGTGTACAATTAACCGTCTATGTAGACGTTTCCGTGCTACTGGGTTAGTTTCCGATCGTCCCAGGAGCGGTCGTCCGCTTGTAACGACCGCACGACAAGACAGGGCGATTTGATTATCGCACTTGCGCAACAGATTCAAGACTGCTGTAGAGACTGCGTCGTAGGTAGGCTTAGGTACTCATGGCAGACCCATTAGTTCTCAAACTGCCAGGAAGCGCTTGCGTGCCGAGAGAATCATTGCGCGACGACCTTATGTCGGGCCACCTCTGACACCACGGAGGCGGCAAGTGCGTCTTGACTGGATACGCAGACATGGCCCGAATAGGTTTGGGATGCGTCGATGGAGGCGTGTGATGTTCACCGACGAGTTAAGATTCTGTCTGTATCGCTCAGACGGAATAAAAGGGGTATATCGCAGACACGGTGGGCGTTTCGCCGACGCATGCGTGGTTGAACGCGATAGATTCGGTGGGGCTTCTGAAATGGTTTGGGGAGGCATCTCCCATGGAGTAAAATTCCCCCATAGTGGTCTTCGATCAAAACCTCAATGCCGTTCGATACAGAGGCCAGATCTTCCAACCACATGTCCTTCCACTTCTCAGACGTCATAACCTAATTTTCCAGCAAGACAATGTTCGACCGCATGTTGCCAGAGTCTGTCGTGATTTTCTCATGGCAAACAACGTTCAGCCTCTGGAATGGCCCCCGTATAGCCCCGACATGTCTCCCATTGAGCATCTGTGAGGTGAGCTGGACAGGCGTATTAGGAAACGTCAACCCCCCCCCCCCCCCCCCCCCAACTAACTGCGCCCAGTTGATCACAGCATTAACACAAGAATGGAACAACATTCCCTTAAGGCGAATAAATGTTCTCATGAATTCAATGCATAGGAGAATCCGTGCAGGGATTCGTGCAAAAGGTTCCCACTCCAGGTACTGAAGTGTCATTTTGTTTTTCGAGGGTATCCCACTTTAAGTAAGTGCTGATGACACGAGTAACGTCACACATACTTTTCTTCTACAGTATTGTAAAGAGTAGACTTGTCCCTTCATATTGTTATACAATTTTGTACAAATTTCCCAAAATATTATCGGCTTTTGATTGCATAATTTAATTGTGCGTTTCTTTTTTTTGTTCAGTATACACAGAATACTTTCAACATTCATATTACAACCTTATAAATAGAGAACGACAATGAAAAAGGCAATAATGAACGAATCACATGCTGACATAAACCGAAAGTTAAACATGAATTCACATTACGTCTGAAATTGCACAGCCAACTCAAATCTTCTCCCATGTTGTTAATAAAGTTAAGTATGTGATTGTAATACTTTCCACACGTACACATTCCGTTTGCTTTTATAATTTTATCCCTAATGAATAATTAATTCAAAGTAAAAAGATTGCTCCTGCTAAGTCTCAACACATAGTATTACCTATATTTAATGCTCAAATTTCATTGGTGGATATTGCATTTCTTTTCCAGGTTGTCCAGTTGCGAAGTATGGAAATGGAAATTGCAATAACGACTGCATGAACTGCATAAATAACACGTGTGACGCAACATCTGGTACATGTGGTACGTATCCTTGATCTATGTTATTTCCTACACATGAACAACAATGAGAACAGTAGAGCACATATGTTGTTGGGTATTTCTCACAAAAGAAATGCTTTAACGAATGTAGTTTTTCATGCAATTTTGACCCTGGTCGTTTTACGATATGGCATCCGTCTTTGTGAGTGGTATATTGACATAGTAACATTCATGTGACTTTGATGAACAAAACTATGTGTACTCATAATACACAAATTAAATACGTTTCTGCATTAAATTGGCAAATGTCAAAATGATGATTACCGGTATATCTCTGGCAATGTCTGTAAATGCTGGCTTGACAAAATTAATATATCAGTTAGGGAGACAATGATGATATCAACTGTACCGCAATTAATAACATATCAAGGTACATTTTGATACAAAACAGTAAGTTATAACATCGTGTGTATGTGATCTACTTGAAATTAAGCACACCGGAGTACTCAGCTAGTTTTTTGCCAAAAATGACACAAGACATTTACTGTTGTAATAGAGCATGTATTCAAATGCCAAGGTCTAATAGCATTAAGCAAAATGCCAAAAAACGTTTTTTAGATTGTATTTAAAAAAAAAAATATAGGTAAAATAGGTGTACTAGATATAAAATAATTGGCCACAAAAACTTGATGGAAGTTTTAACCAAACTCTATCAGGTTGGCCCACCCAGAGAACTACATGTGTGGAAAATGCTAATACTATTAAAATATGTGGTCAAAAATCTTATAAACCGAATGATATGCTACCTCAGACAGTCACGTCATTAAAGCATTGAACTGTTTTTGTATGGTTTTTATGATCTATTTGAATGACACAGCTTTGCCAGCAAACAACATAATGCGCATTATGATTTGTTTGCTTGCAAAGCTTTGTCATTCAAATAGATCATAAATACCATACCAAAACAGTTCAAAACTTATATTTACGTTTCCTCTGCCTCTTATGTTCTTTATAAACTTATAATTTATATTTAAAATTAAAAATGCCCGCCTTATCGACAGTCCACACAATTTCGTTCAATAGTTTGAACAGCGTATTGTCGCGTGCTGATTGGCAAACAAAGTACTAGTACTTTGAAATTTTAACAAACACTTCAATTTTATTCCACAATTCAGTATCAATACAATTTCGTATGATATGTCTATAGGGTGATTTAAGTTTATCAATAGAAATATGAGCTGAAAGTTAGATTTAAAATTGTTTCGATTTTTCCCCGGAACAAATTTCGCGCATGGAAACATACAGTGAACACCGTAAATCCGACCTTGCCCTCCACGAGGGAGTTATGTTTGGAAGTTAATTCGAACTTTTCTCTTTGATCATTTTGTGAAGAATCCAGGCGTGAATTTATTTGTTGATTGTATGGGAACCTGACAATAGTCGGTAGATTCTATAACAGACTCGTTATTTGACATGTCGTCAGAAACTGAGGAACCGTGGATGCGAGACGCGTGAAAGTGATAGCGTTTGAAGTGAGTGATCTTGCGACGGAGCACAGGTTCGTTACAAATGTCTGAGATGTTTATGTGTGCTGTGACTCATATCATTAGGTCTGTAACATATGTGTCAGTAGGTCTATATAATATGTGTATTTCAGACATTTGTAGCGAACCCCTGTTGATCAGTGCAGTGTAACAGACGATATTTCTGATAAATTGCGTGAGCGTTAAAATTGTTTCCATTGCGGCATTGGTGATTTCAACCGATGTGCATTTTGTACGATTTTGCAGACCTTGGTCTTGTTTTCGTTGTAATAAAAGTGTTTTTTATTTTATTTTTTATTTTGCACATAAATTTGCAATGACATTGTCAAATCTCACAATGCCCAGCGATATTTCAGTTGCCGTCATGTTTATTCATATTGGATATTGTAGTTTCGGTCAGTGTTGTATTAATACGCTAAGAATTGTGTCTCGTGATGCATGGTAATTAAAGCCCCATCAACGACACAGCTTTGAAAGAGGCTATATAGTGACAATGCCATGCAAATGTAAATATATCAGTTTAAAATCCTGCACACATCAAACTACCGCTTATGCACTTATATACATGTAAGTACCAAAGGAAACACGTATACAGAAAACATTGATATGCTGCACAATACATGTATATGCTAAGATTGCAAACATGGACACATATATTACAAAATCAACATTAGATATGACATTGACGGTCATGCAAACAAATGACCAAAAAACTTGTGAGGAAACAGAATATTGTATACAAAGTTCGTTGGTATGCCGCCCCAGATAGTCACATCAATTGTCATACTGGTTTTGTATACTATACTTTTGTAAACAGGTGGTCAGTAAATGTTTCTTTCAATGACAATATATAAAGAGATTAATATGCTGCTCCAGACAGTCATATCTGATGCGTATGCAAAAATAAAACATTGGTGGTCAATACACAGTTCTTTAAATAACAATATAAAACATAAAGAGGTTGATATGCCTCCTCAGAAAGTCATATAAAACCCACAAACAAGTAAAACCTAGTACCTTTATGAAGTATATATTTTTTTTCATGACAATACAGACTATTTGTATACACTACAATTAGACTGATATGCTGCCTCAGACAGTCATATCGTATGCAAAATTAAGTACTGGGTAATTACATAAGGTCTCAATTTAAATTTGTGTCAAGATTGAGTTCCTAATTGGTCCCCGAAAAAGCAGGTATATTTTCTTCCGTCAAAAACTGGAACACACAAATATCTGTTTACTGCATTGGAATTCCATCGTCCCATTAGACGTTTATGTGACTCGGGAATGTTGCACTGAAAATCAGCGGTCGCTGCACCAATTCGAAAACTGTGCGATTTATAAGAATCTGTATCCAGGCCTATGAAAGACAGCGCTTGGTGAAGTTGACTTGTAAAGTAAGCTTGTTAAACTGGTCCTCCGTTACCAAAGGAAAACAGCGGACCTGATAAATCACCTCTTAAAGCCAAGAAACGCGCCAAGGACTAACCGGGCAAATTGCTTTACATGTTTGCTTACTGATGTGCAAACTAGCCGGCCGTTGTGAAGTGTGATGTCTAAAATGTCTTAAAGTCATTACACTATGGTTTCCACAACGTTTGGAATTCACAATAGATATTTTGTCCCTTTGCAAAATGTTTTTATTGATGATTTGTTCTGATTTAGTTGTCAACTCCTCAATTCGCAAAAAGGCGAATAACTTAAGACAGAACATAGCATGTAACCTAATACGATCAAACCGACAAGATGTAGTATGACGCAATGATTGTATCAATTGCTGGAGTATGTGAGGCGCTACAGGAAGACGAATGTCAGTGGTACCCGACAGATTACGTAAAAACTTCAATGCCCTTTTGACAACAAAATTCTGGGTAAGAACTTGCAAACTGCAGATCATATGCATGTAAGATTAACCCGCAACATATGTGTTTATGGTGTTTGCAGATTGCTACTGACTATATAGCCATGCTATTTAAAGCACAATATCAGATACAGATACAGGCCAGCAGACATCACGAGTACCTTTGCATTCTGTGTAATATTTACAATAGGGCGAGCCTGCTTTGGCATGATACCTGTGCATTTTCCGATATGGCTGCAGACAAAATATCAGCTGCCGTATCCTTCAAACATGAAGAAGATAATGTGGTATTCCTGTCGGGTGAGGATCCATGCCTGGAGCCAAGGCCCTGAACTTGTGAACCTGCAAGCGCGAAAGAAGACCAGGTAACACATTCTGTATAGCAGGAATATATGAGGGGTGAAACACAATATTGTGCTTCAAACAGGTTAACACTAGTCTCCTGACTCATTTCATGACATGTGGATCTTTGGAGGAGGTTTTGTTTATGATTGCAACAACTGCCTCGTTGTCGAAGTAGAAAAGGATTGATTTGTTAACCAAACAGTGGCCCCATATCTCCATTGCAACAACAATAGGAAATAGCTCTTTAACTGTAATATTATATTGAGCCATGTTACAGCACTCCATGTTCCAACAAACACTTAGAACTAAAGACTGCACCGTAACCAAGGGAGCCTGAGGCTTCTGTAAACAATTGGAGTTTCTTAGATTCTAACCATCTGTCATCCAAAAAGATGGACTTTCCATTAACAGATTCTATGAAAATGCTCCATGCTTTAGGTTCTAGCCTTGCTTCTTTGTTCAAACGAATACGATAATGTAGTTTAGTAACTCCCTTTGTCAAATCTATCATACGATAGGAAACACCTACCAGGAAGTATGACCGAACAAGCAAAATTCATCAACCCAATGATGGATTGAAGTTATTTTAGAGTAATGCGTTTACGCTTTTTGTTTGTTTCCAACAAATGTTTGATTCTGTCTATCTTATTCATTTGTAACCGGGCTTCCATATTAATGGAGTCCAACCATTTGCCCAAAAAGGTGAGAACGTCACTAGGCCCTTCTGTCTTTTTCTTCCTTAATGGGGATTCCCAACACATTGCATAGATTAAGAAATTGTTGAAGTCCAGCGGAACAAAGAGAACTGTTTTGTGGCGCAAGAATAAGAAAATTATCTGGAACATGAAGCATATGGCCTACGGCAAACTTGTTAGGCGCAATCCATTGAAGGGCTGTACTGAACACCTCGAATATGGAACATGATATGGAACACCCATTGGTAAACATCAACATCTATCAAAATAATACCTTCCCTGCCATTTAATCCCTAACAATTCATGGTATAATGGGTGGACTGGTACATGTACTAGGCGTAATGCTGATGCAATGTCAGTTTTGGCCATGAGACAACCTTTACCTATTTTTTTTAATAATATTGATCGCATCGTCCACTGTGCTATATACAGAACACTATTGTCAGGGATAAAGTCATTGATAGATGCTCCCTCTGGATAAGACAAATGACGTATTAACCTAAACTCATCATCTTTTTTCGGAATCAGTCCTATTGGGGAACATTGCAGATGTGGCATAGGTGGGTCCAGAAATAGTCCAACTATACGCCTGAG